GACTATCAAGCCAAATTTAGGAACAATACAACATTTCTACAGTTACTTAGATATACGTAAAGATTAGACAATTTTATTTCAAAGTTGGCAGTTTTGTGTCGGAGCAATAGATCAGAAGTGCGTTGAACTTTGGGCCCCATAGTGTCAGATATAAATCCTCTTTGGTCTAGAATGCGGTGTCCATGACTGGCGACCTCGAAATGTTCTGCGCTTCGTCAATGCAAGCGTAGCGAATGGCGAAAGGTTAAATGGAAACGTGAATAGCTGACGTCAATCTTACCTTGTTTTAAAGGGAACTTGGCAGAAAAAAAAATCGAATAGCCTACCATAAATTTTAAACAAAGACTTATGCAAAGCAAGGAACTAGTACTTATCTTCAGTGCTTCAGCAATGTATTGCACAAAGATAATCGAAATTTGAGTGCACAAGTTTCTTCCAAAATATAGTTAGGAAATTTCGCTATAGCGTTGATGGGTGTACCGACACGTAACATCCAACATATCACAGCTAATGTTGCATGTAATTACTTGGCGGCAACGTAGACTACAACTTGCTTGCAACACCTGAATTTCACGAGAGTAAATTATAACTATCATTGTGTTTGCTTTAACAGAAGAGTAGAAAATTGTGTAGAGTATAAGTTATGGAGAGAAAGACACAGTTTCGCCGATACATAAATCTACGAATAACAATGCTCGCTCAAAATATATTACGTGAAATTTCCCAATACATACGTTCATTCATAGCCTTTTGGATGGCGACAAAGTGTGTTAATAGTTGTGGCCCATTTCGCAGGCCGATCTTAACTGTATTTGCGTTTACGTGATATTTTCTTTACAAATAAGAATGTGTTATTTGCGGGTTTAAATCAAACATGATCCAGTAGTGCAACTTAAGGTTTATTTTGATTTTGGTATAATTTGCATATGTATACACATCGGGGCAAAGCTGTATTTTTCAAAGCTAAGAGCAAAGAATTCGTAGTATATATTAGATAGCAAATGTCAGAGCTGAAATAGATTATATTATACATTCGATGTAATCACTATTCACTAAGTATCTATACTAATATTATAAAGAGGTATTATGTGTAGGTTTCTATGTTTGTAAGTTTGTATGTAGGGAATAATCTTCGAAACCGCTGGTAGGATTGCCAAAATTCTTTCACTGATAGGTAGCTACAATGTTCCTGAGTGCTACAGGCTATAAAACATCACGCTACGATCAAATGGAGCTGAGCAGCGGGTGAAACCGCACGAGAGTAGCTAGTTTTGTATATTCTTGTGAAAGATAAGAAACAAATACTTGTAATGCAACAACAATACTTTTGTGGGGACACACATGAGATTGACAACATTCAACGCATGACGTCATAAATCCTACAACACGCAAATGAAATTTTCGCGCGATTAAACACGGATAGAAAATGCAAACGTACAACTCTTGCCCTCCCAATTCTTGTCGGAGGAACCTCCTTTTCTGATCTTAGGAAACTTAGCATTCTGATCCCTAAACTACTTTAGTTACTGATTAAAAGTGAGCCTCCAAAAATAACACAAAGCTCTACCTAAATATCGAATGTCAAATAGATTTTTGGATATTTTCATTTCCTTGAGATTATCAGTGTGGATGGCGATAACTCTCATGATAATGGAGACATTAGTGATTTGGTTTTTCAATTCACTACCTACAGAGCGACACTTGTCAATGATATTTCGATATTCTCGCTCACCTATTTAATCTAAATAATAGAATAGGCATGTATTTCGCCTGTCCAAAGAATTAGTATTCAGTTGTTGGGCTTTTGATTACATAACCCAAAAAAAGATGGCTGCGTTCTGAAACAAAGCGACATTAATGAGCCAACTGTATCTGGTACGGTTCAGCGTATCAACGTCAGAGTGTAAACTAGAGGAACCGACTGCTTAAAAAATAATTAGGTAGGTATATCATCCGTGTCGAATCCAATATGTCAAGTATAACTAACGTGCCATTTGCAGGGACAAGGGGCAGATGCGCGTAATTTAATGCGCTTAAGAGTTTAGAGATGTCAAAGGAAGATTGTTTTCCGAGAACTCGGCAGTTCACTTCTACGGGAGCGTAAACGTATGTGTAGCGTGTGGAGCATAAACCTATATGAGTATATGCAACTTTACACTAACGTCCCGGATGGCTATGCCATTTTCTGAGCGAATTACTTGAACACTTTGGGAAGTGCAGTAAAAGTCATTTAAATATAGCACGTAAATGCACTATTTCCAAATAGCTGCTAACGTGTACATGTATGTCGCGTATAAGTCGAAGCTGTTAATAGCTCAATTAGTAGCGAAGTTCGGGCGGGTACGGCACGGCGTCGACTCGCATTTCAGCACGACGGTTAATGGACGAAATACGTTATATTGCCGCCGAAAATACGCGCGTTGCGTCACTCAACTAACTATTGCCCTTAATCACGCACGCTACGCGGAAACCACACATGAAATACGTATTCAAATTTATCATAACTGAAACCCGCTCAGCAATAGTAGTTTGCATTGTTTTTATTACTTCCCAGTTAGTACAGAGTTACAGACTGCGGGAGAACATTTGTGGAGATCAGATAAGCTTGTTTTATTCCACTTACGGTATCATTTAGATGGTGTACTGCAATATTATGGGAGTATTTTGGGTTCATAGTGTGTCCAAATAAAGCTTTAACGACTTTCGTAATTGAGAACAGTTTTATATTTACCTATTTGTAAAGATGTTGAATCTAAGTGTTTTGTGTTCTTATAGCCATTTACTATTTTTATACTTATATATTATACGATAGGCCATTGAACAACAATAATAATAACCTAATTAATATTATAAACGGATATTTGGTACTCTTTCACTTAAAAACTACTGGATTGATTTGGATGATTTCATTTTACTTTAGAAACTGCTTGTAAATAAATATGCCTAAAAGTGTTTATTTATGCCTTCCATTCCTAAACTACATAATACCTTAATTAATTTTTCGTGAGTTGTTTTTTATAATAATTATAGTACAAAAATAGTAAGCAACAAAAATGGACTTGACTTAATTACAATTCCTTAACAGGCTTTTACGAGTAGAATAAATTAAGGAATGTGTATCTCTTATATGAGATCCTTATTTGTAATTCCGTCAAGTGGAAGTCGAATTATGAAGTTCATTTTAAAATTGGATGGAGAAGAATTTTAATGAAACTTTTCCACTAACAAACTATTAAAAAAAATATTATTTTCAAACACAATTGCAAGTTTGATTTACCCGCTTCTGCCCAAACCTTTACTGCCTGGTATGTTAATAAAAAGCAGCCTACACTTTAGTCCAGGGTATTATACCTACATACATAAAAAATTTCAATCAAATAAATCCAGCGGTTATTGTGTGGACATTCTCACAAATTTATTATATTAGTAGAATAGGATATGGCTATAAGTATTTTGCTATTTTGTATATAATTTTACTGAAATTTTGACATTGAATTCAAAATATTTTCCAAAAAATTGAAGTTGTAAAAATAGATATCAATTTTTTTAAACTATAATTTTTTTTCTTCTTTGATGAAGAGGTGTTTCTATTTTTTACTCTATGACAATAATTATTTAGTTTACGTTGGAACAAAGCAATTGATACTGAAGTGAACTGCAATTATATTGTTAAAATTTAATTGAAGAAAATAACACTTTACAACACCCTTTGATTGTTTAAACACAACTATGACAATTTTGAACTATAGTTTTTCTCTTTTTATATGGACTATATTGTGGCCTGTACACATAAATTAAAAAAAAACTGAAGACATATTTTTTGTCTTAATGAGACTTTTTCTAAATGCAGTCATTAACAAAAGAAATCAGTTGAAAACAAAGGATTAAGTTTTTGCATGCTCTCAATTTTAATAATATTTTTTTAAGTAAAAATAGTTTTATTTAATAAATAAACAAATGGATAAGTAAATAATACACCCATTGTTTTCATCATTTTCCAATTTAAACTGAAAATCACTTATTACAATACAGAATGAAGTACAGGAGTCCACATCTCTTAACTAGGCACAACAGATAAGAAAAAAATATATTTGAATGTAAACTGTTGAGTGCCGTTTTTAAGAATTATACGAAATACATAGGCATAGCTAGATCCCTAAGGGATATCAAAAGTATTACACAAAAACTTTAAAAAAGTATTATAAATATCATGTACACAGTTATGATTCTCATAACCTGTTTAAAAGTATATACACACATAATTAATTAAAAATAATTTATAAAAACTTTGTATAAGGTTCAATGCTGCTGTATCGAATTTTTTTGAAGAGTATTTAAAAACAAATTGTGTCACAAAGAAGTAATGAATGAAAATCTTGTGTTACATCCTATGTCGTGTTATTTCAGGTCTAGATACATATATTTACTTACGGTTTAATACATAAAACATAAAAAAAGTTTAAGTTATAACTTTGAAGGTGTGTTAAGATTATTGGTATAAAAAACAAGTAAATTGTGACAGAAAGTGATGAAACAGTTTGATAATACTTACATGCTAAGTAAAAGTTTTTAAATGCACGGCGTTGGTTTATTTGTTGATAATAGATTAACACAAAAAATAGGGAAAATTAACACAGCGGGTGCTCCAACTTAAAATCCAAGCAACATGACATGACACTGACATAACAAAGTTGAACAACATGAAAAATGCACGCATACAATGTTGCATATTGAAAAATTTAAAATATCATCCACCTATAAAGCTGAGTCTACATGACTTTGACAGGAATCAACTGAGTTTTATGTGAGTACCTTTTTAAACTACTTTATTTAAATTTTAATTAAGAAAATAGATGTCAGGTGTTTATTTGAAGCTGTAGAACAACTGAAGGTCTGTCGGATAATTTGATGAAGGTAATTATCATAAAAATGTACAACACCAATATTCGGGCAATACCACGGAAATTTATATAATTTCCCTAGGCAATACTAACAGAGATGTCAAAATAACCATATTGTCAATGTCAAATAATCAGTCAAAAATGGGAATGGGAAAAATATTTATTTATATAGTTTATTGATTTGGATTTTTAAAACTGATTCTTGCATTCTTGCATAAAAAGCAAACATTATTGTTTATCACTCGAATATTAAATTAAAACTGAATTGATATTAGAATTTGCTTAGAACATTATTTTATAAAGTCCCAATTGCAAACATTGATACATAATAATTCATTCAATAAAATGTTAATGCAAAAGCGTTGATAAAACAAATAAGTTTTTAACGGTACAGTGATGGAGCCAGATTCAACGACTCACGATTGCAACACAAGCATCTTTAGTAAAACTGAAGAAACAGGAACTGTTTTACCCTTTACCACACAGCCTGGGTATGTTTGTTTTTATATAACCAATATCTGAATTTGTTTGTAGAGAACAAGTAAAAACTGTGACTTGTGTGGTGGAGTGTGACATTAATTATATTACTCTATGAGTATAAACTAGTACCAAGCAGACCTTAATCTATTTCTATGTCAAATTTCATTTAGACTTAGTAGAGTATCAACAATCCATGCCTATTCATGCACACCCATAATTTTGAATAGGATTTACTTTTGTGATTCATTATCATATTTATAGCCAAATTCCACTGATGAGCAAAGCAATCCATTTATTTTAAAGTAATATTAGGTAATTTTATTTTTTTCAGCAATCTACAGCTGTACAAGAACTTTATAAATAAACAAGGAGATCAAAGGCTTGAGTATCAGTTGGTGGAGAGACTGCAATCATGTGAACTTATACCTAAAAGTGTAAAATGTGTAGCTGATGGTCCTAACTGCAATGTTATTTGTAGAGCAGCCAGAGTTGTTGACAGGTACTTATCCACATAGCCTTTCAATTGTGGTAATTTGCAACTTAATAGAAGAACAATAGGAAGAAGAACTCAAGCATTCCTTTGGAATGTAAAGCTTGTTTTCACAAACCTGTTTCATAAAATTTCTAAGTATATATTTTCCAAAAATATATGTGATATTCCTTAACAATGTAAAATATACCCATAAAATATTTTATGAGCATATCTTACATTGCTCAAACTTTCTACTTATGTTAATAAGTTCAGGTTCAGGTTTCCTTTAAGTTTCCATGTAAAGGTGGTCTCTCTCCACTCATCTGTCTGATGAGACCTCCCATTGTACAATCTGTAATTGTAAGCCTGCTCTTTTTAGATTTTTAAAAATAACTTATATAAATTGGAGAGAAAATAAAAAATATTTTAGGTAATCATTATTGTAACTTATTTTCAGAGTGCAATGGATATGTGAAGGTTGTGGCAAGACCCAGCCTATTAGAGCTGGGTCCTTTTTCTTTCGCCTGCAGTGCTCCATATTACAAACAATGCAGATGATACTGGCTTGGTGTGAGGATGCGGATGTTGATGTGGTTGCTGCACACTTTGGTAGGGTTTTATTTCAATTTTGTATTGTTTAACAATTGAAAGTCTTCAACTGACTTTCATCGGGAAAGTCAGTTAAAGGCAGGCCATTATTGCACAAAAATCTGCAACCCCAGATGGATACATTCATTGTGACTATCCATAGCCACAATGTACTAGATAAATTTAAAAATGGAATAAATTTGTATGAACAATGTGTCACATATTAAAAAAATAGTTGCCCCACACTAGGATTTTCTCCTGTGTCGTGTGTGCAGTTACAAACGTACAATTTCACATGCATATGACACAAAGAGTTGTTCCGTGCGGTAATCGAACCCGCGTCACGTTGAATGGCAGCCAGTTGCCCAGCCACCGCACCGTGCAGTCGTTTTATCTAGTACTAGCTCTTACTCACGGCGTCGCTCCCGTCATTTAAGTACCTACCCTATTCTACCTACCCAACTCTACCTACTCTCTCTACCTACTCTCTCTACCTACCCTACTCTACCTACCCTACTCTACCTACCCTACTCTACCTACCCTACTCTACCTACCCTACTCTACCTACCCTACTCTACCTACCCTACTCTACCTACCCTACTCTACCTACCCTACTCTACCTACCCTACTCTACTTACCCTACTCTACCTACCCAACTCTACCTACTCTCTCTACCTATCCTACTCTACCTACCCTACTCCACCTACCCTACTCTACCTACCCTACTCTACCTACCCTACTCTACCTACCCTACTCTACCTACCCTACTCTACCTACCCAACTCTACCTACTCTCTCTACCTACCCTACTCTACCTACCCTACTCTACCTACCCTACTCTACCTACCCTACTCTACTTACGCTACTCTACCTACCCTACTCTACCTACCCTACTCTATCCTATTCTATGTCCTTCTCCTAGCTCTAAACTACCTCCCTGCCAATTTTCAGCTAAATCGGTTTGGCCGTTCTTGAGTTATAAGTGGAGTAACTAACACGACTTTCTTTTATTTATATAGATGTATATGAATGAAGGTGGTGAAACAGTGCTTTATAATATGACCTATCTATCTGTCATCATTTATTTTGTCCTCATTACTTATTATGCTTTTAGAAAAATTAAATAGGTACTCTTTAAAAATCTTTTTAATTGAATATGAAACTAACAAATGATTTAAAATTTTTCATGCTGTCTTAATTAGTATGAGGTAAGTTAAAATCTGTTGTTAATGTTATTGTGTATGCTTTTGTTGTTTTTCTTTTATATGATATGACGGTAAATGAGCTGAAATCTCACCAAATACATTGGGGATTTAAGATTTGGGGATTGGGAATGGGCAAGGGATAGGCTAATCCTCTCCCTTGCACACTCTACGCCCCACGTGCTCCGGTACCTTAACCCACACACTGAAACATCACAAGCGTTCGTCTTTCTGTGCGGCTGTAGTATCACTCCGGTCGAGCCGGCCTATTCATGGCGAATCTTGGCTCTCCCACAGCAGCTTTCTGTGATACCCAATTGTGTCGAAGCATCTCCTATACTTACTAAAGTATCAAAGCTGTTAATATACTTTATCTAAAAATATATTTAAAACACTAATTTATCTCATTCCAGGTGTAAAACCGAAGGTAGCAACCCAAATATATGACAAATTAGATGAGATAGCAATAAAGGAACAAAGTAAATGCAAGTTGGGTGGCGAGAACAGTGTTGTTCTAGTGGAAATGTACCCTGACTGCGTAAATAGATTGTCCCCAGACACTACGGACCAACCACATGCACATAGAATACTCATGGTTGCTGATACTAATGTAAGTATTTTACGCTAGTATTTTCTCCTGTGTCATGGGTGCGTTTACAAACATACAAATCCGAAACAACAATTTGTAAATCACACAATGTGTTGTTTCGTGCGTGAATCGAACCCGCGACTCGTCACCACGCCAAACGTGTAGTCAATTAACATGTAACATAAAATGCGTAGTTACAGAGGTTTATAATAAACATGGGTTTCCTAACCATTATCATCCAGCTAAAGTCATAAGCCTGATTCTGATCACTACTGGACATATTGGAGGAGAAAATACACCCTCTTAAAAATACGTTGTTTGTCATTATCCCTGTGCTGACCAAGCAGCATGTAATTTTAGTAGTCTTGTCAGTCTGTCAGATAACGGCATATGTTTGGAAGTTGCTACTACATCTCCAATCTAAACTAAATAAATATTTTGTTACAGCACATTCCCACAAGTTATTGGCTACATGTTATGAAAGATGATAACAAGAAGACTGCAAATGGCTCGCTTGATACTCAGGTAAGGACTAAATTCAAGTATAAATATCAAAACAAATCGATAATACAACAGTGCACTGTATTTCAAGATTCAAACATTATTAAAATTCATTGTTCGTTTTGATTATAACATGGTAAACGATAGTTATTTGAAATGAAATGTCAATTATAATTTCCAAGTTTCTTATGTCTATAAAATTCATTAAAACCGGTTCAGTAATTTTGGCGATAACTAATCGTGCGCCTGATGGTTTCATCATAGCACCAATTTGCCACAAAAACTATAAATTATGAATGATTCGACTACTTTTTCTCAATTAGTTAGCACCGAAATTGAAGGTATTAATCCTTATTCGAGTATTTTCCTGGAGATAATTCACCAGTAAGTCTTGTTCCGCACAATAATATACCAAAATTATTTATTGCAGGCATTAGTGGCAGAGATCGGGCACGTGTTGAAAGAGGCGGTGATAGAGGGCTCTGTGATAGTGACCGGGAACAACGTACCGGCTGTACCAAACACTTCCTCAATACAGAAACTGCTGCAGCACTGTGACATGGAAATGCAACGATTTCGTATGTATACAATCAAATAATATTTCAGTCAAAGTCAAAATTATTTATTGCAAGTAAACCATATACCATATACACTTAGGCACTTTTGAAACGTCAATAAGTCGATTAAGTCTGTCAGCCTGTTCGTCAATGGAGCTATGTGTACTTATTTAGATAGAATACATAAGATACAAGTAACTGCTGATTACATCTTGGATTTGGTATTTATTTCAATCGATTCTGTACTTCATAGAAGCTGCAACAGTATAAATCATCCTCTAATACATGAAGCTTTTATACACATGTGGATGTGGAGAATAATCAATAGTGTGGGTACTTTAAGTTTTTTTTATGCAAAACGGTGGTAAGCAATTAGCGCCAGCCATGGACACCCGCAACATCAGAGGCCAGGCAGTTGCCCAGCGACCGCTCCAACCGTGTAGTCAGTCAACCACTCAGTATTTTCAGTGGAGCCGTGGAATCACTATGGTTCAAGCAACCCATTCTTGTCGAGGCATGGCTCTCTTACACCTAAAGTATTATTTTTTGTTTATATTAAGTACTGTTATGTTTCAGTAAGTACTCGCATCTGGCGTCAAGCAGTGACTTTATGTTGCGCGTCTCGTTCAATCTGCAATGGTGGTCTGACGGCACCCGCCTGCGCTACCCTGGTGCAGCGGTACCTGACTACTTCCTTATACAGGCTGCGACACGATGACGGCTTCTACAACAAAGTACTTAATACAATTGTTGCTGAGTACAATAAGTTTGATACATAATAACTATTAAGGTATAGTGGGACTAGGAGAACTATTCAAATAGAAGAAAATTCAATATTCTTATTGCTTTGTCTTTTATTGCGTGATAAAGCCATTCTGTATAGTAGGAACACACGAAAAGATTTCGGTAGTTACTCGAGCGCTTCAGATTGACGTATGGAGAATACTTAGTTTTCAGTTGAATATACCCATCACATATTTTTGGGAGATAGTGGGAGGGGGAGGATCCTGTCATTTTTTTAACTAATTAATTAACCTTTCGTATGTTTTAAACGTACTATATTTTCTATTGTGTCTCATAAACCGACATTCAACGGGTTAAACAAGGACAGTCTCGTCTGATTAAGGGCAAAATCTGCCAATTTCCACCCATATCATCACTCTAAAACAGAAGCTACGAGATTCCTTCTCCCACCGAAGGACGGAATTGCCAAACCATGTTTTCTTTCTCCCTCCCTTAACGCACTTGAGTAACTGCTAATTTTGCATCTTGGACTGTCCTACTAATTATGTAGAGGATTATTGATAGGTTATTACCGCAAATCATTATACATTTGCTTAGGTATATTCTGTTACAAGTTCGTAGGAATGACATGTTGTAATTATTGACAGTATTCCCAAAGTGATACTTATTAGAAAGATATTATTTTTGAACCTAGAATTATTTATAAATTTGTTTCTTCTTGGCGTCATTGCAGTTTTGGGTCTACTTGAGGTAGATATTATTATTTGTAAAATTGACTGACGATTTTGAATATTACATTCAATTCATAATATTAGGAAATGCACAGTTATACTATTATACATTATTATAAAACAAAAACACATGATATTTGTGGACTTTTGTACACTTATTAATTGCAAATACATCTCAATTTTTTGTTGATTTATGCATCTTGACATTTTTGAATCATTTTACTGAAGTTATGTTTGGTTTTCTGTTCGTATATTTTTCTTGTTGTAAGTATGTTACAACGTTACTTCCAACCGTGATAGTTGCGCAACATTATTATATTGTTTGCGCAAAACTTGCGCAAGTAAATATGAAAATAGATTACACTCGTGTTAAGATATTATTGTAGATATAAGTTCTGAATTTTTTGTGCCTTTAAAAATATAGTCTCTATAAAAGTGCCTTATGTGTGGCATGCACAGACGAGCGACTTTTGTCCGATGGACTTAAATTTTTTTACGAAGATAACGATTTAGTTAACTAATTCAAGCACTTCTTCGTAAAATTTAAATTTAAATTAGGTATCCCGTGATAGTAGAAAGTATAAAGTGGTTTTTATCCACCAGGATATTGTTCCAAACGGTAAACGTCCGTCTGTGCAAGCCTTAAATGTGTTGAATTTATATTTTCTGTGTATGTTAATAAGGATCGTTTTAGTTCAACAATTAATACAATTATTAGATTTTGTTATAGAAAACTTACTATACTCAGATTTATTAAATAGTATTTTTATATTATTGATTCTGTTACTTTTATTCATTCATTTATAATGTTGAATTAGCGTTGTGTGAATAAGTTGATATTTCTATTGTTTCTCTGTAATTGTAAGGTTTCTTTCGTTAGTGATGTGTGATTTAATTTGTCTTATATGAAGAGAAAGGGACAGCTATACTTTTGTAGTTCTGGTTTGATGAGTGCCCATGAAGTTAAAATTAAGGTTGTTGCTGTTGATTTAAGAAAAGTTTGTATACTTATAAACTTCAGCCGGGGTTGCGGGATAAGCGCAATGTGGTTTTTAGTCAGTACGAGTCTGACACTCTCTCTCGCCTTACCCTGGGCGGGAGAAGTCAGGTGATTTTCCCCTGACAAAAAAAATAATAATAAGCATTTAAATCCTTTGTTTGCCACTATATGAGACACATGTCGTGGTGGCTCGGAGATTAAGGCCCCCGATTCTTTTGCATAAGGGTGCGGGTTCGAAACTGGCTAGTATAAATGTGACCTTTCATTACCCAAAAACCTGGCTACAAAGTTCATTTTGACTACATTAATACGTGATGTAACTATGAGAAGTTTTTCCAAACGTTTACTCATTGTTCTCAAGTTTTCTTGTACCTAATTTTGTTCATACCTATTTGTTTGCACAAAAGTGTCTTCCTAATATAGTCTATAATGTTAAATATAGAAAATATAAAAATATTTTTACATTGATTTTGTTGTTTTTTTATAATGCACGTTTGGCGTTTGGTTTTTATTTTTCTTTTCCTATCTGAATACTGTGTACAAAAATATAAATATGATTGCGCTAAAATTAAAAATTCGCACATTACTTTCACGTACCTACGTTCCTGATTGAGCACATAATTGATAAAATTAAGTTCTGACACATATTGTCTATTATTGTGAAGTTAGTCAAGATAACATACGTAAAATTTTGCATACCCTGGTCTTTTGTTAGCACCGAAAATTGGGGTTACTTTGGCCTGCAGGATAAGTTGATCCAAACTTCCAAATCAATAAAAAAATTGAAATAGGTCAGTGCATTTGTTTCTGGGTTATATAGGATCAAAGTTGTACTTCGCATTTCATTCCAAGCATTGGTCCTACATGCATGGCACACTAGACTATCACTGGAAACTTGTACCTACAAGAAAAGATGAGAGCAGTTACATAAAGTACTTTTAAAATAGTATTAAGTACTAAAAGATTCCAAATATTTATGATTATTATTAATTACCTGGCCAATCCATCGTTGCTTAAGTAAGATTTCGAACTTCAGTTATTTCCAAATTAAGTCTTCGAATCTTAGATACAGCAGGGTGAAACTAATCCGAACGTACATTAGCATCACCAAGTTATTAAAAGACACTCATTTCTAAAGATATTTTTCGATTGTAAGGGATACCAATAAATAAGCAAGCAAGCTTGGCAACCGGTACCGTTGTACCAACAATCCAGTTATCTGGTAAACTGGACCATTTGTATGGGACCTGCAACGGTTAAATAAAAATAACACTGAATTGCCATTTCACCTACTTTTAAACCAGTACCTGCCAAAACGGTTTTAAGGATATCACTGTGACACTGAACAAATATCAATATTTTTATTGGCAAAACCAAAATAACGACTATTACCTAAGTATGTAGGAATACCTACTCGATGATCAGGCCGATTGGTAAGCTGTGAAAAATTAAGTAGGTAAGTTTTTTTTTTGTTCCGTAAACATTGTTGACCTATGTCAATTAGCTTAAATAACCAAACAAATAATTTGAGACCATAAGTCGTTAATGGAGTGTATTTGTCGACATTAGCACCCAATAAAGTGTTTAAGTGTGAACAAAAAAAAAAACATTTTTAGCATGGCCCGTTGAAAGAACTTAGGTTGAGTAGGTTTATTGTTGTTAACAAAAGAAAAATCTCGAAATCGAAAAGCCACACAGAACAACTTGTGGGAATAATAAAAAGAATTCGTGTGGTAATTTCGAAGATACCATCCATCCGGCGAAATAAAGGTAAAATCCTTTAGGTATCTACTGGTGCGGTGTCTAGCCAGTATGGCTAATCGTACAATTAGTAGAGTAAAGTAAAAAAAGTATTATTTAAATAAATATTGTAGATACCTCTTGCTAATGTTATAAAAATGATACCTACCCATTAAAAAGTGTGTAATTTGAAGTAAGCAAAAATAAGTAGGCCCCTATCTACACAAATAAAGAAAAGTAATGATTAATTTTAAGCTACGGTAATCCTTGGAGTAGTCCAACAAGTCGATGTCAACTAAACCGGTAAATAATTGAACAGAGAAACAAGGCAATCGCCATAAAATATAAGTAACTGGGTGTGGACTGGTAGAAAGCACCGCGAACCTGTTTGTGAAGAGCTAACAGTTTCTAGGTCCAATCTAGAAATCTGTACACTTAGAAAAACTAAAGTGGATAAGTATCTATAGATATTAATTACAAATCTATAGGTATAATATTACTTACCTACTATCTAATAGAAAACTATTGAAAAGATGGGGTAAGGAAGCTGAAGATAGGCTTTATTTCAATCGGTTCACATTATGCGGAAGAAGTCTAACTCATGACTTTGTCCACTCAAGAAAAAGGTTAAATATTCCCTATTTTATTTGTACAGAAAACCTATACATACCTCAGAATTTTAAAAGCCTTAGGTACCTACTTTTTTTGTAATGGACAGGCCGCAGCTATAAATCCTGGTCGTAAGCGATGATGCGACCTACGATGGAGCACGCCTGGTATAAGCGTTCTATTCACTCGAACCTAGAAAACACCTAGGATAACCCTCCGGGAAAATTGAATTAGGCAAAGAACTTACCTAAACTCCTTAGCAGTTTTGATTATTACCTATGCTTAGATACTAAGTAGTGAGAATTCCATATCTAATCTACAAACTTCTGCCATTTTATGTCTTGTTAAGATGAGATTAATTGATCAACATAGAAGTTTAATATGATTCGTTACGGTAATTTAAATTTAATAGGTACAGCTACTATAGTAGGTCATCAAAACAGTTTTTATGAACCAACAATCAAATCGTAAATTCATAAAAGCATTTCTTTCTCCTATCTACTGGATAAAAACAAAACGAAAAACTTTGGACTATATATTTTATTTAAACAGACAGACCAAAGTGTTTTCAACCTCAACAAAGCCAATACGTACTAAACATAATTCATCCAAATAATGATCTCAGAAAAGGGCAAATAAAGAAAAATGTAGTTGTTTTACCGTTTATCGACGATGCGATGGTGCAAGTAGGTGGTAGATACAGTTAGTTGAAAGCTGTCTGCGACCCATCAGCGACAGGTTGTTCCACCGCACACGATCTGTGCCACCGAACAATGATTAACTTGTTATTAATTACTTATTTACTATCTATAACTACATACATAACACTGTGAATATTATTGTTTAAGACGATGGAATATTTTGAAGCTCGAAAGATTGTTTCATTGAAGCTTGTTCGATAACTTTATTCGATAAGGTTATTGAAATGGATTTTAAAGTACTCAATAAATACGTAGACTTACGCTGACTACAGGTAAGTATACCTAACGTTATGTATAAGTATGCAAATCGAATAATAACCTACTAAAATCTTGTTATTAAAAGTAGGTACTAATCTTCCGATTCACATTAATCGTGTGTCACACGTCAAAGAAATAAAAATTAGTTGCCGATTGCCAAAAATAAATTGCCGTCTAGTCTTTTTTAACTGTTGTATTCGATAGCAGAGGTTAACGGGTTATTGGGTTGAGTCGACAGCCTTTATATCTTTAATACCTACTGTTCTATAAATATATTGTAAACACAACATCGTATCAATCAGGATACATTATCTACTGACCGGGATGCGGGTGGTGGAGTACCAATATAATGTCCCGTGTTAACATAACGGATGTTACCTGTATTTATTACACAATTCTGTTGTGTTAATACCAGTTTAACTACGACGGGTCGCGCGGTTAGTCGGAGCCGCGTCTGTCTGTACCGCTATCTGGGCAAATAAATAAAAGATGCAGCGGAGAATGGATACATAGCGGGTCTCACAGCCGCAACCGAAGTTCAGTGCGCCCACAGACAGCTTCCGCGATGGTCAACTACAGACGAGTGGTGTGCGAGGTGGCGTTGGTAGCCCTGCTGGTGGCGGTAGTGCGCGGTGCGCCTGCACCTGATTGCGCCACCAAGCACTATGACCAGCGACAGAATGGCACAGAGAACTACAGGCTGAACATCGACGGAGTGGTGATTGCAGTGGCTCCGGCCGAGTCCTTGCTGTCCGCTCTCGGGGACATGGACGATCTATTGGACCTGGCTATGGAAGAGTACAACAATGAGTACAAACCCAAGCCTCCCCACGGCTCGTCATCATCAGAGCCTGCCATACAAGTGGTGTCCCTGCCGGTGCCGGAGGAGAAGCCCCAGAAAATTAAGCCTCAGGAGGAGAAACCCGCAGACGCTGATAAGCCTCAAGACGTAAAGCCCGAGGCACCAGCAAAACCCGCCGAGCCTGCATCCTCCTTGAGTGATGTTAGTTTGGACAGCGACTTGAAGATCCAGAAGAAGGATGCGTCGCTGAGGAAACAGGAGAAAGCACAAAGGTAAATATTAAAATATATTTTGCAGATCTTTTAAGTATAAGAATAATACTAAAACAATTGATATTGTCATATTACTTATTCACAAAAAGCATTAACAAAGTTAAGCTCGTAACTGTAGTACTGTAGTATCACAATAACAATAATTTACAATATTGTGAACATACTTATTTTGTTGCATGATTCTATTTAAACTTTGCAAAATAAGTGACATGTTGAAACGATGTTTTTCTTTCTATTCCCCAGATAAATCGCGAAAATAATATAGTAAACAGGTAAAAGTAATTCTTTATTTTATGAAGTTCACTCAGAATCATGCAAAGCAATAATCCTACAATATTTTGAATCTGTTACTTTTATAATTTAGATTAAATTTGTTTTTGCTATTCACCGGCTTTATAAGGACAAAAATTAGCATATGTTTTATTACAAAAATATAACTTTTGTTTCAATCAATGACGATATACTTAACTACTTTAAACAACACCACACGTGGTTATATCCTCTTTGGTTCCAAGTTATCAAAAATTATTTAGTAATTTCACGTTAAATTGAAAATATCCATCCACTTACAAACTTTTGCATTTATACTTAGTATCGGCAGGATATAGTTAAGAAGCATAAACTATCATACATCAGATTAGATATTCACTCATCTTTTAGCATTTCCCTATACCTACTTAATTATAAAAATATCGAATCTTCTAATTTCGTTTTTTCTTTTTCCACAGACTGAAACATCGCCTGGCGAGCTTCCTGATGCCACTTCTAAGAAAAACGCGCCATCATTAATTTAAAAAAAAAAATTGTGATCAATTAACAAGTATCTAATCGTTAGGTTTGCGAAATATGCTCTACTGCTTTATACATAAGAAATAATTTGTTTTATCAACGGTATATTTTGACAAAACATCGTTGATTGGAAGTGTCGTATTCAACATGACTTAGTTCTAGTAAATATCGTTGGGTTAATACTATGTTTAGTTATGGAGTGTAAGTAGTTTTCTCAAACCTTTAGTTAATTTATTATTTTGTACTGACATCGAGAGAGAAGACAGAGCCATGGAAAGATGCATTTATTTTAGTTTGTAAGTTAATTTTAATGTATGTACATGTATGTATGTAAATTGTTTCGTTGAAAATAAATAATAATTCTTATTGAAAAATCCCTAAAATGTTGTTTTTTTGTTGTTCGCCTAATTATTTGGATTACGAATATAATCGAATGTAATAAAATGAGACTAGTCTAATTGGTTGGTGAATCATCACTAGTAGTGTAGTATAAATATAAAACAAAGTAGTTTTTTCTGTCGCTACATCCATATGTATGCTTAAATCTTTAGAAATACGCAACAGATTTGTTTATTATTCCTTTGGAGGATAAAATTATTTTTTGATAATATTAAGTTCTACAGTAGTATAGAACAAAGTCGCTTGATATGGCCCTGTAGCCCTAATGCTTTTAAATATTTAAAAAGTACGCAACGGACTTTGGATGCGATTTTTTTAATAGATAGAGTGATTGAAGAGGAAGCTTTATATGTAGCTTTTGCCCGCGACTTTGTCCGCGTTTTATTTGTAGCATATGACATTCCTCAGCGGTTTTGATGTTACAGACAGATTAACTTTCGTATTTTAGTAGGGAACTATAATATTTCAATCCACAATAATATGGTTATATATGTATATGTATGTGATTGGATAAACAACAACTTCCATTAAATAGTGGACCATTGTGCGTGCCAAGCTAGGGCAGGTGCTATTAAAATATAAATAAGTAACTACATATAAGTTGAATCTATAATAATAACAATGAATAATGATAGACAAGCATGCATTATACTTACTAAACAATAAAATACACAAAACTAATTGTTTTGTGATAACAGGCATACCTAAAAGACAAGGGTGCAAGTAAAGATACCATCTACTAGTAAACAACTAGATACAAAACGAAATTATTCTTTAGTCTAGGTTTAAACCATTGAGTCAGCTTTTGAATTATGAATCTTATTATCACCTAGTTTTAATTCTAAATACAAAACTGGCTCAATGGTTTAGACGTAGTCTAAAGAAAACCCTAGTTTTGTAATAAGGCCGTATATGTTCAATTGATTTGCCACATCTTAATCGAATCATGAAATCCATGAAAGTATACTTATTACAATTTATCAAAGTACCTAAGCATTTCATAAACTAAATTATATAGTTACTAAGATTATATGAATATATAAAAATCAATGCCACTTTTCGTTGTAATGTTGTAACTCAACAATGCCTTTACCGATATGGCTTTAATTTTGGTCTTGAATTATTCGTGGAATAATTCAAGACTGGACTTCCGTCCAGAGAAGGTTTTTACGTAGAGAAAAATAAAAAATAAATTGAAAAAGGGTATAAAATCTATTCAGGTATTGAGTGGTTTCAAATAATTTGAATAAGATTTCTTTCAACACTTTTATTATAATAGAAAAACAACAGCTAATACAAGTCAAAAATGGAGGAATGACAAAGACAACCAAAACGCCACCTCTGGCCATATCTAGAAACTTATCTTTATGAAGACACCTATATATTACCTCTTTTCAATAAAATCGACATCCACTTCGGCGGAGCTGCGGGCGACCGCTAGTGGTATATAGAATAAACCTAATTAAAGTAGAGATTAATATTAAAATGCAACTGTAAGATGAAATTCATTATGTTATTTATATAAATTTTATATTTCGACACGGGAATCTAACCTGAGAACCGTAGCGATGTAAAAAAGTAGATCAGCTAATAATAACTAAGCTTATTTTAACTGATGATTGACTCAATGTTTTGTATCAACATTTTTTAAATGTAGTTTTATAATAAGTATTCATTTGGAGGATAAATTAATTTATAACTACATAGTGTGATAGTATAAAACAAAGCCGTTTTCTCTGTCCCTATAGCCCAATGTTGCCTACATTGGGCTATAGGGACAGAGAAAACGAACCTTAAATATTTAAAACTACGCAACGGATTTTGATGCGGTTTTTTTATAGAGATAATAGGGTGATTAAAGAGGAAATATTAATATGTATAAAATATCTTAGCTTATAAGTAGTAAAAGCTTATTATAAATTAAGTATATTCATTACTGAGAAAGATCAAGTTAAATAAGATGTTTGTTTTTCGTGTAAGCACCTAGTTTTCGTATACCTAATGTTTGTAGTGGGTGCGTTTATAAATAAATAATTCTACATGCACATCACACCCAGACCCAGAAATCAGCAGCCAGTCCGTAATCTCAGTGACAGTTCGCACATGAGGAAATACGGAACCCTACGCTACCGGTTTTTTAGTAGCGGATTTCTTTGAATTTCTTCTCTCGCCTAAAAGGTGCGCGCCGCGGTGGCGGCCAGTGCGGCCGCGACCTGGAGCAGGAAAACGAACGGGGTAGTTTTTAGTGAGTAAAAGTCGCTAATTGCGCTTGCACCGAAACCGCGAAAATAAATTGCTGTACGAATTAATTGCGAGTGCGAATAAATTCGTGTACTAAATTAATCAAGTAATGTTATACTATGAAGTATTCACGTACCTAATTAAGACGTGACTAAGTGACTACGAAGTCATGATACAATAACTACGACGTGACTACTATATAACTACACAACGACTACGAAGTATCTACGCAACAACTACGACGGACTACGAGATGTCTACGCAACGACTACGAGTTAACTACGCAACGACTACGAAGTATCTACGCAACGACTACGAAGTATCTACGCAACAACTACGACGGACTACGAGATGACTACGCAACGACTACAAGTTAACTACGCAACAACTACGCAACGAATACAACGTGACTACGAAGTAACTACGCAACGACTACGATTTGACTACGCAGTTACGACGCAACGACTACGTATATATAGGCAATATGCAATCAAAACAATGACGACTATTCTTTAGAAGAATGCTGCTACTATAGCTTAATTTGGTAACTTCTTAGCAAACGTTAGAATGAATACTCTTGAAAAGCAAAAACATAAGTTACAAAAGTTTTCATTGTGGGAGAGCCATACTTCGACACGAATGGGTTGGCGCGACCAGAGTGATACCACGGCCTTACAGAAAACCGGCGTGAAACAATCACAGCGTTGTGTTTCACCGTGTGAGTGAGGTTACCGGAGGCCCAATCCTTCCCCTCCCCCAATCCCTCCTCAATCCCTAAATCTCCAAATCCCTAATTCCTAAAAGGTCGGCAACGCACTCGTAACTCCTCCGTTGCGGGTGTCCAAGGGCGGCGCTGATTGCTTACCATCAGATAATCCGTCTGCTCGTTTGCCGACTTATTACATAAAAAAAAACAAATATTTAACCATTTTAACATAAAATACTTGGTAGTTTTTACGCCGCCATACTATGGGGAAATTTAGGATGTTGTAGAAAATTATTACTACCACTATTGGTTTCCCTACATTCACTCAAAATAAAAAATATGTAAAGATCTTACGAGTGTATGTATGTCTTCTAATAATTCCACAAAAAGAATCTTTTTGCTAATTTGACCTACCGTCTGGACCACCATGGTCCGAAGGTTAAGCACCCGCTTCATATACTTATATGAGGGTTCGAAATATTTATATACACACCATTTGATTGTAGCGTGATGTTTTAAATCCTACTCATAGCACACAGGAATATTGTAGCTACCTATCAGTGAAAGAATTTTGGCAATCCGACCAGCGGTTCCAAAGATTACCCCCTACATACAAACTTTCAAACTTTACCTCTTTATAATATTAGTATAGACTTAATTTAGATTTGTTTGATTTAAAATATTTTTTCCATATTCCTAGTTCGTTCATTCGTTCATCATCAGCCTATAAGTGCCCACTGCTGAGCAAAGGCCTCTTCTCACACGGAGAAGGTTAGAGCATTTCGTTCATTCGTTGTTTTTGGCAAAATTTGCAAATTGTTTGTTGAGGTACAGGTTCAGTGAACGAAGGCTGCATGCTAATGGTTTGCTTAGGTAAACTTCTAAAAGAATTTGTGCTTAACTGTCCTTTAAAAGGTGCGCAACCGTCACCTGCGTTTTATATGGACATTTAACGTGAGTGTGAGTTATCAACATAAATACTGTTATATACGTTAGCTTTAGTCTATAATCAGAAAGAGACATTTTAAGAAAACACCGCATTCTTGGCAGGTAACGGGACAGAACTAAAGGATAGTAAGTATAGTAAACTCACCTAATTGTGTGACTCACTTAATTCGGAGATTCCACGTTTGGACTCTTTCACAGCGTTATAGGAGTAAAATCCAATACATTAAAATTAACCCTATGGTATGGTAATAAATCTTCTTTTCGTGTACAAATTTTTGTTAAGATCGTGCGAGTGATATAGTAACAATCACGGAATTTGTCATTCCGCCCGCCATGTTTGACGTTTCACGGTAGCGTGCGACTGTGCTGTCATTATTTAATTAATTTTAAATAGAAAAGGTGAGTGTAAGTTGATGATACTTTGACAATTAGTTGTTAAAAGCATATACTTGTTGATTTTATGTTAAAAAATAATAAATACTCTCTTAATTCGGTTATAACAGAATTAGAAAAGTACTATCACCGAATTATGGTGTTTGTCACAGAATTAGACAAGTCATCGCGGTTTGATTAAGCTCATTTTACGCTGAGTTGATTCATATATATTAAGATTACACTTGCTCATATGATAAATAGAAGACTGATTAATGTTCCTATTAAAAATAAAACTTAAATTTATAAAGTTTAACCTGTTTTTTTTTCCACATTCTTTTTTATCACAGAATTAGATGAGTTGACCCATACGTGCATCCTGCAGTTTAAATAAAGTCTGTAAATATTTTACGCAGTTAAATCTAATCTCGTTATGTGCTAAATTTCTATCTGTGTTCATATAAAATGCACACGCGAAACTCGGTTATCGTATCGATGACCTGCGGTCACTGTCACACGCGAGCCCCGCGGCTCCATCGGACGCCACGATACGACATTCACCGCTTTCTTTATTGTTTTGATAGATGCATCCATCACAATAGACAACTGATGTGGGACACGATGCTGTTCAAAGTCCCAGATTTCTCTATCAAACGTGTTTATACTATCCAATAGAAACATTCACCATTAGAAAAAACAATAACAGCACCTTATGCAACAGTAACAAAAACAATGTACCATAGTGAACAATGGAAACCAGCGTGTGAACTATGGTGACTCACATAACGTAAGTCAGCAGACATTGATCGCTCGTTGTGGTCATTATATTCTAAATTGATAATTAACACTTTAGCATCATCCGTTGAATTAGGTCCACACAGTATTCATGTCGTGTTAACCGTTACAGTGTGCTCGTTTCGAGCGCCAGACTGGTTCGCGGATGGCTGGTAAAAGCGGCGCGGGAGCATGCGGCGCGCAGTCAGCGCATGTGAGATCTGTCGCGCGCACGCACCATGCTCCTAGCACTCGCCTGTCTAATCGCGACCGCGGCCGCCGCGCCTGCTATCTACGACCAGCGCCAGGATGGCGAGGTCAACGTGCAAGCTGACGTCCAGAACGTTCTGCTGCTCGTCGCCGTGCCCAAGAAATTGCCAATCAATCTGTTTGACATTCTGTCCAAGAGCAACAAACCTCTAGACAGGGACCATGAAATTCAGGAAAGGTCTGATGTCCGTGTGATGGAAGCTTTCGTGGAACCCAGTACACCGTACCGCGTTGAAATCGGAGCAGGCGACAGGTCTGCGAGTGATGGGCGCGCAGTCGAGGTAGTGATCGCTGGCCGGCGCCGCCTCGAGGCTGACCCAGACGAACAGGACGAGTTGAAGCTGCTAGGAGCAACAGAAAACTGTGGGCCGGAGCGCATGCGTGACCCTGTGACCCTCATGTGCCAGGACCGAGCACCCTCCGAGGCCAGCGCCGAAACGATGGAGAAAGAAGAAAAAGTAGAACCACAACAGACACCTGAAGTAGTCGTTGTTTCGTCATAGTTCCCGATCTCTGCGTTATTGTTTGTATAGTTAATTTATTTCCAAATATAATGTTCGCCATTTAATTTATTTATTATTAATTTGTTAAGTAAAAAACTTTAATTTATAAAGTGTGTTTTCTTGTGTTTGATAACAAGTTTAGCATCCTAAAACTTCCTCTGAACGGATTTTATATTTTTAAAGTACCGACTGACTACTTAAATAATTGAATCAAAATCAATCAAATTTAATACACAAACATAGTAAATGTTATTCTAGCAACCTTGTTGATTCACACAGATTAGGTACTTCATAAGTAATCTGTTTACATCATTATTAATGGAATAACAATAAACGTGAAATTTTTGCTTGTTTATTGACCTTTAAAATAATATATATTGTTCAATCTATGCCAACATCAAAGTCTTAACTCGAAGTATCAAAATATAGTTCACACAACAAACATATATTATGAGTACATATGTACCAAGTTTCGTTAGGATAACAGTTAAAAAATCGAGTTCATTGTATGAATTTTAAAATACTATAATTATGATGAAGATAAACAAAACAGATCTCATTATGAAAACAGACGAAAGGTCAATGAACATATAGTAGACCATATTTAGTATATCATTTTGTATTCTCCAAATTGAATCTTCCGATTTGAGTTAGTTTTGCTAACTCAAATCGGAAGATTCAATTTTTATTCTCATAAATATTTATATTACACTATCGAAAATTATTTCTAAGTAAGTATTTTAAAGCTTACATACAGCTAATTCGGTCTTGTCAAACCTACTACATGAGACCAAGTACTCCGCACCCCAAAAAAGAGCATTTGTTCACAGGCGACGATACAGTTTCTTGTGTGCTCTATATCCTTAAAAAATTAAAATGTATATTTTTTATGTATATGTATGTATACTTACAGGTTTATCTTATTTCAGTAGCTCTAGTTTTAGTCTTAGGTTGAAGTATTGTTTTGTTTGTTATTCCCTATTTCTCTTTTTCCTGTTGTTTTAGTTTGTCACACAGTGTCTTATGTCTCTTACATTTTTCCTGTCGAAGGACTGCAGGAAGAAGTTCCTATGTACCTCTGTCTCTGTATTTGTTCTCTATTTACTGTATGTATGATGTACATAAATAATAAATATATAAAACATAAAAAAACGTAGTTGCTTCCATTACAGATTTGCTTTCGTTAAAATCAATTGTACCATAATCGAATAAACTTTTTACTAGCATTGTAGATATTTAATTACAAACGATGTATTTGAGGTTGATTAGTAGTCTGATAATGAGTACATTAGCATATGCGAAAACAGATGGGCATACAACATTGCAGATACACTCTGATTGACCATAAACACACATTGACACACATACAATGCTCTAAACAGAGCGTTGTGTAATCATCTACTATGTATAATTACCTTATTTTTTAAGACTAGAATGATTGAGACAGACTGTGCTACAAAATTCGCAATGTGAAAATTCGCCAAAGAACCTAGAGTCACCGACATAGCTCTTAAAATCTGCAAGCTGAAGTGGCAATGGGCTGGTCGAAGGTCTTACGACAGATTGATCAGAAAAGTGCTCGAGAGGCGGCGGTGGACCGAAGACTTCGTCAGAGTCGTGGGGAGCCAATTGATGATGGTGACTTGTCGTTCGGCGTGCAGAACTAAGGGGGAGGTCTTTGTCACTGAGCCCGTTAATAAACACGTTTTAGAAAATTGTACAATATGTAAGTTATTTAGTTCGCATAACAAAATCCTACAAAGGAAGAAAAAGACACAAAGCCAATTTGTTTGTACAAGTTGGCTTTGTGTCTGTCTTTTATTAGCTTTGTGAAATTACTATAATCCCCTTTTTTTGTCAGGGGAAAATCGTTAAATGACTTCTCCCGACCAGGGTCAGGCGAGAGAGAGAGAGAGTGTCAGACTCTCTACACTAAAACCCCATTCCTTCTCCTGATCTGGGCCGAGGCCGCGGTGACCCATTGCGCTTAACCCGCAACCCCGGCTGAATTATTATATTACCTACTGTAATATTTTCGTTCAAATTAAGTGCCTGATAATAATGTTATAGTCTTATTTCAAGTTTAACGACAAAATAATTATTGCGTCTGTCCCGCACATAAAATAAATATTTAAATTAACACATAAATAGCCATGTATGGTGCAAGCTAAGGTTTCGAGTCTTCTTGACTTAATCACCTTAATTCTAATTAATCCAGTTTCCGTTCAAGTTTCTAAGAAAACCGGATACCATTAATATCCCCTGTATCCGCCGGCCAAGTTAAATCGCTATATCTTTGCAAATTGCTATGTCAAATGTGTTACTCAACTTAATTCTTTGACATTCTGAAGGATGTCAAGTTCTTATAAAAGTAAAAAGATACCATTTATAAGGAATCTGCTACATCTTTTTAAGAACAATATTAGATATACAATAATAAAAATACAAAATAAGCGAACTGTACAATTGAAAAAAATATTTATTATCTTTTATTTCTTATTTGTTTTCTTTTTACTCATAAACCCATAGACACATAACAATTAGAAGTACCTAGTTACTTATATTTTATATACCTAATTTGAAACTTCTTCCTGTAGTCATACGATAAGAGATAGTCCTTCCAGGTATCAATATTAAACGCCTGCCAAATAAAATACATTAATTCGTCATGACAGTATAATGTTTGTCGGTTCTGAGCGGCCAATCTGTTTTTCTTCTTAATGCACCTACCGCACCCTGCATCATACTATGATGGACTGGTGAGAATGCATGGGGTATTAAGTTCAACTAAGTAAGTCTATGTTGCATAAAGAATAAAAAAATGAATATATGAAATAAACAAAAAAATACAAATCTGATACTCATTGGGGACGCTTATGTTCAGCTATTCTTTTAACTATGAATTTCTTATTACTGTGACGGTGATACCTAAGCTAAGACTTTTATCATATTCGTTACTCTGTTAGCTTTGGAGTCACTTTACTATTTGTCCAGTTCGCCTATGTAAACGAGCAGACAAATACTTAGTAGTAATGGTAAGCGCTGCCCATGAACATTCGTAATAAAAAAGGAGTTATATATAGTACTACACGTGTGTTGTCGAGCTTTTGAGGTTTATTGGGTTATTGGATGGGGGGTTTGAGGATTGAGGACAGGGCAGGGGGGAGGATTGGGTCATCGATAACCTCACTCAAACGGCGAAACACAATGTAGATAAGTGCTGTTTCACACCGGTTTTCTGTGAGGCCGTGGTATCACTCCGGTCGACTGCCGAAGACTGACTCTCCCACACCTAAGAAATTCTAACTTTAAAAAAATTATAGAATTTAAATATTTTATTATAAATAAATTGTTCATGTCACACATAGAAAAGTATCTGTATTGTATTCTGTATCTTGTTTAAGGTATTATATTAAAGTTAAATGTTGTTATGATGTCCATTTTAAACGGATTAATTCCAAGAACGGTGTTCAGTGAGTTTTACAAAACCAAGATGGGAATAACATTAGAGCCGGCCCGGTGCCTTTTTATAAGCCTAGTAATTAACCATTGTTACAGCTACACAATCAGATAACGCAATAAAAAGGTAACGGTTCAATGCACTGGCGCCGACGCGTCCAGTTTCACATTTGCATCTTCTGTTCTGGGAATTCAAGTTAAAATCATAAAAAAAAAGTATAATATTTTTGAATTCCAACAGTACATTACAGAATTATTGAGATTTTACCCCGCCCTATTCATGATTATTTGCACACTTTTTTTTGTGAGGGGAAAATCATCAAATAGCTTCTCCCGCCCACGGTAGGGCGGAGGGAATGTCAGACTCTTACTGACTAATTCCCCCCCGTTCCTTCTCCTGTTCTGGGCCGAGATCACGGTGCCTCATTACGCTTACCCCGCAACCCCGGTTGACGCACACTCAAGTTGTGCGAGGAGGTTTTTTTTATTAATAAAAGTATTTATCCACAGAAATGATCTGTGGACATGATCGTCCGTGTTTTTTACGAGTATCTTTTGTAAAGTGCATGGAAGTTGCTGTACCAAAAGTTATTTTTTTTAATTGTTTCACACTTGGGTTTTATTTTGTGTAGTGGGTGTTTGTTTACTTGTTTGCTTGCGGGAAACGAAGCAGTAGCCAGTCGCCCAGCTACTACGCCACAATCGTGCAGTCAGGCTGATGATGTGATGTACCTCAAAAATTATTTGATTCCAGAAAAGGGTAGACAAAATGTTTCAATATTGTGTATCTGCGATTTCCATCTACATTGTTATCTGTGAGAGGTTTGACGTTGACTCGTGAACTACTTTGGAGCGGGGCCAACGATTGGGACTCCGCCAAGTAAGAAACAGAACCTCTGTTTACAAGGGTCATGTTACTTTATTTAATGCTTTGGTACTTAGGACTTTCTTTCTGTGTCTTTTTCTTTATGTGTCAACAACATTAAAGACACATTGAGAACTTCAAAATAGGATCTATTTTGTATAGTGCCCACTACTGAGCAAAGGCCCCTTCTCACACTGAGACGGTTTGAAAATTAATCACCTGGTTTGCTCAAGGCGTATTGGGGATTTCAAACTTGTGATTAAAAGTTATAAAAGTACAGGTTAATTAACGATGTTTTTCTTTACCGTAGGTCAAAATAAACTTAGAAAGTACTTAATTATGACTCTATACTTGCGACTATGAAAAAGTTACAGTGATATTTACTTGCCAGGTTTCGGACTCACCTCCACATGCCTGAGAAGCGGACGTCTTTACTACTGGCCGCCAAGACATTTTGAGGAATTGTTAAATAAATGTAGGTAAATAATAAAACAACACATAAATTTGCTATTTTCTTTTTTTTATTTCTGACCTTCAACGTTTTGACGCAAGTGTACTTAATTATTACCTATATAAAAACTATTACCTATATAAAAACTATGACCTGGCTGCGGGTGTAATAAGATTATTTACTTTGGCTTTGATTTTTTACTTATTTATAATAAAATTTTGTGATTTAGTCTTACCTATTATCATTATATAAATCTGTTCAGTTATGTACCTACCTAATAAAAATACATATAAAATAAAAGTAATCCAATAAGGATGTTTGTGTTTGTCAAAGAAACCAAAGATAGGTTGTAGATACGCAATATTGATTAGCAAAATTATAAAAATTGTGGTTAAATCATTAGTTAACTTACTGGACACCATACTTCGATTATGCTAAAGAAGCCAGAAGTTTATCTAAACATTACATACATATATTTATTTAAAATTTAAAATATTAGGCTAGCCTGGATAATACAATACTTTAAAGATTCACACGCTTTGTATGTGTGTATAATGTATGTGCAATGCAAGTGCATTTTTTTTAAATCTAAAACTGAAAACATCTGTGAAAATTCTAATGCTTAGTAACAACCGTGCTACTAACATCCTTCTATTTTTTAAAATAATTTGAATAACTGCTCAGTGATCAGATAAACTAATTACAGTTAAAGGTTATTTAAAAATGTCCATAATTGTCAAGACTAAATATACCTAATTAATTATACCTATATAATTTTTTTCTTTTTTTTAACTTTGCCCTACCCTAGAATTGTCTCCTGTGTCGTAGGTGCGTTTACAATCATACAATTTCACATACACATCGCACCCAGACCCGGAACAACTATTTGTGGATCACACATATAATTTAATTGCCATAGTCAAAAATAATTCTGTAAGTAATTCTAAAAAACGCTGATCATTTGCAGGGCTTATGGTTAGGCAACTATAAGCAACTCACTCACTCAGGCCTTGAAAATACCAGGTATAAGTAGGTATAATTTCCGACGAACGTAGTCACTGGCACAAACTCGGCTTCCAACAAATTTGACTTTGACTTTACCATGTAGCGGTGACGTTTAACTCATCAAATTGGGCAATTCAATTTGAAATTTTAGTAATATCGTAGGTAGTAAATCAAAAAAACTAATTATATACGAAATAAAATTATGTCAATTCGGTACATTTGCCTTTTTTCTTTTCTTTTCGCCTAGCGCATTTGTCATTACATTCTCATACACTAAGACAACTTTGTAACGAGTACATACATATATCTACTATATCAGTACAGTATCTACTATACCAGTTTTGAACATTCGAATTCCACCGACAGGCGTGGCTGTTCTGTACCGACTACCTTTTTCTACTGCACCCTATTGTAATGAGAATTTATTTAACGTGGACTTCCTTGTTGGCAGATCAAACAGAAGAACTTCTAGGCTGCTGCTCAAGTTCGATAGCTAGTGGCACAGGTCAGCAAAAGACTAGACGGATTACCTGATGGTAAGCAAAGCTACCAACTCCAGGAAAATTGTAAGTTGAAGTCGCTTTTCTTCACGCCTAAGCTACTGATTTCTGTGAAATTTGGTACAGAAATAGTTTGGAACTCGAGAAAAGACATAGGATAGTTTTTATACCAAAAATCTGCAGGAAGTCACTATTCCACGCGAAAGGAGTTGCGGGCAGAAGCTGGTGCAAAAAATGATATTTCAATTTGCCTTTTCTAACATATAAATTTATAAAAATGTCCGTGATACTCTGACGTGCATCATTGTAATCTTAATCTAATCTGCAGTCACATATACCTACCTAACTAAATAAATTTACAAAGATACATAAATTTTGCTTATGTATCTTTGTATATTTATTTAGTTAGGATTTTAAATAAAACTCATGTATGTAATATAGATATACATATATTGCACCGGAGGCACCCATGTCAGTCGTAGGTTAATTATGGGCAGCTTCGGGTCTGAGTCAGGTGTACCTACTGCTAAGATGCTGCTTTTCCTGAATTGTTTTTTTTTTCAAATTGTTAGGTAATAGAAACGTAATTTATTTCAAACGATGTGATTAATTTTTTCACGTGTTTATTTCATACATACATACATACACGTATTACAGGTAAATTAACTGCTAACTATAAAAATATTTATAAAATCAAAACCTGTTTAAAGATTCATAAGTACATGGAAAGGGCAGGTCAGTATCCTTCAGCCTGTTCTTTATCCATTTCTCAGCGTGTTCTTTGATTAGACCGGAATGATGAGATCCATTTACATTTGATAAAAAGAAAATCACTTTACATCACTTATACTCACAAAACTTCTCATGCACCAGGGTGCAGGCTTGATCCCTGGCAAGTACCAATGTGACTTTTCCAAATTAGGATATGTGTTGTACATGTATATGTTATAACATGTAGGTACTTTGTAAGCTTTTTAGGCATAACTAACAAACAGTAAAGAAAACATTGTGAGGAAACCTGAACTTCATTAAGTACATAAGTTTAAAATCACCAATCCGCCTTGAGTAAGCGTACCTAATATAATTTGAATGCTTAAACCTTTTCTGTATAAGAAGAGGCCTTTGCTCAGTGAGCACTTACAGGCTGACGATGTATGCTGCCGTAATTGTAGCATAACAACATTAATCTTATCGATTTCATACCACTGATATTACCTCAATATTAAATAATCAGTAAAAGTGTCGTTACTTTCCACACTCAATAATTCCTTTAGTGATTTTTTATACAGTGTTTTAAATCTTAGCGCTACGTGTATTTTTTGTCTAGGAAAGGTGTGTACCTAATCTACTGTTATAGTGTGTGAGGATAAGGATAAACTTAGTACTAGGTAGGTTACCTTTGAATATTTATTGACACAAATTGTAGTCTATTTTATGATAATTCACGAATACATCGGGCTACGTACGGGGTGGAATTAGGACTAATAACTTATGTCATATTCAAAGAATAAAAATTAGCAAAAATTGTATGACACACTTGTCGAATTTTGAGGTTAGTGTGTTCTTTTTTGAAACCAAAACCGGTTAAATATAAATAAACCCACATTTAATTAAGTGCGTCATTCAAATAGGATTAAATAGTTAGTAGTTATTTTTGTTGTGTAATATAAACGGCAATTATAAAATTACACGATTAACATAAAACCGCGGTAAATAATTGTTGCTGACGCCAAAACACTAAAAAGTTTTGCTAACTTCGATCATATTTAGGTATATTCGTACACACTTATTTCCTGAACTTTCAAAGACTTCCAGAGATGGGGCCCAACAGGGCCGATGTTCAGCCGGGGTTGCGCGTCAAATGGGACGAGCTGGTTTTTAGTCAGTATGAGGGTCACCCTGGGCGAGAGGAATTGTTACAGATGTCGAGAGAAATTATTTGACGACTTTCCTCCTTAAAAAACACTTACACTACAACTTACATTAGTATATAAGATTAAATATTTGTATGACTTAAATAGAAGCATATCAGAAAGTGATTCATTTTTAAATTATAATTTAGTTAACGTACCCCATTCATAACTTTTGTTAAAAGGACTAAAAAAAAACACATAATTATATCCATATTACAATACAAGTTGCCAAACAGAAATTAGTATTAAAATTACCATTTAACCATCGCATCCACAAATAGTTATTTTCATTTTGTTTTAAATATTAATTTCCTTTTAAATTAAGAACGTTATAAAATAATGTTACGTTTATTTCTAAAATTATTAATTTAAAAAGCGAACAGTCCTTTGTGCCTATATGAAAAAAAAAACAAAATTAAATTACGAAAGGTTTTACAATAATATTCTAAAAATAGGTACATACATGCATTTAAAATATAAAATATTCCTACTATGAATACTAATTGGCGGTAAACAAGTGAAGGTCAAATGCAAAAAACTACAATGATCTTGATTGCAAATAGGTTTTATTCTCAGTTGCTTTTAGACAGTCAACGGTAAAGGTGTTTTAGTGTTTAAAAATACATAATTTTAATTATTGATTCAGGAAAAATGGAGCAGAAACACATTCCCTTCCCGTACGAATTTGAAGAGATGACTCAGGAAGAGAAAGCTGAAAATAAAAGGCTGTACAATTGTAAGTAATTATTACAAACGCCTTCTAATAATAATTCTATTACTATTAACTTATTTATTAAAATCATTATCGCTGTTAAAACACATAATGTTCAGTTCGATTTCGGACTCTACAATTCATTGTAGAAACTTTATCAGTTGTCTGAGATAACATCGAGACTTAGCTTGTAAACAGTGTTTCGCAAAAAACATATCGCAAACATGTGCTGTATGTATTCACGGATGTAGGTATTAATATGTTAAGTCGACCATGAATGCTCCAATTAAGTACGTCGTACATATAGTTTATTGTTTATCAATTAATAATATCACTCGTTGAAAACATGGAGACACAACGAAAGAGATTAAAAACACAGGAATTTTCAAATTTTAAACTCTGTAAGAAGCGTTGTGTTTCGCCGTGTGAGTGGAGGTAACCGGACGCCCAATTATTTCCCATGAGGGATCCCATTCCTCTCCAATCCCCAAATCCCCTTATCCACAAATGACTGGCAAGCTCCTCTGCTGCGGATGTCCATGGGTAGTGAATAAACAGATTGAACTGTCATCGATAGTAGAGTCAAAAACTGATCGACACACAATGAATTTTCTCTCTCTTGGCTCTATCTCTTCTAACTTACTGTTATTTCTAGGTAATGATAACAGGACATTAAATATTGACAATATTTTCTAGATCCCAAAATCGATTTGATTCGAATGGGACCAAAGGGGTATGTGATGCCGCGAGCCTACAAAGAGCAAGCTGAGAGCATTTACAACTTGCCAATCAGACCTAGCGACATCTACGTGGCCAGTTACCAAAGGGCAGGTAAGCCTGTTCAAATGAACGCAACCGGGAAAGGATTTTTAACTACGGTAAAATGGGGTGAAAAGAGTTTGAAGGGTGAATAGATATAGAGATACTTACACAAAAGGGTGGAATAGATGTTGGTGAATTTTCCTAGTATCTATTCACCCCTCTTCTGTGTCTATTCACCCCGTTTTACGGTATTTATAAATTTGAGCAAACTACAAATAACTGTACCACAAATTAAATACTTTGGCTACCCAGACATGTTGTAAGTACTAATTAATAATGTTTAAATAACTTACGTTTGGATGACTTATCTAATTTACAGCCGAAATCCAGCTGAATGATTCAATTTTACAACGGAATTTTAGGTTAAGTTAGAAAAAAAAAAGATTTACATTTAGTCAAATAAACAAATTTAGTGTGAAATCCAATATTTCTGGTGGTAATTTCGAATGTTTTGATTGAAAAGGATCCACAGTTAAAGTATTCAATACCACTCATTCTTTAGGCCAACTTCTTTACGAAAAACCGGTATTGTCTGCCTGTAGTAATGAATGATCTAAGTTCAGGTTTTTTTATTTTGGCAGTTATTGGGTTCTATTATTTTATTAGAGTTTTTTTTTATCCCGATTAATTTTAATTTCGAATTCAATGTATAGAGCTCAAAATTCTTTGTTTTCAAACTAATTACCTAATTGACATAAGGGTTTAAGTGTTTATTTATATTAGTCTCATTAAACACAAATGTTCCTTCTTTTAGGTCCTCCTTTTTGAATACCTTTCCAGTAAAAAAATACTTTCAACAGGTACAACGTTGACCCAGGAACTGGTATGGCTGCTGGCAAATGACTGTGACTTTGAGACTGCGTTAGCTGTGCCCATTACTCATAGATATCCGTTCCTAGAGTGAGTATTCTATAACTATATCTATAGATATGTATGTATGGACTACAGGGCTGGCGCAGTGACTAGGTAACTGGTTGCTGTGCACCGTTTCGCTTGTACTAATTGTTGTTTCGTGTCTGGGTGGCTTGTGTATGCGAATTTGTAGGTTTGTAAACGTACACACGACACAGCAGATAATCCTAAAATAGGGCAACGTTATTTAAAAAAGCCAAAAATGTTATGTAATAAAGTTGTTACAATTATCCTTTGAAGCAAGGAAATCATTATGACAAATCTAAAATGCATATACAATGTCTAAGAATAAAAAAATTGAAAAACTTATTTGGGACAACTTAACCGAGTCTGGGTTTGAAGTTTCGCAACTTAGAATAGTTAGTCGGTTAGTGAGATCCAAAAGAATAGTAAACAGTTAAAAAAACAAAATCTGTTCCAGAATTTTCATGTTCTACATCGAATGGAAGAAGGAGCGTTTGGCGAACATCCACCAAGTGGAGGTGTCGAAGAGGGAGAACCTCATAAAGGCTATGGAAGTTATGACACAGCCGGTGCTGGAGAAACTGGCGTCGATGCCATCTCCGAGGTTCGTCAAGACGCATCTACCGATGTGCTGCTTGAACCCCACCATAGTGGACACAGCAAAAGTGGTGTACGTCGCCAGAGATCCTAGAGATATCGCCGTCTCTGCATATCACCACGCCAGACTTTTCACAGTATTCGACTTCGGAGGAACTTTCAAAGAATTCTGGCATTTATTCACGAACAACCGCTGTATGTATTATTAAATACTTTTTCACAATACAATAACATAATTTTTTTTTTATGGGATATGTTGATAAACAAGTCGACGGAATACCTGATGGGAAGCAATCACTGCCGCCTATGTTTACCCACGACACCCAAGAAGTTAGTGCTTTGCCGGCCTTTTGAGAATAAGGATTTCCGATAATTCAGGATTTGGAAGGGATTGGGGGAGGTGGGGTTATTGGGCCTCCTGCAACCTCATATCCTGACTCACACGGTGAAATACAACGCTGTTGTCTGTGGTTGTTTCACGCCGATTTTCTGTGAGGCCGTGGTATTACTTCGGCGAGCCGTTCCACTCGTGCCAAAACATAGCTCTCCCACACTTCGATGGCCGTCTCTAACTGATTTCTGTTGATTTCCTTTCAGTTCCGATGACTCCATATCTGGAACACGTAAAGGAAGCCTGGAATTTAAGACATCATCCTAACATGCTGATTTTGTTCTATGAAGAACTGACAAAGGTAGGTTAGAGAGAGAGAGAGAGAGATAAGAGATATTCAGACATATTCTTCTTTTTGGAATAGCTCTAAAAGCAAACGTCAAAGGATTAGTTAACTGATGGTAAGCAATCAACAGCGCCGCCTTTGGACACTCGTAATACGAAAAGACAAGTGCGTTGCCGGCTTTTTATGGGTTATTAGTAACTCAAAGATTGGGAATTTGGGTATTGAGAATGAGAGAGGCAGGATTAGGTCTTCGGTGAACACACTCATACGGCGAAACAAAGCGAGCTGTTTCAAGCCGGTATTGTATGAGGCCGTAGTATATCTTCGATCGAGCCGAAGCATGGCTTTCTCTCACTGTCAGCAAAATATAGAATTATTTATATGTAGTATGTATGCATAAATCTTTGGTAATAATCACAAGAAACTAGAGAAAAAAATCTTTCGATAGGTTTTTACACATGATGACGTATTATTTCAAGATCAGCACGTCGATTCTATAAAATTTGTTTGATTTTGAATCTTGTTCGAGTCCGAAGTAAGCGTCGAAGTGACAGGTAAATTAAATTTTAGAATGCCACTTTTAACGTCATTTCATACTTTATCTATCAACATGTTGCTGTCAATTTAGTTCAACTCGCACGTGTAGCGCTAGTGTACTACTACTCACAGCGGATTCAGATTCGAAGTTTAGAATGAAGTCTTACAGAATCATACGTGTGAAAATTTTATTTCCCGGTCACTTCGACGCTCACTTCGCACTCGAACACGATTCAAATTCAAACAAATTTTATAGAATCGACGTGCTGTGTCGTGGGTGCGTTTACAAACATACAATTTCACATACACATCACACCCAGACCCGGAACAAAAATTTGTGGATCACATAGAGTTGTTCCGTGGGGGTATCAAACCCGCGACACGTTGAACCAGTCGCCCAGCCACCGCCCCAATCATGCAATCATCATGAAGTAAATATATGGTATTCAAAAAAATATTTTTGTTCGCCAGGACTTGAAAGCAAGCATAAACCGAGTGGCAGACTTCTTGGGCAAGCAGGTGACTGAGGAGCAGATGGCTCGTCTGTGCGACCACCTCAGCTTCGAGAACTTCAAAAAGAACAAGTCTGTGAATTACGAGGGACTGCGGGACTATGGTCTGATGACGCCGAGGAAAGACGAAGTTTTCATTAGACGAGGTAAGCAAAGAAACCGATGATGTTACCTCTCTTATTTCATTTAAATGTCCAAAGGTAGGTAGGTGTCCTTAAGTGTGGGACAGCCATGTTTCGGCACGAATGGGTCAGCTCGACCGGAGTGATACCACGGCCCCACAGAAAACCGGCGTGAAACAACCACAGCGTTGTGTTTCGTCGTGTGAGTGAGGTTACCGGAGGCCCTATCCTTCCCCTCCCCCAATCGCTTCCTTCATTCCCAAAATCTCCAAATCCCTAATCCACAAAAGGTCGGCAACGCACTCGTAACTCCTCCGTCGTTGCCATGGGTGTCCATGAGCGGCGCTGATTGCTTACCATCAGGTAATCCGTTTGCTCGTTTGCATAATAAAGCCCCAAATAACAATTGATATCCTGCGCACTGGGCTGAAATCTGGATTAATGCCAGGTATTACCAGAAGAGTAGCGTGCTTTAGCGGGACCCTGTATAAAAAGTTTCCTAGGGATCTTTGGGAAGGGTACAGGTATCCCTAAAAATTAAATGAAAACAGAAAATTAAACTAAATAATTACCCACAATAATTACGTTTCTATTTCCAACTAGATATACATACACTTTTCTGGACTTCTTACGGTACACCCATCCCGCCTAACTGAGAGGATTTTGTCATTTGTGAAAGAACAAATTTTGGAAGGTTTGATTAATTTGATTTCGTTTGAGGACCCCGTACTTACGACCCGACGGTTGCCACACTCCTGGATACTACTGAAATTAAAAATGTCTATAAATTAAAACATTTAATTACTTAATTATCTGTAATGTTAAATTTTACTGTGTATGTGTGTATTGTAAAATTAAGTAATCACTATTGACTGAAGCAATAAAAGATTAAAATAACTTAGAGAAAAACATAACTTCTTAAAAGGCCAGTAATTTTGAAATTATTTATTTTTCTTTTAATAAAATCCGTGTCATCATCATCATCAGCCTGATGTCGTCCACTGCTGGACATAGCCCTTCCCAATTCGCCCCAAAATGCGTGTATAATTTGTGTATGTACACAGTATGTACCTAATCATTACAGAAAGTTAAAGTAGCACATTGGTAGGTGCGGTCGGATTGGATTACCTGATGGTAAGCAATCAGCGCCGCCCATTGGCATGGTAACAACAGAGGAGTTACTAGTGCGTTGCCGACCTTTTCGTTTGAGGGATTAGGGATTTAATTATTAATGGGAAAAATTCAGTACCTTTTATGTAGAATAAATCTCTGTTTCCAGGTAAAGCGGGAGGTTGGCGTGACTACTTTGACGAGGAGATGACGCAGCAAGCTGAGAAATGGATCGAGGACAACCTTAAGGATACTGACTTGCGCTTCCCTACAACAAAATGACCGTTGTACTTAGTAATCATATTATTAGACGTAGTAATTTGGCTATTTGTTACATCATCCAATTGTTAATCTATACACTTACTATAATATAATATTATATAGCTGTAGAGTTTCCTTGTTTGTTTGAATGCGCTAATCTCTGGAATTACTGGTTCGAATTAAACAATTCTATTTGTGTTCGTTAGTCCATTTATCGAGAAAGGCTAGGCTATAGAACATCACGCTACGATATGTAGGCGCCTAGCAGCGGGTGAAACCGCGATCCAGTAGCCAATTGCTTGTTATAAAATAAAGGTTTACGGCTAAATACATAAGTTGCATTGTAATAATATACTTCCTCGTTAATTAATATCCACGTTTTTTTTCAAGTGGTTCGTCCTATTCACCTTGTTTTCTCACACATGCTAAGTGTGGCTGCTCTCACAAGCTTTGCCGTGAATGGGTCGACTCAACCGGTGTGTTCAACGACGTATCTTGGCGAGTCTAAAGTTAGCCGATTAGCTGCGCAGTACACAATTTTGTTCCTAAAAGATCCATTGCGCAGATAAACTGCTAACTTCAGACTCGCCAAGATACGGTGGCCGTACTGTAAGCTTACTGGAGGCTCGGCCTCCCCCTCCCATCCTCGCTGCCCAATCCCTTAAGCCAATTTGTAATTATGACAGTCAAATATCTATATACACTAATATTATAAATGGGAAAGTAACTCTGCCTGTCTGTCTGTCTTTCCTTCACGCTAAACTACTGAACCTATTTCTGTGAAACTTGGTACAGACATAGTTTGGAACTCGAGAAATGACATAGGATATACAAAAAATCTTCAGGAAGTCTGCAGGAGTCGCGGGCAAAAGCTAGTTCATAAATAATTAAAAAATGAATTCGTTAAAAGTTAAAACAATCAATTGTTTACCGGGAAATAATATGGTTTTATAAGTGTTTACTAGAATAAATATAACCTCTATTGTGATAACAAATTACGATTATGAACATTGTAACTGCACGCTTCGCAATAAATAGTTTTATTGCAAACAGCGAATAATATTTGCTGTAGTGTTAATCCTTCTATAAAACTTATTATAAAGGCGAAAGCCAATATGGATTGATGGGTAAATATTGTTTTTTGAGAGGTGAAAATCATAAATCACCAAATAACTTCTCCCGCCCAGGGTGGAGCGAGAGAGAGTGTCAGACTCGTGCTCTGCTTAAAAACCCCCCTGTTCCTTCTCCTGATCAAGGTCGTGGTGCCTTATTGCGCTTGCCCCGGCTAGATAAGTATCTCTAAAATCTATACGGAACGGATCTGATTGTAAGGTATGTACACCCGGTTTCTGAAAGGCTTGTCATCTGATTGGTTGTTGATAATTCAGTCAACCAATCAGATGACTTGACAATAGATTAAATTGATTTTAACATTGATCGGACTTTCGGAAACCGGTGTTAGAGATAGATTACAGTCTGAAATAACATAGGTTAGTTTTTACTAGCTTTTCGCTTACTTAATACTGCGAGCGAAACCGCAGGCGGCAGCTAATAGTATTATTATACTCGCGAAAGTATGTAAATATTGAGGGATGGTTGTTACTTAAGCACAAGATGGAACGAGATGGTTTTCGACCAGTAAGAGTCTGACGCTTCCTCTCGCCCACCCAAGGCGGGAGATGTAATTAAATATTTTTCCCTTCTCCAAAAAGAATCTCGACAGTCCACTCGACCACAGAGTTAATCTTGTAGATATCGCTCGAAAATCTCTGTAACAGTATAAAATAATACTAGCTACTCTCACGCGGTTTCACCCGCTGCTCGGCTCCATTTAATCGTAGCGTGATGTTTTATAGCCTATAGCACTCAGGAACATTGTAGCTATCTATCAGTGAAAGAATTTTGGCAATCCGACTAGCGGTTCCAAAGAATACCCCCTACATATAAACTTACAAACTTACTTAAAATTTTACCTCTTTATAATATTAGTATAGATAATATTACACAACGCAAGATTCAACCTGACCATTAAAAACCAAAATGAAAAAATATGTAAGCAGTGGCTTACCTAGTTATTCAAGGTTTCTGAATACAATAGACTGACTCAATACAAATAGCAATGTTTAGGTAGTAAGAAGTTCACTAACTTGTTCCACATCGGTCAATGACATCTTCCAGACCTCTGTTTATCGTGTGCTCCGTGGTGACCCTAACGATAGTAAAATTGGCAACAACTATGTAAAGACGGGAACATGATACCGTATTTATACGAATAATAAATTAATTTAGACGAAACTTTTTTGTGTGCATGCAACAAATTCTAATTTCAAAACTTGATTTTTTTTTTATAAAATGTGAAAGCTACGTTCACTTTTAGTATAACATTAGAAAAAAATACAGCTAGAAATGATATAAGCCAGGGCGGATCGCTAATTCAAGGAGCTATTACGGGAATAAATAATATTAATAGTATTGAATTGAACCTTAAAAAAATACTAAGACTATGACAAAATCAAATGAACACAATAACAACTACCAATCAAGAGTGTATTTTTTTTTACTTCTTGGTTTTGCACGGCTTGTGCATTTAGTCACAACACGAAGAGTGTACTTACATCAACTTCTATTTTCATTTTTTTTAAGTACCACTTGACTCAGAAGCCATGAATCATCAAGAATTAAAAAATACAATGACGAAAGGTGCATTAAAAATTAAAAATTAATAAAGTGAACCATGATCGTCGGTCGTACACTTAATTACCAGCCATTTTTATCGCTGCTTACCTAAAGGTCTCCCAGGCGGGAGAAAATGTCTAAGGCATTAAGAACGCTTGTCCAGATAGTCGAAATTAGTATCATATAATAAATAAACAAATAATGTATGTATGACTCGCTTTGTTCTCAACCTACAAATTATTGAATTGTGTCAGCAATTCGCTTTTGCATGCTAACTCACCAATCACGGATTCGTATATAATAATATATAACTCAAATTGTACCCGTAGTGTCAAATTGTAATTGTACAAATATATTATATAACTGCTAAATTATTCTTATTGTTACAAGAGGAGCAATACATATATCTTCTACACTGAATTTTCAGTTGTTAAGTCATTATTAGTACCATAGCTTTAAAACAACTTCAGTCACCGAAGTTAGTTCCAATTTCAAATAAGTGCAATTTAAAATTAACTCGATACAGTTTATTTAATAAATATATTATATGTACTATTAAATGCTCCTTATTATGATGTAATGTTCTAACAAACTTCTATATTCTAGAAACAAATTTAAATTTATTCGAAAACGTTTGAAAGCCGTGTTAGTATGTGTATAAAAAAAAACGTTTACGGAAATATTATTTAAATTAAGAATCGCCAACTATGTATTTTTAATGGCTAGCTATTCATAAAATTATTTTCTAAAATTAAAAAAGGTTTTATTTATTTTTAAGATTTGTATTTAAAATAATTAATGTTGCAATGATAATAATTGAGATGTGGTGATTTATTTTTGTTAAAAATACTTTTATTTTATTCTGCGCACAATAAAGTGCTGGTGTGAAAATAGCTTTATTATGGAAGATTCAACGTTTATTACTTTCGTGTGTACCTACTGTGACATACCACGACCGCCATATTTAAACCCAGAAGTAAGTTTGTATATTCAGTATTTACCGCGCAGTTTGACAACATAAAATTACAAAAGATATTTTATTTATTATCCAAGAACACACCCTTTAGTATCTGACGTATTAAGTGATTTTTATCGTAGTCCATATCTTTAAAAATATTGTTTTACGTTAAATAATATTATTAAAGTTTGATCGTTTATTTGGTAACAGTGATTGGAAGAAATCAATTTATAGATAGATTGTTTTCTTTAAAATGTGTGAACAAAACGGTGGTTCGAATTTTCCATATGAAATAGAAGAATTGAAACCTGAAATAAGAGCGGAACTTGCTAAATATTATGCATGTAAGTATTTTTTTTTTTGTATTATGTTGCCATTGTAGCTAAGCAACAAGTTTAAGTGTGAAAATTTATATTGAAAGCGATAATTGGCCGTGAATTGTACCGCCTTTGATTATTTGTTTTTAAAACTATTAGTTTAAACTTGAATTTATTTTGCACAATATTGAGGTATGGCAATAAAACTCACAGAGGTTACCTGATACAATATTGTAATAAAATAATAAATAAATAGCTGTAAATTAAGATAATTTTTTGTTGTATGGCATTTCCACCAAAAAATATTTGTTTTCTAGCGGCAAGCGTTTGTTCCAAGTAAACTCGCAGTTATATTTTTTCTGCATAAAGTTGTAAGTTAATAAAATAAAACGTAGCGATAAAACATACAACAATTAAGAACAATTTTTTCCTGTACGTACCTAAGTACAGGAAAAAATTGGGCGCTTATCTAGGTCTAATATAAATTATTTTTACTTTTCAATATAACAAATTATTAATATATAACCACAAGATATCTATTGGCTTGACGACTGTATTTAATTATTAATTTATATAACTAAGTTTTCAGAAAAAAGTAGATATTCTATGAGACGTAAAAAAATGGCGTTTCTTATAATTATGCGATTTTCAAAAAATATCATTTTTGACAATCCTGTATCGAAAGCATTGAATCTTAACTATATGAAAACCGTAAACTGATATACAAGTTCCTTATAACAAGCATTCCAAACTTCTACCTCTAGATAGTAAGAAGAATTACATATACAATATACATATACATACATAAACAACGAAACCCGCCCCACCTACTTTTTTACAAATTACTTAATAATGCAATTACGTCAAACTTCGTAATACCCGTAGCTGCAATGCTAATTAAATAAATACAATGTCACCGCATCGTGTTTATCTACTAAATAAACTTATCTTTTGTGGTGAAATGGCTGTCAAATGTCCTCTTTTATCAATGGAAATTTCCTTACATCATTAACTAAATGTATCGGATAGCATATTGCATATAATATACATATTGTCAAGGCCCTCTCCTATTGGGGAAGCAAAGAAAATTTATCACCTAATAACACCATACGACATACCTACCTCTTTTGCTCTTTCTAAATAAAGCATAAAGCAATCCCTTCCCCCAATCACTAAATCTCACCCCAAAACATCGCAAAATCCTCTTACCTCCACCGTTGTTGTAGGTATCCATGGGCAGCACTGATAAACTTACCATCAGATAATTCAACCGATCATTTGCCGTCCCGTCATATACAAAAAATGCTTGACGATCGAAGGTGATTTGATTTGACCCTTTTTCAAAATATTGCTTATTTGATTGATATGTAGGTGCTTCTAGGGCGCCCTCTACCGTCTCATCTTCCCATACTCACTAGCTAGAAAATCCTCTTTTGTAAATCTTCTAAGCAACCATCCTTACAAAATACAGCCTTAGCATTATTTTTTCAATTCTTGTCACTACATCTTTCTAAGCACACGATCTCCGACCACCGTAAGGAAACCGGGTCTCCGGACGGCCTTTCTTTTTTTTTTGTCATGGGAAAATCATCAAATGACTTCTCCCGCCCAGGGTTAGGCGAGAGAGAGTATCAGACTCTTACTGACTAAAAACCCCCCGTTCCTTCTCCTGCTCTGGGCCGAGGCCGCGGTGACGTCTCCGGACGGTCTACCTTATCGATAGGAGATTCATATAAATACGTATGAACTTGGCAATGAATTAATCATAGGTAGGTACAATGATGTATAAAACTATAGATACGTTGTCCGCGCTCTAAAATGACAACATGAAATGAAGGCAATTGACCACATCGCGCTTAGTTACGCACCAACCTGCCGCGCGACGCTACGTTTGTTTTTAATTTATATCGTGTGTAAACCTGTGCGAAACTTAAAGAAAGCATGTCGTCGTGTGTGTTCAGACGATGTACAAATTATACTCCAAAAGTTAAAGACAAAAATGTGTCATTTCATGCGTAAGTTCACCAAACAACCTATTTTTATTTTATTTTTTTCGACGCCGGCGCCCGCCATCTTATGGCGGCCGGCGCATGAAGGTATAGTCACGTGACGTCGGCATAACTGAAGATGTATATTTATCTCCCTCTAGCAAAGGCATTCCACTATACGATGTCATATTTTCTTTCCCTTTCTTTACTCGTAGAAGTAGTTATCTAGTATTTTCGCCGTTTTTAAGCGCCGCGATGTTGGTTCATGACGTGTCTATATATAATACGTCATTGGGTAGGTACATGTTATGCTACAGGTAACTTGAAATTACGATGTTTGTCAGATTTAGCTCATATTAATACAAAGAGTTAGATCATAAAGATAGTGTACTTTCTTGTCGTTAATATCTTAAAGTCAATGCAATATTTTATTACTGACAGATCGTGCATTTTACAAGGTTAAGCCATAAAAGATATTTGTGTTTATTTATTATCCACAATCAATGTTACAATAGTTATACAGGGTGAATGGCAATTAGTGCACGATACTTAAACACGTGATGGCGCTCAAGATAACAAGTTATGGGAATAAACCTAAAATTGCAAAAAAAAAACAGCTGTTCAGTACATTTATGTTTGCCTAACAGTAGAACAGCTGATATTTTTTAGCGATTTCTGCATTGCTCCTAGTTGTACAGTATAGTAGACTCGAGCCCATCTATCTATTGCTTGGGATTTTTACTCAGTGACAGATTTCTTTTTTGTTTTTTTTTGCGAGGGGCAACAATGATTTCTCCCGCCCAGGGTGGGGCGAGAGGGAGTGTTTGATCTTCCTAATTAAAAATCCTAATTAAAAACCCCCTGTTCCTTCTTCTGCTCTAGGTTGAGGCCGCGGTGCCTTATTGCGCTTACCCCGCAACCCCTGCTGAACATCAACGCCTTTTTCCTTTTTAATACCTGTGGCAATTTCAATTTTGTAATCTATTTTCTCAGCGGAGCCAGATTTCGTGACTATTGGACCGAAGAAGTACGTGTTCCTTCGGCCTTACTTGGAAGATGTGGAGAATGTGTACAACATGTCGCTGCGGCCCAGCGATGTCTTTGTGGTTACATACCAACGATCAGGTGATTATCTAAATCAGGTGTTTTTGCATCGTGGAGCCTGTGTGTGTAGTGGTTAAGTAATGTATATGATGACTTTCTTACACTCCCAAAATTGTTTGGTGTTTCTTTCTTGGGCCAAAAGCGATTAAAAACAATTCCTTTAACAATTAATTGGTCGAGCAACAAATTTTAGTTTTTCTGCTACATCAACATCAAACTAAACAAGCGAATTATTTTAATTAAGTTGAAGTTCGCGTGTTAGACATTTTAATTAAAAAACAACAACTATTAATTAGTACGTAATCACGTTATATGAAAAATGGTTCTTAATAAAATATGAATATTCTGATGTTCTTTTGCAGGTACCACTTGGACTCAAGAGTTAGTTTGGCTGTTAGCTAATGACTTTGACTACGAAACTGCTGCCAAAATTCCCATTACTGAGAGATATCCTTTCCTGGAGTAAGTCTTTATCATAATGTTGCAGTATTATAGCTCTTGTTATTTTCTACTGCTTAAACGTTGATGCATATCTCTTTATAATTCCTCGTATAAGCTGGTATACGTCAACTGGAACCTGCGTATTTGCGGAATTTGTAAAACAAACTACTTTTCTGGGTATAACCATAGATGACAAACTACAATGGGGGCCCCATATCACATCTCTGGCAGGACGGTTGAGCTCTGCAGCATTTGCTGTCTGAAAGATCCGACAGCTAACAGGTGTGGACACGGCAAGACTGGTGTACTTCAGCTACTTTCATAGCATTATGTCGTATGGCATCTTGTTGTGGGGACAGGCTGCTGACATTGAGTCTATCTTTGTCTTGCAAAAGCGTGCCATCAGAGCTATTTACAACCTAAAGCATCGTGAGTCTCTTAGAGAAAAGTTTATAGAGATCAATATTATGACCGTGCCATGTAAGTTTATTTATGAAAACATTATGTATGTTAGGAAAAACTTAAAAATATTCGATAAGGTGTCAGATAGACATACTTATCAAACTTGAGATTGACCAACTGGATGCAGTATCAGCATTTTTACAAGGTGACATTGATGTTGACATTTACATGAAGCAACCAGAGCTGTATGAACAAGGGCCTCAAGTGTGTCACTTGAATAAATCCATATATGGATTAAAACAGGCTAGCAGGTTGTGGAATTCAAAATTAAACCTTGTGCTGCGGGAGATGGGACTGAAACGTTCAAAGTCTGACCCATGTCTCTATTTCAATCCAGATAAGAATACCTACATTGCTGTGTGGGTAGATGACCTCATTTTATTTACTTCAAATAACGTGGAAAGAGACAAGATTAAACACAGGCTTATGCAACACCTCGAGATGAAGGACCTGGGTAAGGCTAGTCAGTGTGTAGGCCTGAACTTAACCAGGGATGGAGACACTATTATGATTGACCAAGAAAAATATATTAAAAGTGTACTTACTAAGTTTGGTATGTCTGACTGCAAATCATGCAAAACACCTATAGAAGTGGGCCTGAAGTTTGCTCAGAGAGCTGATGACAAGGAAGTAGACTACCCTTATCAACAGGCTATAGGCTGTCTTCTCTACATTGCTCAAGGTACAAGGCCTGACATTTCCTTTGCCGTCAATACTCTCAGTAGGTTCAATAAAGAACCAAGAGCAGAATACTGGACAGCAGTGAAAAGAGTACTACGATATTTACAGGGAACTAAAGATCTGAAGCTTACCTATACCAAAGATGATCAACCAAATCTTAGAGGCTTCTGTGATGCAGACTGGGCCAGCGATAATATCGACCGAAAGTCCTGCACGGGCTATGTTTTTATTTCTCAGGGAGGCGCGGTGTCCTGGTGCTCCAGGAGACAACAAACGGTGGCTTTGTCAACCGCCGAGGCGGAGTACATGGCCATGTCATCAGCAGCGCAGGAGGCCCTGTGGCTGCGACAGCTGCAGATCGAGATCGGCCAGCCTTCAAATGGACCGCTTTGCATATTTAGTGACAATCAAAGTGCTATAAAATTGTCTGCCAATGATTGTTATTTACCCCGTTCAAAACATATTGATATAAGATATCATTTTTTGAGAGAGCATGTAAACAATTTAGAGATAAAATTTAATTATTGTAGAGGCGATAATATGATTGCAGATATACTAACTAAGGGTACCACTGAGCATAAAAACTTATATTGTATAGCAAAAATGGGTTTGCGTTCAGGGGTGGATGTTAGAAATGGAACGCAATCAAATAAGTAGTTCGCATTTTTGCCGCTTAGTGGCGTTCTCAATTCTTTTGTTTTTTTTCACTTTTTGACACACGTTTGTAACGCTTACGTCTTAAGAAATAAATTACACAATATATAAAGTTAATACTTGGTTTATTCAATAATTCCTACATGGTATCCGTAGTAAATCCGTATAGCAGTAATGTTCCGGCACCTACAGAGATATCCTTGACTGAAGAAGAAAAGCTCACCTTACCATTGGTTGAAGAAACTACTGTTGATTGTGTAACGAATGAGAGTTGTGATCAGGATTCTAGCGAGTATGAGACGGATGCAGGAGATTCAGATGAAACATATGTCCCACCAAGATACAAACACTCACAGAACCAGCAGAGAATCACGCTGAGACCTCGTAACAGAACTCAAAGGAATATCATAGATGGAGATGAAAACAGTATGTATTGTTTACTTTCAAGTTTTTGTGATCCGCAGACAGTTGAGGAGGCACTTTCATCACCTTACGCCAAACAGTGGAAACTAGCAATGGACGAGGAGTATAACTCACTGATGAAAAATAATACCTGGAATCTAAAGGACTTGCCTTCGGGTAGAAAGGTTTTGCCATGCAAGTGGGTCTATAAAACTAAAACTGACCAAAGTGGTAATATAATACGATTTAAAGCCAGGCTTGTGATTAAAGGGTATGCCCAGAGAAAGGGCACTGACTACGAGGAAGTGTTCTCACCTGTTGTAAAGTACACTACCATAAGGTACTTGATATCACTAGCTGCAAGATTGGGGCTTGAGATTGACCAACTGGATGCAGTATCAGCATTTTTACAAGGTGACATTGATGTTGACATTTACATGAAGCAACCAGAGCTGTATGAACAAGGGCCTCAAGTGTGTCACTTGAATAAATCCATATATGGATTAAAACAGGCTAGCAGGTTGTGGAATTGGTTGCAAAGTGCTATAAAATTGTCTGCCAATGATTGTTATTTACCCCGTTCAAAACATATTGATATAAGATATCATTTTTTGAGAGAGCATGTAAACAATTTAGAGATAAAATTTAATTATTGTAGAGGCGATAATATGATTGCAGATATACTAACTAAGGGTACCACTGAGCATAAAAACTTATATTGTATAGCAAAAATGGGTTTGCGTTCAGGGGTGGATGTTAGAAATGGAACGCAATCAAATAAGTAGTTCGCATTTTTGCCGCTTAGTGGCGTTCTCAATTCTTTTGTTTTTTTTCACTTTTTGACACACGTTTGTAACGCTTACGTCTTAAGAAATAAATTACACAATATTTAAAGTTAATACTTGCTTTATTCAATAATTCCTACAAAACTAGACATAGAGATAGATTATGTCAGCCATTATTTAGATTGGCAAAGGTACATAAGTCGTTCATGGGATTCTGTGTTAAATGTTATAACAAAATCCCAGGCGAAATACAACAATTAAATGAAAGAAATTTTAAATTATGTGTAAAGAAAACTTTATGTAGAAAAGCATACTACACACTGAATGATTACATTGTAGATAAAGATGCTTGGAGACATACTGGTCCTGCTCCACAGGATAGCAAACCTACACCAAAATAAATAACGTTCCAATGGATTTTGCTTGAACGGGACTTCTTCATTTTAGTGAAATTGCATTATATTGTATAACTATAACTTGATAAATTTGTAAATGTGAGTGCCCTGTAACTTATTATAATTGGTTAGACTAGCAGAATGTCGGTCCTTATAACAGCTTGGAGTTGTCATGCTCACTGAAAGGTCACACTGGCGGTGGCATGGGCGCTGGATCGCTTAATTCCCTACAATATCCGGTCAGCTCCAGACTGTCTATTGTCCTTAAGGTTACTTTATTTTTATATTTGAATAAATATTAGTGTTACACTGTTCTCACATAATTGAACCAACTGTTTGTAAAAGGAATCTTAATGTGAAACTGATTTAAAAAGAGTTACCATGGAGTTTCTTGTTCGTTCTTCTCCATCGGAATCTACACTTTGGAACGAGCAAATAGCTTCACTAAGAGGACTGGCCAACAGACTGACACTATTTTTTATTTTAAATTTTGTTTGACGTTCAAAAGTGCCTGTAAAGGTCTAATTGGAATGAATGATTTTTGACTTTGACTTTTTTTGCGTAATTTGTATGTAAGTGCAATTTACCCACAGATTGTTCATGTTCTTCAACAAGAAATGGCAGCAGGATTTACTCGAAAGACACGAAGACAAGGATAAGGCTCTGGCTTTGATAGAGAAGATAGCCAAACCTGTGTCAGAGAGGCTTCGACTTGCCCCATCTCCTCGCTTCATCAAGTCCCACCTTCCAATGTGTCTGTTGCCCCCCAAAATCCTGGATACTGCGAAGGTCATCTACGTGGCTCGGGATCCTAGAGACGTGGCAGTATCCTGCTACCACCACTCCAAGTTGTTCAAAGTATTGGACTTCCCGAGTCCGTTCAAAGATTTCTGGAACCTGTTCATAAGAAATCTATGTGAGTGCAAACAACTCTTAACACATTCATAAAAATGTAACTTCATACATAACTTAATAGATCATTGCATTCATCAAAATATGCGAAAGTCCTGATTTGACCATGTGAACCTTCATATTACAAAATTTAGAATTCTCTCAATAACATCTTTTTATAAATTGCAGTCACTGAGACGCCATTTTTCGAGCACGTAAAAGAGGCATGGGAGTTAAGGCATCATCCGAACATGCTTTTCTTATTCTACGAAGACCTTATTAAGGTACTTGTTTATTTCTCACTGATTTAAGGCTTCTAGTTTATCACAAAGGGCCTATTTCTCCAGATAAGTTTGAAAATTTAACGTAATTTGTATGAACTGTCGGTAACGTGCCAATGTAAAGGTGGTAAAATATAAACATTTTTGTTATGACACCTAAATTGAATACCTACGTAAAAGTAAAAATTTCCCGTTATTTTACATTTCGGTCGAGTTTTCTAATTCTTGGTGTATTTATAGGATTTACCATCCGCAATACGTCGCGTGGCAGATTTCTTGGGCAAAGAAGTAACACCTGCACAGATGGCCCGCCTGTGTGACCATCTCAGCTTCGAAAACTTTAAGAAAAACGATTCTGTTAATTATGAAGAGTTAAGAGAATATGGTGTCCTGTCTTCTGAAGAGAAGTTTATGAGGAAAGGTAATAACAAAAACTATTATATTAGTTTGCAATATTGTATGTGATAGAGTTGTATAGAATTTGACTGCACGGTTGGCGCGGTGGCTGGGCAACTGGCTGGCGCGCAACGTGTCGCGGGTTCGATTCCCACACGGAACAACTCTTTGTGTGATCCACAGATTGTTGTTCCGGGTCTGGGTGTGATGTGTATGTGAAATTGTATGTTTATAAACGCACTTACGACACAGGAGAAAATCCTAGTGTGGGGCAACTTTTTTAACAAAAGAAGTTCAAACTATTTAACTGCCATGGCCGAGTGATCGCAAGGGCAATTACCGGTCATAGACTCGGGTAGAATTTCTGGGTCGACTAAAGTATTATATTGGGATTTCTTCGGTTTTTCGAAAGATTTTCAAATAAATATCACGGAGTTTAAGACTGACCTCGGTATCCCCAATCACACGGGCCTCATAATAAACGTAGTGAATAAATGGCAGACCTCCTACAAGTCCGGGGATAAACAGCGTAACGATATGAAAAAAGTAGTTGTTTAATAAAAAATTTGCAACTGAAGTAAAGATTTAGATTTTACTCTACAATATTAAAAAAAAATATTAAACTTTTGCCTTATTTTTGTTCCCAGGTAAAGCTGGAGGTTGGCGCGCTTACTTCGACGAAGAAATGACACAACAAGCTGAAAAATGGATCGAGGACAACTTGAAGGATACCGACCTGCGCTTCCCTACCGTTAAATAATTTACATAGATGGATACCACATACTATTTACTGTGTATTTATATATAGGAATTTATATTTATGATAAGAAATATTAAACGCGTATGTTAATAAAACAAACAACTACAATTTACTTTTTCCTTTTACTACTTATTTTCCCTATTTCTAGCCTATTTCTTGATAATAGATATTGAATATAATAAAATATCTGAATTATCTAGTATATAATACATATTAATGTATGATTAGGCATAAGTTTAGGTTAGATTAATATAAAAATCGAGCGAGTCTTGCCAGTAAACTTAACAGTTTGACGAATTTTACTAACAGTTAGGTATATAATATTTTTGTAAACTTATGATATTAAATAAAAAAAACAAATAACATCTCTCGCCCTGACCTCCTAGAGACTAAAAAACCACCCTGTTCTGCTCCGGGCCAAGGCCGTGGTACGTTATTACTTGCCTAGCAACCCCGACTGAACATCTGCCCTAATGGAACCCTGTTCTGGAATCTTTGGCTCTGAGGTCTTCCCTCCCGCCTCAACTTCTCATAATCACATCTGCCTGACACGCCGAAGGTCCCCGGTAAGAATGGATCGGCACGAACGGAGTGATACCACGGCCTCACAAACAAACTGGTAGTTTCACGCCGGAAGACAGCGTGGTGTTTCGCCGTGTCAATGAGGTAACGGGAGGCCCAATCCTTCCCCTCCCCCAATCCCTCCCTGATCCTAGTATCTCCAAATTCCTAATCCCCAAAAAGTCGGCTACGCACTCGTAATGCCTCAGATGTTACGGATGGCCATAAGCAACGCTATGTGCTTTCCATGGGGTCATCCGTTTGCACGTTTGCCGATCTATCACAATAGGAAAATAGAAAAAAAAATTGCTTGTTTTTCTTTATTTCAATCATGTTATCAGTTGATAAACAAATTTAATTCCGTTACGTACTGGTAATACCACGAGCACGCCCACATACCACATACATAAGAGGTGGGTGTAAAAAAGATTATTTATCTATTTAATTATGTACAAAACACATTCTATTTCAATTATAGTTTGGTACCTCTTGTTTAGTTGAGGGTGAATATCATCAAATGACTTTTCTCATCCAAGTTTTTTTTTTATTTGAGAGGTCGACTTACAACAAGGGATTGGACCTGTGGTAACCTCACTCACACGGCGAAACAACGACAAGATTTCAAAAGTAGGTACCTATTTATAGTTAAGTAGGAATAAGTAATTTTGACTTGATTGACTTTGACTTTTGAATAAAAAAATTACATACATATATTTGACTCATAAAAAACATCTAAGTACACTAGATTTCAGGTAGAGGTCATTATTACATTTTGGATTTATTCACCTGGTAACAAAAAAAATTACCAATTCCATTTTTTAAAAATTTCCATTCAGTTTTTGAAAATAAATTAATATTTTCAATTAATTTATTTTCAAAAACTGCAATTTATAATTGGGTATTTTTTTATGGATTAAGCCTTTGTTTACGTCAAAAAGAGATAACATCATGTAAAACAATAAAAAGGAGGAAAACAATAGTCATGCTACATCGGATGACTGACTGTTTTGGTGGTGACTTTGCAACTTGTACAAGTATGCAGATAAAATAAACAAAACAAAATACATAATCTACTATTACTGGCAAATTTATAAATTACGCGTTGCCATGCCCACTCAAAAGCAAACAGTATAAGTATAGGGGAACTCCCGATGGCCGGCCACGCTATTATCGCAGTAGTAAGACCCCTCTTTAAGGAGTGGTTAGATAGACCTGACATAGATGCCGCCTGTTTCGGATCCAGAAGGACTAAACGCCCGGTTGTAGTCACTGCGAAGACCACCCGGAGGATATGTCAGAACAAGTGATACCAAGGCCTCACAGAAAACTAGCGTGAAGCAACACTTACGTTGTGTTTCGCCGTGTGAGTGAGGTTAACGGAGGTCCAATCCCTTCTCTTCCCCATCCTCAATCCTCAAATCCCCTATCCTCAAATTCCTCATAACCCATAAAAGGCCGGCTACGCACTTGGAGTAACTTCTTTATTCCGAGTGTCTAAAGACAGCGCTGATTGCTTACCACCAGGCATTCCGTCTGCTCGTTTGCCAACCTATGACGTAAAAAAAAAACATACGTTGGCGGAATGCCCTGAATGGGCTGAGAATCATCTTATCCCCAGGGAAACGATTGGTGGCAGTCACCTCTAGCACCTAGTCTTAATTGAGGTCATGGTGTGGAGCTAGAGGAACTGAGAAGCTGTGTCCTCTTTTCCTCCTTCTGCGAAGCAGTCACGCTCGCAAAGAAGAAGGCAGAGCGCGTGAGGGAACAAAAAAGCCTTACAAAGAAAACATGGTCAATGGATAAGGATTAAATTTAGGACAGGGCATTAAAGCGGATGTTCAGCCGGGGTGATGACGGGATGTAGGAGCAGGAGGAACAAGGTGAGCATTAGTCTGTAAGAGAATGATACTCCCTCTCACCCCGGGATAAACGTTGGATGATTTTACAAGCTCTAAAAATGAGTATCTTGCATAACTGTCACATTTTTTGACAAAGTTTTTGTGTTCTTATTTTATCTCTAACTAGTTACTCTCACGATGTTTCACCAGCTACTCGGTTCCATTTGATCGTAGCGTGATGTTTTATAGCCTATAGCACACAGGAACGTTTTAACTATCAGTCAGTGAAAGAATTTTGGAAATCCGACCAGCGGTTCCAAACATTACCCCCTACATACAAACTTACAAAGTTACAAATTTTACCTCTTTATAATATTAGTATAGAAGTATAAATGTTGCAGTCATATACCTTCTTAAGTATTTTTATTCTAAAGTTTTTAAATTCATTTTAAGTTCTAGCGTACCTATCATGTTTCCTTTGATACCTTTTTGGTATATTTATATGCTTGGTTCGATTTTCTGCCATACCTTATTTTGAAAACCGAAGGTATATAAGTATTGCAGATTTATCTTGTTACCTACGTAAATAAATATGTATGTATATGTAGCATTTTATAGTGCTCATACACAGTTTATATAAAAACAGATCTCGTGTTTATGTATTTGTGTATTGTGATAATATCTCTAGCTTATCTTTGACTTAAATGACTACATCAACTTTATATGTAATTTCTTTTCGTTATTTCAGTGCCCTTACTAACATTTCAGCTGTCACACGTGAATTAATATTACCAAGTTTTTCCGTTTATTAACTTTATAATGGGAGATAATAATATTTTACCGTATCCTTACGAATTTCGTGATATAAGTGACGAAGAAAAGTCCCTTTTGAATAAACTCCATACTTGTAAGTACTTAGAATGATATTGTAATATTTATTTTATTTATAAAGAAATATTTTTATACAATAACACCGACTACTATCCTAATCTTTTAAGAAAAATAATAAAGTGGAAATAATAAATAAATGTAAAACATAAATTGACGACAGTGAGGTCGCACTCCAATCTATAACAAATTATAAATTAAATAAGTACTAAATTTGGATACGTTTATAAACAAAATTGAGATTAAATTAACACATAATAATTATATGTACATAGGTACAGGGCTTATTCTGAATGCCAACTAACAAAGAACAGCTTAGAAGGCTTGATATTCTTGATATGATGTTTTTATAAATATAGACTATACTTATTTAATTTTTTTACAGATCCGGATGCATCAAACTCAGCTCGCGTTGGCCCCAAGGGTTATATAGTGAACAAAGTTTTCAAAAAGGATGCTGCTAATATCTACAACATGCCGCTCAGGCCTAGCGACATATTTGTCACCAGCTATCAAAGATCAGGTTTGGCTTTATGTTTATAACAAGTCTTGATACCTGAGTTTTATTGCAGTTTCGTTTATTGGGTCAATCGGTCCCGTCAAATAGATGAGAAGGATCTATAAGTCTATGTTGTGTTGTTAGTGTTTCTCCCGTCTCCCAACCGGTACATTCTTGTAGTCCTACAGGTAAGTGTGGAAAAGCCGAAAGCCGAACTTCGGCTAGCATGAGCAGACTCGACCAGAGTGCCACCACGGCCTGATACAACCACAGCCTTCCTAACCCAAACCTTCCCTCCCTCCAAAATCCGATTGCCTACCATCAGGTTATCCATATACTCGATTGGCGCAGGTACATAAGCATAGATCTTTCATACATAGACACAGGAGCACAAAAACTTCTTACATCCATAAAACACTAAGTTTTACATGCCGTAATTCCAATATTACAGGAACTACATGGACCCAAGAGCTGGTGTGGCTGCTGGCAAGTGATTTGGATTATGAAAAAGCTTTAGCTGTTCCACTTACCGAAAGATATTCGTTTTTGGAGTAAGTATTTATTCTTAATTATTGTATAATTAATGTACGCTAACAGTCCATCTCAATTCCGCACAGAAAGGCTAAAAGTTTTTTTAATGTCTGCAGTTCGTCAGTGTTTACATATATTAACTTTACAATAACTTTTTTATGTAGAAAAGGGATTATCGTATCGTGTTAAGTTTTAGTACAAATCCTTTATCTGTTCTAGTAATAAATACTAACCTCTGTAACACTCATGACGTTCCGTGTATGCATGTAATCAATGGCGAAAAGACAAGCAAATTATTCGTCTTTATAATACTACATTTATCTTTTAACTTAATTATCTTTTGAAATCTAAAGACAAAAATTCGAACCTGAGTTCCGTCGCAACGGGGAACCGACGAATACTTTTTTATATTCTAGCGCATCAACAAGATGTCAGAACACTTCAATTTATTGAACTACACACTGAATGAATTTACACGTACAGCGTATTGTACTATTTCTGATAGTCATGTAGCTGTAGGGGACAGTAGACTTGGGTGTGCTCGCCATGGAATTATGCGTGATGGCCACATGCTGGTTTGTCATCAAACCTGTAATATTGATATAGATAAAAAGAATAACTACTGACGTTGGAGATTTGTCGATACAACAATTCTCTAAGTGTGGGAGAGCCATGCTTCGGCACGAATGGGTCGGCTCGACCGGAGTGATACCACGGCCTCACAGAAAACCGGCGTGAAACAACCACAGCGTTGTGTTTCGCCGTGTGAGTGAGGTTACCGGAGGCCCAATCCTTCCCCTCCCCCAATCTCTCCTCAATCCCTAAATCTCCAAATCCCTAATCTCTAAAAGTTCGGCAACGCACTCGTAACTCCTCCGTTGCGAGTGTCCATGGGCGGCGCTGATTGGTCACTTACCATCAGGTAATCTGTCTGATCGTATGCCGATCGTTTACATAAAAAAAAAAATTGTATTTTTATTTTCATCTGTCGTATCGTATTGGGTTAGTACCTGTATTTATAGATTCAACTTTTGTTGTTAAAATAAATGTCATTTATTTCAGAATGTTTATGTTTGTACCAGACGCAGGGTTAGAAAGTTTCATAAAGACTGTGAGTACGAATAGTGAAAATTTTAATAAGGAAAAGATGATGGGACTTGTTAATTGGCTCGGTACTCCGGTATCGCGCGCCCTGGCCACCACGCCGTCACCACGATTTATAAAGTCCCACCTTCCGATGTCTTTGCTGCCTCCAAAACTCTTAGACACAGCAAAAATGGTGTACATCGCCCGGGATCCTAGAGACGTTGTCGTATCATACTACCATCATACCAGACTTTTCATGCTGACAGGTTTTAATGGGACTTTCAAGGAGTTTTGGCACCTATTCCATCAGAGTTTATGTGAGTTTAGAACTAAATATCTGTTCTTATATTAACATGTAACAAAAAAATATTAATAGGCTAGTGCCTGTGTCTGCCCGCAAATTGTCTTTACATAGATTTTTTGTCTTGATTGTTACAGTTTACAAAACAACATAGAATACATCGTTTTTTTTCCGAATTGTTCTGTTGTTTTCAGTGCCGTTAACACCATACTTCGAGCACGTCAAAGAAGCTTGGGAGAAGAGACATGATCCGAACATGCTGTTCCTGTTTTATGAAGATTTGTCAAAGGTAAAAGTTTAGACGGTAACTGGGCAACTGGCTGCCATGCACGGTGTCGCGGGTTCGATTCCCGCACGTTCCGGATCTCGGTGTGATGTGTACGTAAATTATAGGTTTGTACCAACGTTTTATTTAGAAAAAAAGATGTCAATGAACGCATAAACTTTTAAACTGTCTTAAATGAACTTATTACAATAACGACGAGCAAGAAATCGTCTATCTAAGAACTAAGTTAATACTTCACCATGAGAATGGTCTGTTTTTTAAGTGATAGTTCGGCAAATGAGCAAACGAATTACCTGATGTAAAGCAATCAGCGCGCCCACGACCGCTTACAACAACGGAGGAGTCAGGAATGCTTTGCCGAACATTTCAGGTTGCCGAATATTTGGTGATTGGGGAAGGGGAAGAATTGAACCTCCGGTAACGTCACTCACATGGCAAAACACAACACTGTAGTTGTTTCACGCCGATTTACTCCGGTGCCGACTGCCGACTCATTCGTGCCAAAGCATGACTCTACCACACTTAGGTAATAAATTTTCTTTATTGTGCCCTTAGAACTTGCCTGATGCAGTTAAACGTGTCGCGAACTTCTTGGGTAAAAAATTGGATAACGTCCAGACCGCTGCTCTCTGCGATCACTTGAGTATTGAGAACTTTAAGAAAAATAAATCTGTCAACTTTGAGGAGTTCAGAGCACTCGGAATGCTCGCCAAGGACGAAGCATTTGTTAGAAAAGGTAAGGATCATCATCATCTTCCTGCCCTTGTCTCGTTTTATTTGGGGTCAGCGCAATATGTTTTTTTCTTCCATTCTGTCCTGTCACCCGTCACGCTATCACTGACTCCTCTGTCTTCCATATCATTTGTCACAAAATCCATTCATATTTTTTGGTCTTCTTCTCCCTCTCCATCCATCCACATTTATACTCATGGGTTTTTTGTAACATGCCTTTCATCTCTCCTTTTCACATGGCTATACCAAGACAAACGGTTCCCTTTCAACTTTTCAACCACTGGCGACACTTTCAAACTTCCTCTAATATACTCATTTCTCACTTTATCCATTCTCGTTACACCACACATCCATCTCGACATTCTCATCTCTGCTACATGCAATCGCTTTTCATCCGTCTTTTTCAGAGCTTAACATTCTGACCCATACAGTAAGTAGGACAGGCCTTATCACGGACATGTAGATTTTACCCTTCAACCTGAGGGGCATCCGTGGGTCGCAAGTTGTTCCAGTGACCTGTCGCCATTTCATCCATCCTGAGTTGATCCGATGTGCCACGTCTCGGTCTATCTCACCATTCCCTTGGATAAGCGACCCAAGGTACCGAAAATCAGAAAAGGTTGTTATGGGCATTCCGGCGAGAGCTATGAGCACAGGACTAGAGAGACTGCCAAAATCGCAGAACACGTACTCCGTTTTAGTTCTGCTCAATTTTAGGCCAACACTCTCCAGTCTTTGCCACCACACCTCCAATCTGCTCTGGACCTCTAGGTCATTCTCGGCAACCAGCACAATATCATCGGCAAACAACATTATGGAAGCCCCAATTACCAGGGAGCCTCTTCCTGAATGTCCGACATCAGAGCATCCATTATTATCAGGAAGAGGTAAGGGCTGAGAGCCGACCTTTGGTGTAAACCGACAGTCACATTGAACTTGTTAGTGGTGCCCGCTGCAGACCGGACTTGTGTACTGCAGCGACTATACATTGATCGGATCAACTGCACATAGGTACTTACTTCCCAGGCACACCTTTCTCCTTAAGGGCCCACCACAGAACCTCACGAGGTACCCGGTCGTATGCCTTTTCGAGGTCAACGAATACCATGTGCAAGTTTTTATTTGCACCTCTGTATTTTTCGCACAACTGGCGTATAGCAAATATGGCATCCGTTGTACTACGACCACGCATAAAACCGAATTGGTTCTGTGAAATTTCACGCTCAGCCGCCGTTCAATAACTTTCTCCCAAACTTTCTTGGTATGCGACATTAGCTTTATTCCTCTACATATAATTGTTGCACTCAAGCACATCACCTTTGTTTTTAAAGATGGGCACCAAAGATGATGATGATGATGATGATGATGATGATGATGATGATGATGATGATGATGATGATGATGATGATGATGATGATGATGATGATGATGATGATGATGATGATGATGATGATGATGATGATGATGATGATGATAGTTTAAATCCCGGGAATTCAAACGGAGAACTGTCCAAACGTCCTAAGAAATCGGGAATTATGTGGGTAAAACCAAAAATCTGCCAGAAGTCACCTTTACACGCGGACATTAATTATAATGAATATTAATAAAATTCAATAATTATTAAATTCTCTGTTACCAGGTAAAACTGGAGGTTGGCGTGACTACTTCGACGAGGAGATGACGAAACAAGCTAAACAATGGATCGAGGACAACCTGAAGGATACTGACTTGCGCTTTCCACTCAATAAATAAATGCTTCAATTCCGTAAATTATTACTGAGCTACCTATATTACATTATACGCACATATCTACAAGGACTTCCTTTTTAATCCGGTGGAATCTTCAGCCCTCATGGAATCGCCCTGACTTTTTTTGTGATACTAATAGTTTGGTAAACAAGCAGACGGATTACTTGATGGTAAGCACTCAACACCGCCCATGGACACCCGCAACAACGAGGAGTTACGAGTGCGCTGGCGAACTGGGGATTTGGATTTTGGATTTGGGATTTGGAGATTTAGGGATTGGGAAGGGGATTGCGGAGGGGAGAGATTGGGCCTCCAGTAACCTTAATTACACTGCGAAACACAACACTGTGGTTGTTTCACGCCCTTTTTTGTGAGGCTGTAGTACCACTCCCATTCGTGTCGAAGCATGGCTCTTCCACACTAAAGAAAGGGCCTCTGCCTGCCTGGGGAAGCAGGGTCTTATCAGATTCTTACTAACCTAAATCACCATATTTAATACCCCCGTCCATTCTCCTTCTCCTACTATAGTAGGGTATACTATAGTATGACTAAATCTGGGTATTTTATAGTAGCCTTTACTTAGTTAATCAGTTGAATGAGGGGACGGCAAATACATAAATAATGTAGTAGTAAAGCGCGTGATAGAAAAAAAACAGCTGTAGCCAGGCGTAAACGTTTGCTACACTGCAAGTTACTTACCGCCAGGAACTCGTGCCATACACACCCCGTACAAAAAGTATAAAGAGATTTAAAACTAGATGAAACCTTATGTATCTTATTTTTCCAATGGAAATTTACATGATGTGACTATATCAAAGTATTACGTGTTTTTGATTATAGCAATCTAATGTAAACTTGTCCATTTTTATTTATATAGATACTAATAATCAAGTAATGACCATATTTTCTGTTATCTCATTCTGTTAATGTTATATCTTATCATATTTTAACAAAGATATCTATAACCCCCTGGACTAATCTCTAACAATTATGGTAATGTACAAATTTTGCCTAATCATCTTGACTTTGTAGCGCGTCGATCTGCTAGTTCATAATTTTACAGGTAGGTACAATAAATGTGCAAGATAAGATTAAGGTTAAACTGTTTTTGTGCGATTTAAGATTCATAAGCTTACATTTCTCGAAGTAGTATCTATTAAATGGTGATGGTATTTATCAAAACGCTCGCCAAAAGCCGCATTACTGCTTCGCAGAATGAGAAGTAACCTTTATTTCAAAAAGACCACAGAGTAGGCACTTTCGAACGTCAAACAAAAAAAAATATAAGTATTTCAAGAGGTTTAACTTTATGCGTGCCAGTACTGCCAGTCCGTCCATCTGTCCTCTAGTGAAGCTATTTGCTCGTTCCAAAGTGTACATTCCTATGGAGAAGAACGAGCAAGAAACTCCATGGTTACTCTTTTTCAATCAGTTTTACAATTCAAAATTTCGTTCTTGTCGCCCTTATCTCAGTGGCCCCTGGTCAATGTGGAACTGCCTATATGTTGTCGGCATTTTGTATAAAATCATAAGCATATGTTTACTGAATGCTTAAGTAATACTTTCTCTTAAATATTCAAATGACGCTATAAAGTTACTCACTTGAACAACTCGAGGACGAGTCACCGCAGTGGCGCTTACCTACATTTCGCGCCTAAACAAAGTTATCGTATTAAAAATTGTGATAAAGTAATACGCCGCGATGATATCATTATTTGCGGACAGTGTCAGTGATCGTTCGTGTTAGCTGTACTGAAGTGAGTTATCAAGTGTCAAGAATGGGTGAACAAAAGGACTTGCCGTTTCCATATGACACCAAGGAACTGGATCCCGAAGAAGAAGAATTGATTACCGTTAATTTAGGAAGTAAGTGGTATATACTTGTTTATCTGTATGTGTTATTTATCTGCGAAAATAGCTATAGGTATTATCACGGAATAGAAAATACAGGGTATTATAGTTATTTAAAGCAAAACGAATGAGCAGCGCGCTTCGTCGTTTTGCGTTATACTACAATAACTAAACAACGCAAAGCCGTCATACAGGTTTTTTTTCTATAAATATATTTAAAATGTATGATTACGTATAACTAATAACTTATAGATTTAGATTGATGTTTGAGTTTTGTAATGAAATTTTCATTAAATAGGTCTGATTTTATTTCTGTCAAAAATTTATAAAGTATCATAATTTGAATACATAAAGGAGGAGACACTGACTGTGACACTCTCTCTCGCTCCACCTAGGGAAGCTGATGTGACTGGATGATTTCATCAAAAAAAAATATTCACACACCTAAAGATTATTTGTATCGCGAAATAACGCGGGTGAAACCGCTGATAGAAACTATGGAATAAACATGTATTTTTCTAGCTGCATATAGGTGTGCATAACTAATACTGGTTTAATTGTAACGAATAGCGTACATACTTACATAACTTAATAAATACGACTCAATAAATGTACGATGAATCTGGATTATAAAAAAATGCCTTAATTATAATCCACATTATTCTTCTTCTCTGAGAAGAAATGCCGAAACAAACTCAGAGGGCAAATACAGTCATCTATACAACATTGTAAAGAGCGATAAGTCAAAAAAAACAAAATTCTGATCCGATATCAATGACTCACGCACTCGCACATCGCGACTATAATCTAGTTAATTTTATATCTATAGATATATATAAATAAATAACAAGCAATGTTGGTAAGCGCATATGTCAATAACGCCTGGGCTCAATTTGAAAAGTAAAAAGGAATAGCTGGAATCAACAGCCCTTTTGGTGCAGTGGCCGTCCGCATAGAAAACAAATGACTGCCACAAGGGTAGTCGGGTACCCGTGCGAAGCAGGCACATTCTGCTAGTTATTAATAAACATGGACTCTAGCCGATAAAATTAAATTAATCACAATAATCAAACCCATGTTGCTACCTAGCTACGGCATACATTTTTGCAAAGCGTGTACACTATTGAGTCATCGTGTAAATCCTTGAAACACTCGATAACAATACTAACCCAACTGAATATCAGTACCAGTCAGCCTTCATCTGAAGACTTCTTGATGCTGATACGCTGATGGTGATAGACTTTTTACCAAAGTAATTAGTGCTTTTTATTAGGATTTAATTAGGCATACCGCCCTTACTATAGACCTCCGGTCCTTAAACTTATTTTACAAGACGGCAAACAGTCAGACATATTACCTGATTGCAAGCAATTTGTGGCTACCCTAAACACCAGAGCAGTTACGAGCGCGTTGCCTTTTGGGGAGGTTTTGGGGATTTAGAGATTGGAGGTGGGGAAGGATTGGACCTCTGTTAACCTCACTAACACAGCAAAACACAACGCCCTTGTTGTTTCTCGCCAGTTTTCTGTGGGGTCGTAGTATCAGTTTGGTCGAGCCGACCCATTCGTGCCGAAGTGCATAGTTCTCCCACATATGAATAGCTCTCCCACACTTAAAAACTTGAAACAACTAACTTGGTTAACATCTTATTTCTCCTATCCAGAAATGCCGACAAGCTACGTCAAACTTGGACCTAAGGGTTACATGGTGCTGAAACCTTACATGAAAGATGCAGCGAACATTTACAACATGCCTCTAAGACCTACTGACGTATTCGTCGCCAGTTATCAACGATCAGGTGGGTTCAGTATATTTATGTATTATACCTGCTAATAATTTTGAAAACCATCTTTTAATAAAGTCTTTTAATTTTTACCTACAGATAATGAAACATATAAGCTATTCCAGTTTCCCAAGAATTTAGTTAGAGGAAGGCTTTAGTTATTAATATACAAATAATACATATGTATGTTGATGTTAAGTTTAGTACCAATTTTTTTTTATGTAATAAGTCGGCAAACGAGCAGACGGATTACCTGATAGTAAGCAATCAGCGCCGCCCATGGACACCCGCAACGGAGGAGTTACGAGTGCGATGCCGACCTTTTAGGGATTTGGAGGGATTTGGAGATTTAGGGATTGGGGAAGGGTCCGGGAAGGTGAAGGATTGGGCCTCCGGTAACCAATAACGCAATTACGCTAAATCGCCTTTAAAAGAATCAGTTCTCACAACTTTTATATTATTCCAGGAACAACATGGACTCAGGAACTAGTTTGGTTGGTCGCAAATGATTTGAATTACGAAAAGGCTGCAGAAATACCATTAGTTCAACGTTACCCTTTCTTAGAGTAAGTCTAGGCACATCATTTATATAATTATTATACCAGCTGAGCCCTGTGGTTAGTGTGGCTTCCCAACAATGAACAACTTCTTCAATTTGGTCAAGTAGTTTCGGAGCCCATCCAATTCAAACAAACAAACACTCAAATACAATAATTTCTTACAGTGGCTTCATGTTCTTTGAACCAGAAAAGAAAGAACTATATGCAGACATAGTAGCGGAAACAGCAGATGAAAATTTTGACAGAGAAAAGTATATGGCAATGATGGAGTTCTTGGCTCAACCAGTGAGTCCGTTACTCGCTGCGGCGCCATTGACGCAAAAGCGGTTCATCAAGACACACTTACCAATGTCCTTGATGCCTCCGACACTATTGGATACTGCGAAGGTCATTTACGTAGCTCGAGACCCTAGGGACGTGGCTGTATCTTGCTACCACCACGCAAGGCTTTTCAAGTTAATGGGCCCTCTCAAAGGCTTTAAAAACTTCTGGGAAGTATTCTATCGAGGCTTGTGTAAGTAACCAATAAGATACTGAACTTCTGAAGTTTTCTCGGGCTTGAGGTTTTCTTTAATACATATATGACATATTTAAATTTCCAGTTACTTTAACACCTTATTTCGAACACGTCAAAGAAGCTTGGGAGCAGAGACATAACCCGAATATGCTGTTCTTGTTTTACGAAGAACTCTCAAAGGTAAACAAATATAAGCAAAGAAATTATCTCATAGTTGACTGTCGATATTGTCAAATAAAGTAGCAAACAAGTGATAAGAGCATTTTCTAATATTGATAACAGTATTTATTTTTATAGATTTCAGTACAAGATTACTCAGTTTACCGACTTATCTTATACTTTATCAGTCCCCATACTATTGTTATCCTTTATTGAATGCACTGACATGATAGGATAAGACTAAAGCGTGAATTTTATTGTCGTTATTGAGAATATTGTCTAGCAGCGTAAGATCATAAGTGTACAAGGTCGGTTTAATGCAGGCATACTGCAGGTTTGGGTCATACCAAGGTATACATACGGGTTGTCTATTGTTTGCCCGAAGATTATTATATGCCATATTCATCATTTTACCGAATTTCATTTACCAGAATTTCATTTGCCCTAAAAGACATATGACATATTTTTAATTACCCGAATTTTAGATACCATGAGATACGAATGCCTTGAGTATTGTTTGCCTTATATATGTGCCATAATAATTATTAGACATAATATTTAAATGGCATAAAAAGTATTAGACAACTATTTAAGCCCCGTAATAATCATCACACATAACAGCATGCAAGCAAGCAGCATGCAGCAGGTAGGGTTTCTTTGACTGCTCCGGCGCGGCGGCCAAACGCGCCTATACGATTTTAATTAAATAACAGGGGTAGGACAAACAAGTTTAAGTGAAGTCGGTTTTGCAGCAATTCGGTTCTGTTAGTAACTTTTGTTGCATAGCATATTAATTTTTTAAACAACACACCGTATAGTATGCCTAAATAATAGGTTGTCTACCGTTACACACCTGATTTCGATTGCAAATTATGTTTTGGCATATCATAATTATGGCATATGATAATTAGGGCTTACAATGATTATGACAAATGATGTTATAGTAAGTGACTTTATGGGAAACAATGATTCTGGCACGTGACTAATATGGCAAATGAGAGTAGGGTAAATGAGTATTATGTCGTATGATATTATGGCTGTTGCCTATAATGGCAAATGATATGAGGGCAAATAAAATTTGGGTAAACGGCGGTATACCATACATCCGTGTTTTGGCCAACACTGGACGGTTAACAGTATTTTTAGTGGTGTCTAATGAGCAAGCATGGCGGTTTATGCTCGAACCTTCTCCGTGTGATGAAAAGCCTTTGCTCAGCAGTGGGCACTTATAAGCCGATGATTTGATGTGATGTAATGTATGTCCCAAGCCACTTGCCTACGTCGTATTTAAAATATGCATTTGCACAGAATGGACTCGTTCCGACGAATGATAATAATAATAATGGCGGATTTATCCAAACTATTATTATAAATGCGAAAGTAACTTTGTATGTCTGTCTGTCGTTTCTTCACGCCTAAACTATTGAACCGATTTATGTCAAGTTTGGTACAGACATAGTTTGGAACTCGAGAATGGCATAGGATAGTTTTCATACCAAAAATCTGGAGGAAGTCAGTTCCACGCGAACGGAGTCGCAGGCAAAAGCTAATAGTAAAAATTAAAAAGAGTTTTGTTTTAAGTTTGAAGATTGTTTAAACACAAAATCATTTCAGGACTTGCCGGCAATCATAAATCGTGTGGCAGACTTCTTAGGTAAAGAGTTGAATCAAGAACAAATTGACCGACTCTGCGACCACCTCAGTATTGAAAACTTTAAAAAGAATAAATCCGTTAATTTTGAGGAAATGAGAGATATGGGAGTACTCGCCAAAGGAGAGACGTTTATTAGGAAAGGTAAGGCGTTTTATTTAACAACATCTTTCATCATTTTTTTTAATTAATATTAAAATAACAAGAATTTTATGAAAGTAGTAAGTCTTGTACAACAAGAAATTAAGACTTATCTTAGCACAAATCTAAACCTAAGTGGTTTTCGGTCCGAGAGACGATCTCTGGCCACCCGTAAGCGCGGGTCTGTGGACGGCGAGTTAGCGTTACTCGCCACCCGACCTATCCAAACCCGAGCGTTTTTTGACTTTTGACTTTTTGACTTTTCAGTCTATTAGGAGTCTGACACTCCCTCTCGCCCTATCCTGGGTGAAAAAAGTCATTTGATTGTTTTTAGTTGCTATTTGTTTTTTCTATGTATTTATGTAACCATGTGTAAATAAAAAAACTGTAGTTACCACCTCCATTATTTGATGTTGCAAATCATTTCAGTATATTTGACAGGTATACATCGACGTCCTGATATACTCTTGGTAATTTTGATTATGTTTTCTCAGGTAAATCAGGAGGCTGGCGCGATTACTTCGACGAAGAGATGACGCAGCAAGCTGAGCGATGGATCGAAGAGAACCTTAAGGATACCGACCTACGTTTCCCCACAAAGAAATAATTTGTTTATAATATTATTGTTTTTTATTACGATGAAATTATAGTATGACCACAAAACAACATGTATTTTCATTCATTAGAAACAGACAGACATTGAACTAAAAAATGAATACATAATTTGCCTTAAATTTTTCGCTTTAAATTTAATCGCTCATTCAGATGTCCCAATTCTATAATAGCTACAAGATGCCACAACAAAAATGAGATCTTCAAGATAAACACGTAAGATTATCCTTATATATGCAAAAATAAAAGTTTGTAAAAAATAACAATGATATTGGTCGACGCACATTCGCAGGCATAAATGACGTTTTTTAAATTAACATACAAATAGCTTTAATTACAAGGGCACGTCATTTATAATGATTATTTTTTTGCAATACTAAATAACCTCTAAATGGACATCAGGAACAAAAGATAAGAGAAAACCTTACATCATAAATGTCCCATCTATATACTTACAATAAATCTGTAGAGGGGTCAATTCTGTACATTAAATATATTTTCAAAATAACTACCAGGGGGTAATAAGTGATCGATACTGTACAACTTTTACATAGGGTCCTGATGAACGAGGAGTAAATAATACCACTATATACGACCGAATAGGGTATATTAAATAACAATTGGTTCACACAAAAATTCAAAATCAAAAAGGGTATACCTAATCAGCGGTAACGAAACCATAGCGCGATCTATCTCGATCCCAACGCCATCTATCGAGCGTCGAGACAACATTTATGCCATTTTACATTACACTACATTCTAAATTATATTGACCACGCTATGGCTCCGAGTACAACCCCAAACATACCGCCCACCAAGGACATATTGCATAATGTCCTTCTACACCGCCCACCGTGCACAAAAAAATTGAGGCTGATGTAGTACAAATAATGAACAAAATAATATTTTCAATAACCAAACAAAATATAAAAAATGTAACCCACACTTCCAAGTTTCAAAAACAACAAATAACATTAACTTATTCTTAAAGTACGTACAAAGGACACTTTCATCCAACCGAGCTTACAACTAACTATATTGCTACAGGCAAAACACATAATTTGGATGTGGGCCTCTTCATGGTTGCTGATTGAGTACGGATTGTGACTACCCGAGTAATACCGTCTGCCCCAGGATGTTTTTGTACGATCCTACCCAACAACCACTTTCCTGGAGGCATATTATCCTCCTTTATTAAAACTATACTACCCAAAGAGGGTTCCGGAGTTTTGTAATTCCATCTATTTCGCTGTAGGAATTGGTGAAGATAGTCGTGCGACCACCTCACCCAGAAATCCCGCATCATCTTCTGACAAAGCTGCCACCGTTTCAAATTGGTAACATTACTTGAGCTTTCGTAACTCGCATCTGGTGGGACAACTGGTGGCTCCCCTATCAAGAAATGACCAGGCGTCAGAATTGTCAACTTGTCTTGATCTTCTACGTAGGACAATGGCCTCGAATTGAGGCATGCCTCAATTTGAGCCAAAACAGTGGCCATTTCCTCGTAGGTTAATGTCGAAATCCCAATGACCCGTTTTAGATGGTGCTTAGTGGACTTTATTCCTGCCTCCCATAAGCCACCGAAATTAGGTGCGTGAGGAGGAATAAAGTGCCACTCAGTACCATTATTCGCGAGCTCACGTGCAGCTCCCACAAAGGTTGTACCGTTGTCGCTGTATAATTCAGCGCACCTACCACGTCTTGCCACAAATCTCTTGAATGCAGCCAGGAAACCCTTTGTGCTTAGCTCACTCACTGCTTCCAAATGCACTGCTCTAGTGGACATGCATACAAATAAGGCAATATAACCTTTATATGATCTATTACCTCGTCCTTTGGACACCCTTAAATTTATTGGTCCGGCGTAGTCTACACCGCTGCAGAGAAACGGTTTGTTAGGAGTGACTCGTGCTGGAGGTAACTGACCCATTAATTGAGTCCTAACCTTTGAATTATACCGAATACATTTGACACATGTCCTTACAAATTTTTTTACTAAGAGTTTAACTCCTAATATCCAGTATTTTGCTCGCAAGTACGTTAACATAGTTTGAGGTCCACCATGCATAGTTTTTGCATGCGCCTCTGCAACTAAAAGATTTGTCAAAAAAGACTCCTTCGGTATCAAAATGGGATGAATCCTGTTATAATTCAGTTGCGCCATTTCTAACCGACCCCCAACTCTTATAATTCCTTTCGAATCAAGAAATATGTTTAGTGATTTCAGACTTCCCTTTTCACATATCTCATTCTTTCTTAATTCTTCCAATTCTTTGGCGAATCCTTCTTCTTGGCTTTTCTTTATACAGACTTCTAATGCTTCATCCAATTCTTGTTTAGTCAGATGTTTTGACCTCACTCCCTGTCTGTTTACCTTTAAAAACCTACGACAATAAGCAGTAACGCGAAGCATTCTCTGCAGTGTAGAAAACCGATTCCAAAATGTCACATCCAACGTACATGTATTTACTTTCACTTCTTCTAATCGAGTAATGAGATGTTTTGGCTTCTTATACTCGACTACTTGCTGTCTTAAGAAATCCGGACCACGCCACCATATTGACATGGACTCGAGTTCAGCAGGTGAGACGCCGCGCGATGCACAATCTGCGGGATTGTGTTTTGTTGACACATGAGACCAGTGATGTGTGTCCAAAATATTTAAAATATCGGAAACCCGATTGGCCACAAAGGTCTTCCACCGACTAGGGTGGCTGCTGAGCCAGGCTAGAACTACTTCACTGTCAGTCCATGCGTGCCAGTCAACTTTCTGGATACCCAATACTTCGCCTACTTCAGAAATCAATTTGGCTAGAAGCACAGCCCCACAAAGTTCTAGTCTTGGAATAGACACTTGTCTAATAGGTGCAACCTTTGTCTTGGTCGAAACTAAGGAAATGTACACGTTCCCTTCTTGATCCACAACTCTTAGGTACACAACAGCTGCGTATGCCATTTTTGATGCGTCAGAAAAACCGTGCAATTCAGCTACAATGTTTTTACCTTCATGGCGCATCCATCGTGGGATCCTAATACTCATCAGGGAAGTTAAGCTGTTATGGTAAGTCAACCATTCTTTTAATAAATTACTTGGAATTGCTTGATCCCATTCCAATCCTGCAAGCCACAACCTTTGAATAAATATCTTAGCTTGAATAATACTAGGTGCTAACCAACCTAGGGGATCAAACAATCTTGAAATCTCCGAAATAACTTTCCTTTTTGTTACAGGTGCTGTCATCGGTCGAAGTTTCACAGTGTACTGGAAGACATCTTCGCTCGAGTTCCAGGTAAGTCCCAGTATTTTGGTAATATCATCTAGTTGTATCTTCAATTCTTCTGTGGTACCCTTTCCGACCATAATTTTTTTTAATAATTCTTGACTGTTACTCCTCCATTTTTGTAATGGGAAACCACCTTTTTTCAATATTTCCTTCAACTTAATATAAATTTTGCAACAGTCTTCTATATTTTCAGCTCCTGTCATTACGTCATCCATGTAGAAGTCTTCTAAAATTATTTTAGCTATTCCAGGTTCTTCACAGCATTCATCGTAGGCCAGCTGCTGAAGAGCCCGTACAGCCAAATATGGTGCCGACGCAGTGCCGAAGGTAACAGTTTCCAATTGATATTCTTCAATGTCTTTTTCAGGATCATCGCGCCAGAGAATACGTTGGAGTATTGCATCATTCTCGTGTACCAGGACTTGTCGATACATTTTGACAATGTCTGCTACTAGACATATGCGATGTGTCCTCCATCGTATAATAGTATGGCGAAGATCTGCCTGCAAGGTAGGGCCGACTAACATGGTGTCATTCAGTGAGATCCCCTTCGATCCTTTGCAGGAGGCATCGAATACAACGCGAACTTTGGACGTTTCCTTATCCTCCCGGACAACGGCGTGATGAGGTAAGTAGATTGCCCTTTGATTGTTATATTCTACTTCTGGTACTTTTTTCATATGATTCATCTGTAAGTACTCATTAATAACTTTAACATATTCCTCTTTAAACGCATCATTTTTCTTAAATTTTAACTCTAACCCTTTAAATCTTTTTTCAGCAATGCTCCTTGTCTCACCAACCGCACTGGCCGGGTGCTCATCGCGTAAAGGTAGTCTTACGATGTATCTACCATTACCGTCGCGTTTCGTCGTGGCTGTAAATAACTGCTCGCATTTATTTTCCTCTTCTGTAAGCATTTTCTTTCTAGGAGGTTCTGCTTCCAGTTCCCAAAATTTTTTAAGCATGTCATCGGCTTCGAGACTTGTATGCATTACAGAAATATGTGATGAATTAGTTGCCTGGTCCACGTCAAAGGTACCTGACAATACCCACCCTAATTTAGTATCCTGGGCTAATAGTGTCCCAGTTACATTCTTTTTAATGCCTTCCTGGATGACTTGGCTGTAGACTTCAGCACCTAATAAAATATCAATTTTATTAGGCCTGTAATATTCTGGATCAGCTAAGTCATCATCAGTCAAGTCTACCCAATCTACCCTGGTTACTTTCGTAGCCGGGAGAAGAGCTGTGACCGACTTCAGGACGAATGCATTAACCCTAATGACAACACTGGGGTCTATTCTAGACCTCAATATAAGAAGTACGCTGGACTTGGCCGTAGTACTTTTGTCCCCACCTACACCTATCACAACTTGTTTTGAAGGTGTTTTATGTAACCCTAAATATTGGACCGTAGATTCTGTTACAAACGAACCCTGTGATCCTTGATCGAGCAAAGCCCTAACAACCCTATAAGATCCGTCTTTCGACTCCACTTTAATCAAAGCGGTAGTTAATAAAACCGTTTTCCGGCTAGTTCCTGTCGAAAGGCACGATACCATTGGCTTGCTCGATCCCTCCGCTTGCGCGGTCACTACAGCAATACAATTTTTAATGTCATCCTTCGCAGACGTTGACGCGACTGATGATAATTCCTTGTGAACTGTACTCCTATCTTCACCAATATTGGACCCAGATGCACCTACTGGGTGCAGTAACGAATGGTGGCGGTGTTTACACACCTGGCACTTTAGAGTGTTTTTACAATTTTTTGCAGAGTGGTTGTTGAGTAAACAAATGAAACACAAATTATTTTCGAGAGCAAACTTACGTCGCGCTTCATTCGATTCTTTACTAAATTTCGGACAAGAAGTAATCTTATGATCAGCTGAGCAAAATGTACATAATAGCAATCTTTTTTCTTTTACGACATGAAATGATTGTGTTCCCTTTGGTTGTGGATGTTTTAACTGTTTATGCCTACTATCTTCTTTATCTAAATGTTCTAAACCCCTAAAACGGCTATATAAATATTCAGAAAATTGTTCAAATGTAGGTAGCTCGTCACTTGATTCCGATGCAACCTTCAATTCCCACGCTTTTCTAGTCTCTTTATCTAATTTTGCGCTAATTATATGAATCACAATCAGATCCCATGAAGACACATCCACACCCAGATTTTTTATTGCCTCTAAACAGTCTGACGTAGTACTTATCAAACTTTTAATGTCCGTAGCTGATTCCGACACTAAACTCTTTTGACTAAGCAAACGCTTCAAAATGCCGTTGGCTAAAAACCGTTTATTGTTGTACATGTCGTCCAACTTTCTCCACGCAATTTGATAACAATCAGACGACATTTTAATATTTCGCAAAAGCTGCTCAGCCTCTCCAGTCAGATGTCCTCGGAGGTAATAAAACCTTTGTGCATCATCTAAGGCCTTGTTTTCATGCACAAGACCTAAAAACAAGTCCCTAAACGTCTGCCACTCTGTATAATTCCCAGAGAACATTGGAATTTTAATCTCAGGCAACTTAAAACGTGTACTTGAACTCTGATTTGATACCACAACACTTTGCGTATTTGAATTTAATTTACTTAACATTTCTTTTAAATCAGTCTTATAATCAACATACAACTCTTCTACATCGTCATATATTGCATTTTTGTGGTAGTTCGAACTATACAAATCAGATCTTTTGACTTGACTTATAATTTTAGTATGAGTGTCTGAAAATAAAGTCCATTGTTGCTCTAAGTTATCAAGCCTAGTTTCGACATAAGCAATAGTTAAGCGCTCTCTTGGCGATTTCTTAAAATTGGACTTAGCTTTTAACATTTTAGCTCTAATGTCCTCTTGTAAATCGCTAAAGGCTTCCATTTTGTAAAGATAAAATGTCAACAATTATATTGAAAACCAAACAAATTATAATTATTTTAAATTATTTCTAAGTCTTTAAAGTTGGGACCGAAATCGGGCATAGGTTCCCCGTCAAAACCACTTTTTACTTAAAACTAACACAAGTTCTAACTACGATTTTACAAATTTAAATTTTCTAAGTTAATATTAAATAAATTTTAAAGTTCAAAATGTTCTATTAATTATTGACTTCTGTCTTCCTGATTATTAATAATTGAAAGTACTTACAGTTTTTCTTCTCAAACCACTCACAGCACGATATTTGCACTTCACTACACTTATAACGATTTAGTGCACCACACAAGTGGCGCCCCCTGCCGGCGCCGCACACAACGCCCGCCGCTTGTAAGCAACACACCAGTGTCGCCCCGCACCTCCCTTGCGCCTTCCTCCGGCTGCTGCTGCTCGCGAGTTGGCTGCACCACGCCAGACTCCCAGCTGCTGCACCGGTTCCACCTCCAGCTCCTGGGTACCTCTCACCTGGGTCCCCACTGAAGGGGCTGCTCTGGACAGCGATCCACTGCCCAGTAATGACGCGAAGGGTGGTAATCTCTACCACCACCGGAGACTACCAAAAACACTCGCGACCAATCCGGCTCGAAGGACCATGTACAACTTTTACATAGGGTCCTGATGAACGAGGAGTAAATAATACCACTATATACGACCGAATAGGGTATATTAAATAACAATTGGTTCACACAAAAATTCAAAATCAAAAAGGGTATACCTAATCAGCGGTAACGAAACCATAGCGCGATCTATCTCGATCCCAACGCCATCTATCGAGCGTCGAGACAACATTTATGCCATTTTACATTACACTACATTCTAAATTATATTGACCACGCTATGGCTCCGAGTACAACCCCAAACAGATACTGATGCCAAAAATGCAATCAGTAAAATTTTTGTCTGTCTGTCTGTCTGTCTGTATGTTCCTTATAGAAACAAAAACTACTCGATGGATTTTAACAAAACTTGGTACAATTATTCTTTATACTCCTAGGCAGGCTATAGGATACTTTTCATCACGCTAAATATAAGAGGAGCAGAGCAGTGAAGGGAAATGAAGGGAAAACGGGAAAAGTTACTCCCTTTTGTAAGTTTCCGTCGCGTTAAAGTTACATAGAAATTCTGTATGACGGAAATATTCTACATAAAATTATCTAAAAAAAATGTTGTACAACATACGTCTATTTTTTTTGGTTAACTCACAATAGCACGTGTAGCTCCTGATAGCTTAGCAGTTCGGATAATAAGCCATCGCGCCGTCGCATGTGAACACTGAATCATGCTATAAGGTTTATTTTTGTGTAACGGTTGCCTTTTATGTACACTTCGAGTTGTTTTATTGCTATATGCTGCTCTTTATCAACACAGCATGCGGGCGAAGCCGCTGGCGGAAGCTAGTTTAAAATATTATTGGATTTAAAAGCCCAGATGTACAGAAACGATCTACCAGTAAATAATTCCATTTCTAGTAAAGAGGATAATTTTAAAATAAAAATGAAAAACAGTGTACCTCTTCTTTGTGAGGAGAAAATCATCAAGTGACTTCTTGACCGCCAGGTGAGGCGAGAGGGAGTGTTACACTCTTACCGACTAAGCACTCCCCGTTCGTTCTCCTACTCAAGGTCGAGGTCGCGGTGCCTTATTGAGCTCATGCCGCAACCCCAGCTACATATCAGACCTATAGGGCCCCCTCTGTAGCGGTCTATTGGCAAGGGTGTAACTCGGGATTGTTTTCAATCGCTGGATAATCCTAGCATAATCAATGGAACAGCCGAAACTTATATAATAACTAGCAAACCCAGCCACGCATTGCTGTGGCTAAGGTTCTTGTCATATTACATTATGGACAAATAATTTGCAATAAAATAATTTTGTGACTATACATAGTCTGGCCATAAATACTGTTACAATTAAAAATAAACAAAATATTACATTTGAATTTGGAATCTGTCATTTTTATATAATTTTTCATTGTGTTTTCTTATTTTGGCGCCAATAAATTGTTCAATATTTTGCGATATTAAAATGGAGTGGGGTGATAAAGAGAACCGAATCGCTGTGATTGCATTACACAAAGTGGGTATGGAGTCAAATGCAATTTTTAAAACTCTCCACACGCTTGGCATTAGTCAAATGTTTGTGTACCGGGCTATTAATAGGTACAATGAGACCTCCTCTGTTTGTGACAGAAAAATATCTAGCCGCCCACGTAGTGTTCGTACGAAAAAGGTGGTCAAAGCAGTAAGGGAAAGAATTCGAAGAAATCCTGTCCAAAAGCAAAAGATTTTATCTCGGGAGATCAAGATAGCACCTAGAACCATGTCGCATATTTTAAAAGACGACTTAGAACTTGCAGCCTGTAGGAGATGCACTGAACATATTTTAAATGATAATTTAAAAAAGAATAGGGTGATAAAATCTAAACAACTACTGAAGCGGTACGCAAAGGGAGGTCACAGAAAAATTTTGTTTACGGATGGGAAATGGATAATGCCTTTCCGCCGCTGTATAAAAAACACTTCTTCTGTTTTAACTTTAATTGTTAAAGATTTGCAAAATCAATAAGTAAATTAGTAACGTACTAAAGACTTAATTTGCCTTAGGAGTACTTACTTTATCCGAATATAGTAAGAATTTTACAAAATCGAAACTTTTAGCCCCGACCTCCCCTATTGCATTTTGATCATGAGGTCTCAGTGAAGCACTACTATCATTCTTTCACCTCCAACCAAGTAATTTTCCTCTAATAAATCCCCTTATCACCATTGAAAAAGTGTTCTCTAATAATTGTGTAATTTAAGATAAAAAAGTTTTATTTATCACTATTACCTTGATACCTCATATTTCTAGATTTATTTATCAATAAGATATACTTACATATAATCAATTTTATTTAGTCCGCTCACTTCTACTGAAGTAAACAGTACGTTTAATAACAATGTGTGAACAAAAAGGTCTGCCGTTTCCCTTTGAGTTTAAGGAGCTTGATCCAGAAGAAGAAAAATTGATAGAAGACAATTTGGGACGTAAGTTCTTTTTGAATTTAAATCAGTTAAATGTACTAAAACATTTCTTATAATTTGTACCTAATGCTCGTTAAATTGTTGTGGTGGCCCGGAGGTTAAGGAGCCCGCTTCTCATGCTAGAGGGTGTGGGTTCGAAACCGGGCAAGTACCAATGTGACTTTTTCCAAGTTATATGTACTTTCTATGATTATTTAGACATTACTGACATACGGTGAAGGTAAACATCGTAAGGAAACCAGAGTGCCTAGCACGAATGACTATCGTAATCGTAACGTTAACGTATCGAGACGTCGATACTTCATGTGACGAAAACGGAATGTCGCAGCACGAAGCCTATCGTATCGTCTAGCGAGAGCTCGAATCGAATTCGTTAGTGACGTCATGCTAATGTAAGCTAGAGAAGCACCCAAGTGAACGAATTGAATGAATTCTTGAACATAATTTAACATAAAGATTTCGTCTGAAAACTAAAATTAATTTTAAACATATTTCAACCTTCGTCTACACCTTTTGTGGTATTATATTTAAATGAAAAAATATTAATTACGTGAAATAATTCTTAAAACGAGTCAAGAAGTATATAAAATGACTTTATCTATGAAAAAAAATATTATTTGGTTATTTAAATTTTGTAACATATTTTACGATTTCCGAACGTTCTTTTGACAAAGGTGACGTTTGACGGCTATTGACGTATTTTTTTTTTAACAAACAAAACAAAGAATGTAGATTGTAGATAATTATGCGGCTATCTTATTATGCGGTTAGTTTAAATTTATTTTAAAATGAGGAGGACTCGGCTCCAATACGAATTAATGGTGGATTTCATGGAATATGCCAGTGACAAGCAGCGAGCCTTCAGTGTTCCGACCACTCCGCAGTACCCATGAAGCCAGCCGTTCACCGACACCACCAGTCGCCAATCCTCCATTAGAAAAGGAATGCTGGAAGCCTCGACCGAAAAAAAAAATCTAAAGGGAGTTTAATCAAATTGTGTTTAGAGAATGATAAGAAACCTAGGGAGTTTGCTAGGGAGCGTGAGGAAACATATGATATAATGGAACAAGAGCGTTTGGAATTACGACGAGAAGAATGAAGAGTAAGACAGAGAGATGCAGAGCTCCTTTTACAGGCTCAGTGGCTGGAACTTATGAGAGAGGCAATAAATGTATTAAAATATAATCTAGTTAAAAAGATGATTAATGTATATTTACATGTTTTATTTTAAATTACTACATTTTGGAATGAGGAAAGATTATGTTAGAATTGAATTTAAAATGTCTCACTATAGTTACCTATTATAAAAACATAGGTAAGAATAGTTTTTAAGTTAGATTATATGTATAATAATAAAACACTTGGGTCATCTGTGTAGTATATTTATTTGCTGTACCAGAATATTCCTTAAAGCCCTTTCACTTATCAAATCATTGCTTCTATCATTTTCATGTCTCATATCAGAAGATGAGGTATGAGACAAGTCTTGATGCTGTTTTTGCAGCTGTTATTGTATCTAACTGTTGCTCAGGCACATTGAAATTTATGACCAAATTATGCAACACGCAGCAAGCCGTTGTCAAACACATTTTTCGGGAGCATAATGCAGAGTGCGGTCTTTGCACAAGCATCGCCTCTTCTTTTACTGCAGTATATCGTGCGGGCCACGAGTTCCCTCTACCGCATCCAAAATGAGTAGGCGTCATTAGCCATGGTCGCTGTGGGTAGCCAGAATCACCTGTAAAAAAATATTTATTAGAAAACCTAATTTATACTAGCTACTTCCTCGCGGTTTCACCCGCTGCTCGACTCCTATTGATTTCATTTTAGCATGATAAGTTAGTTTTTGTTGGAGTTGCTCACAGAAGTACTTGAAAGCTTTTTTATTTAGGCGGTACCTAGTATTTCTAAACTACGTTTCAGTGATATCCATTGGATTAGATATCTTTCTGAATTTAGCTCGGCACACGATTTCTCTAGAATAATCAGTTAATTCGTATTATTTTCTTGAATACATATGTCTATATTAAGTGAAACACAACTTGAATAGGTAGGTACTTAGGTACTTACGAAGTTTCTCTTGACTCTTCATCTCCAAGTAAAATAGCCACAAATAAATTATTTCTCCAACTTGGTTCGTACAGCGGCGGTCTTTGCATGATGTTACACTCGTAAAGAATACTCACAAACCTTATAATATATTATTTAAAACACGATTGAAATATTTCGAAACCTTTCTCACCGTCAAATTCTTAGTGACAAATGTTTCGACAGTTTTCGATAGCCAGCCTTCGAAACTTACGTTACTATACGTCAAAAGATCGTTCGTGCTTCCAATTTGTGTCAAAATGTTCTAAGTTTCGATAGCAACACGATACGATTACTATACGATAGTTGTCAAAATCATTCGTGCTTGCGATTTTTAGTTCCTTTTACGCACGGTAGGGGCGCTGTACAAATCCCATAGAAAATGCTTTCGATCTCGATACGAATACTTTCTCGATAATGTTCGTGCTAGGCACACAGGACTTATAATCCCTAATTATAAGTTTGAAATCGCCAACCCGCTTTGAGCAAGCGTGGTGATTAATGCTCCAGCCTTCTCCCTATGAGAAGAGGCCTTTGCTCAGCAGTGGGCACTTATAGGCTGATGATGATGCATCGGTTCTAAGCGTATAAAACATTTCTTATAATTTGTTCGTAATGCATCGGCAGCATATTATTGTTGTAAATAAGGTCTGATGGACTGAAAGCTTATGATTGATAATTAAGATGTTCAAGTGAGCATTATTGTAGAGACATATAATACAAATATAATATGTATATTCAACTTTATTGATGGGTAACCGCTCGTTTTCCTTCATTACTAAATTCTATGTCCGAATAAACGATCACAGTCCTAATTAATTCTGGTAATTGGAGTTCTTGCATTTGTTTGTTTTACAGCTTTTCCGACAAGTTTGATTAAAGTGGGACCAAAAGGTTACATTGCATACAGACCTTACAAGAGAGATGCTGCGAATATCTACAACATGCCTCTTAGACCTACTGACGTGTTCGTCGCCAGTTATCAACGATCGGGTAAGTTCCATACATAATAATACCAATTCAAAATACTAATCTAAGTTTGTACTTTTGACGAAGATGTCGGCTCGATCGGAGTGATATCATGGCTTCAATAAAAAACGCCGTGAAGCAACCATAGCGTTGTGTTTTACTGCGTGGGTGAGACATCGGGGTCCCAAACCCCTTCCCAACACCAAAAAATCCGTTTCTCTTGTACCCTAAAGGCCGGCAAAGTACTCGCAATTCCTCTGCTGTTGCGGTTGTCCATGGACGGTGAAGATTGCTTACCATCAGTTTATGTGTCTGCTCATATGCCTATCAAAAAACACTATTGTTTTTAAAATCTTTACTACGCAAAATAATAATAAAATTGTTTCCCCAGGAACTACATGGACTCAAGAGCTGGTTTGGTTAATCGTTAACAACTTCAACTACGAAAAAGCTGCCGAGATACCACTAACACATCGTTACCCATTTTTAGAGTTAGTACAAATTCTACATTACTATTGATTACCAGTTGTAACCTTCACTTTATTGGACATTATTTTGATTACAGCCAATTCATGTTCTTTGAACCAAACGAGAAAGAAAAATATATAAACGTTATGTCGAAAACTGGAGAAAATTTTGACGAGAAAAAGTATTCACAAGTTTTGGATATTTTGAACCGACCAGCGTCGTCGACACTCGCTGAAGTCCCATTATCAGAAACACGGTTCATCAAGACACATTTACCAATGTCCTTGTTGCCTCCGACGCTGTTGGATACTGCGAAGGTGGTGTACGTGGCTCGAGACCCCAGAGATGTAGCGGTATCCTGTTATTACCACGCAAGGCTCTTTAAGATGCTGAAACCGGACAAAAGCTTTAAAGACTTCTGGAATTTGTTCCACCGTGACTTATGTGAGTAGTGAAGAAAATAGCTCAAAATTTAGTTTTGCTTAGTTGAGACATTTAATTTTAGCTTTCACATATTTCCTATTTTTGTTTTTATAAATCCTATGGCAATAACTAAACTATTAAGAATGTTAATGCCGCCCGGGGTTTGCATACAAAACTTTTAGAACCAAAATCTTGGAAACTGCTCAACCGATTATAATAAAACTTAGTGCTTATATCTTGGTATGTTTAATGGTAAAATAATCAAATGACTTCTCTAGCCTGGGTTAGGCAGTAGGAATTGTAAAAAACCATTCCGTCCCGTCCTCTTCCTGCTCCAGAACGGGGCAGCGATACATTTATCCGCTAGCACACACCCTTGCCTTGCAACTCCAAAGTTCGAACGTTCTTTAAGATATTACGACGAATTAAAATAATTTAATTCTATCTTTATGGAACGCGACGCTTGGGTCTTGTTCGAGTCTGACAGTGAGATACCCGTACTCGCTGTCTGTGCAGACCTGCGCAATATATCCAAACCATAGTAATGAAATATTAATAATTTTGTTTTTAGATACATTAACTCCGTTTTTCGAGCATGTCAAAGAAGCTTGGGAGAAGAGAAACGAACCCAACATGCTGTTCTTATTCTACGAGGAACTCTCGAAGGTAACTGACTGACATTCTTCTTCTACTTCCTAAGATGTAGATGTGTACTATTAGTTCATTTTGTAACGGAAGATGATTCGAATCTTAAAACTTCGTTAATAATCCTACTATCCTACTTAGGTATATTATAAATTTGAAAGTTTGTGAGAGTGTAAAGGGTGTATGTACGTAATTCTTTCACGCAAAAAATGGTAATTTGATTTGCTTTAATTTTTTTATGTAGATAGGTGACACTTTGGATTAACACTTAGGCTTTTTATCAACATACCACGCGGGCGAAGTCGCGGACGGAATCTGGTAACAAAAAGACATCTTTTTATGTTATTAACTTTAAACCATTTTAGGATTTACCCACAAGCATTAATCGTGTAGCAGACTTCTTTGGCAAAAAGTTGAATGAGGAGCAGATGAGCCGACTCTGCGATCACCTCAGTATTGATAACTTTAAGAACAACAAATCTGTTAATTATGAAGACTTGAGAGAAGTTGGAGTACTCGCCAAAGGAGAAACATTTATTAGGAAAGGTAAGGCAACACAGTAGGTATCGCTGTCTAGTTCAAATTAGCTAAATCCAACAAATATTGAAATATCATAACATAATTATAACTTAGAATAAGAAACTAGAGGTCGGCAAACGAGCAGACGGATTACCTGATGGTAAGCAATCAGCGCAGCCCATGGACACCCGCAACACCAGAGAGGTTACGAGTGAGTTGCCGGCCTTTTGGGAATAGGGTTTCGGAGATTTGGGGGTTGGGAGGGAAGGAATGGTGTAAGGGAAGGATTATGCCTCCAGTAACCTACTCACACGACGTAACACAACGCTGTCATTGTTTCACGCCTGTTTTCTGTAAGGCTGTGGTATCGAGTCGAGCCGATGTATTCGTGCCGAAACGTGGCTCTTGATTTTATTTATAGGTTTTTATCATGTTTATAAATTTACCTTTTTACCATTTACCTTTTACTTTTTACGGAATTTATAACTTTAGGTACACAAAGTGTAAAAATGTTGGTAGTGAAATGTTTATTTGCGTAATTTTGCCTTTACTTTTTCCTCAGGCAAATCGGGCGGTTGGCGCGACCACTTCGACGAGGAGATGACACAACAGGCTGAGAAATGGATCGAGGACAACTTGAAGGATACTGACCTGCGCTTTCCAGTTATGAAATAAATATTTTTTCTTCTTTTTATACATATTTATTTAACTAATAATTATCATTATATATGTAAATATGATGCAATTCGATAGTGTGTAACCACGGAATAGAAAATACAGTGCGTAACTATTAACATACGTAATTATTATATTAAAATACAGGAGTAGGTAAAAAATAATACAATAAAGTCTCCTATACTACAAAGTAAATTACCAACCTTGTTATTTTTTTTCAATAGCTCTTAAATATTATTTAAGTACATCTAATATTGAATACCCATTTTGGGAATAATTAATCTTTTACTTCTACTATTTTACTTAAATCTTTTCTCATACTTATTACTTAGGTATTAAATTACTTATATATAATAAATCAAAGTAAAATAAACGAAGAGAAGTGTCGGAAGGTACCGCTTCCATACGTAGGTACTTACCACAACTGCAGACAATAGACCACCACAGACAGGGCCCTAGGGCTAATGTTCGGCCGAGGTTGTTGGATAAGCGCAATATGATCGCCTAGAGTAGGATAAGGAACGGAGCCGCCTATACACACTCTTGTGACCAAAGGAGTTACCACAAGTGCGTTGCCGGCCCCTTGTTAATTAATTTGAGGATTGGACGACAGGATTGAGCGTCCTGTAACCTCACTCACATGGCGAAACACAACGTAAGTGTCACGCCATGTGCTTCACGCCGGTTTTCTCTCTAGCCGTGGTATCACTCCGGTCGAGCCGGCGCATTCGTGCCGAAGCTTGGCTCTCCCACACTTCCACACACTTGTTCGGAAAATGTACCTACTGAAATTCTGTTTTGCGAAGAATTCATATTTATAATATTGGCGTGCAGGTAAAATAGAGAGGCGTGCCTGTCTATATCTATAAAACAATAAAATGATATAGCACATTTAATCAAACAAAGAGCAGCTTATACTAATATATATTTGTCCTGATAAATATCAAACAATGGTCCAGAAGGTCAAAAACTGTAATCTAGAATAACAATACATCTGTAACAAAATGCTAATTTTATGTTGTTTCTTTGTGTTTTGTAGCGCATGCACAAAGACGCAAACAGATCCCATAAATCAACTCAGTGGCTAGAACAAAAAATTAGATAAAATACCCAAAGATAAAAATCATTTCGACTTTGAAAGCGTATATAAATTTAACGGATAGAATATCGTACGGCCAATTCGACAAACATAACAGTGACTGAACAGTCGTCGCCACAGAACACTTATTTTACAATAATTGTGTAGAAAAAATTATCATAAATAGTATAATGGAAGAACAAAAAGATTTGCCATTCCCGTACGAATTTAGGGAACTTGATCCCGAAGAAGATAAATTGGTTAAAGCCAATTTAGGCTGTAAGTATTTTTTTTAATTCTTTAATATTCTCGTTCTGTAATTCTTAAATTTTTCCGTTACTTAGTAATGAATTCGCAACAATCCTAATGTATCAAGCCTCGCCCTTGACCCAACATCTAAAGCTAGCTTTCTCAGGTTTGAGTCGCGAATTTTGACAATACGCCATTAGAATAGGTATATAAAAAGGAAGAGGCTATAAAGAGGTAATATTTGTAAGTTTGTATGTAGACCTTTGGAACCGCTGGTCGGATTGTCAAAATTCTTTTACTGATAGATAGCTACAATGTTCCTGAGTGCTATAGGCTATAAAAACATCACGCTACGATCAAATGGAGCAATTCACCGAGCAGCGAGTGAAACCGCGTGAGAGCTGGTGTTTAATAGCTGCCTGCCTGCCTAGCCTGGAAGTTGCGGCTGATGACTTTTACCGAGTTCTATTTTTTGTCTAATAATGTTAATCACTGACATACAGTGAAAACCTCGTACGAAAACTTTTTGGTGTATGTTTCTTGGGTAGGGCTTGAGGGACAATCAGGCTCTTATTGTCTTAAAACCACCTTTTGCAATATCGTCTCCTGTTTAACCTCGGGCCAGGGTCCTGGTACGTCATTGCGGTTTTTTTATATAAACATATTTTTTTGATTATATATATATTGAAACTGGGCTTCTTCCAGTTAAACAGTCTCTTTTGTGCATTTAAGGACTAAGTCATCCTAATTCCTGCATTTAATTTACCGTGGTAAGTGGACCTTATTTCGCTTTTAATTCTCCTCAAATCTCCTCTTTTTCGTTGAGGGATTCAAGACATTAATGTCCCCGGGACAAACCGAATAGCAGTGTTTCGGTGTTTTCATTGTTGTTCTGTAGACCCTGGATGACAGGAGTTACAGCTGTTTTGAAAGCTTATGGCGCCCGTGTCACCAAAATATGTTTCTTACTAGCTTTTGCCCGCGAATTCGTTCGCGTGGAATAGTGAATTCCTGCCAATTTTTTGATTAAAAACTATCCTATGTCCTTTCTCGAGTTCCAAACTATGTCTGTACCAAATTCCACATGAATAGGTTCGGTAGTTTAGGCGTGAAGAAAAGACAGACAGACAGAGGTACTTTTGAATTTATAATGTTAAGTTTGATATAAATATTTAAAATATTAATTGTAAAATTACAGTACAAAATTAAGTAGATATTCTTAGATACCTACTAATAATAAAATTACTAGTTTTATAGAAACAATAGCATTGCAAAGGTATCTACTATTGACGTCATATAGATTTTTTATTATGATTAAACAACTAATTTATGCATAACATGTTTCACATTATTAAAAAATCTGATGTTTGGGTCTTAGCATTGAGATGAATTAAATACCTACTTACTTTTATAACAGTCAACATTTGTGATACTTCATATTTATTAATACCTGTATATTACATTCTTGCTACTCTCGCGCGGTTTCACCCGCTGCTCGGCTCTTACAGAACTTAGCGTAATGTTTTACAGCCTATCAGCCTCAGGAACATTGAACCTATCTATCAGTAAAAGAGTTTTGGAAATCCTACCAGCGGTTTCAAAGATTACGCCCTACAAACAAACTTACAAACATAAAGAAAGAGAAAAAAACAAACATGATTATTGTGACTGAATTTTAATATAAATGAATGTTCTTTTTTTAATAATTCTCCAGCATTTCCGACAAACTTTGTGAAAGTGGGACCTAAAGGCTACATGGTGTACAGACCCTACGTGAAAGATGCTGCGAACATCTACAACCTGCCACTGAGAGCAAACGACGTGTTTGTAGCCACTTACCAACGATCAGGTACATTCAAACGACATCTTTTACTCCCAAATTCCGTAAAATGGTAAAAGTATGACAAAAGTATTCCTTACAATTACCAAAACTATCGAATTTCGCCATTTCGCTATATTTTCCGTGGGACATACTTAATTTATTGAAAATCCTAGTTTCCGCCAACGGCTTCGCTCGCGTGGTATGTTGATATAAAGTAGCCTATGTCATATTCCGGAGTGTATCCTATGCCTGTGCCAAATGTCATCCAGATTCAGTGTTTTGACGTGATTAAGTAACAAACATCCAAACAATAGTAACTTTCGCATATTAAGTAAAGATATACATATATTAACGACTTACTCACGTGAATTAAGTGAGAAAAACTACTTAACCAATCTGATAAGACTCATTCGTAGCTAATATTCAGTCTGCAGACTAAAAATTTTACATCTCCGCTCATTAGTTCACTAATAGGTAAACTAAATCATTATAGGTTCGTTACCTTATTATGACAGTTTAAATTTTTCTAGTATTTTTACTGAGTTGGGGTTTGTCGTGTCTTATTTTGGAAACCACGAGACGACGTTCTAATAATTTCATCAAAATATAAAATTAATTCTCCAGGAACGACAATGACTCAAGAACTAGTTTGGCTGATTGAAAACGACTTAAATTATGCAGCTGCGAAAGTATTACTTGCCCAACGCTTCGCGTATCTTGAGTGAGTACCTACACGAAAACTTTTTCGTAACATCATAATTCTTAATTTAAGCAACAGAAAAACAACGTGGATGGAAAAATATGGTAAGATTGGAATAACAAAACAAATCACCAGTATTTTTTTATGTGATTGCTTGACAAACGAGCAGACGGATTACCTGATAGTAATAACAGAGGAGTTACGAGTGCGTTACCGACCTTTTGAGGATTTGAGATTTGGGGATTAGAGAGGGATTGGGGGAGGGAAGGGATTGGGCCTCCGGTAAAAAACGCTGGTTTTTCACGTCGGTTTCTGTGTGGTCTTTAGAATAAATAACTATATTTTAACTAGATAAGACACCTACATAATTATCTTAAGCAACATGCTAATCTTCGTCAGTTTTTCAGTTTCCAATTCTAAATTTAAAAACCAACTATTGCAGCGGATTCATGATCTATGATCCGGAGAAGAAAGAACAATACGAAAGCATATTACCGAATCCAGAAAAACTAGACATAGAAAAATATTTAGAATTGCTAGAATACTATAGTCGTGAAGGGAGTTTACTGCTTGCTTCAATACCACCGACACAAAGGAGGTTCATAAAGACACATTTACCGTTGTCGTTGATGCCTCCCTCAATGTTGGACACTGTCAAGATGGTGTACATAGCCCGTGATCCAAGAGATGTAGCTGTATCCAGCTACCACCACGCCCGATTATTGTATTTAATAAACAAACAGAGCAACTTTAAAGATTTCTGGGAAATGTTTCGTCGTGGCCTATGTAAGTAATGTTAACACATGTTTACTATCTTAAAAGAAATTCATTGTTGTAGTTCTCTAACAATGATATTATAAGTAAAAAGGTGTAGATAGGTTACAAGCGTTTTCATATTTGTCTCTTTTTTTCAGTAGCGATTATTGAATCATGCCATCCCATTTTAACGTGTATCATACGATTTATTCATGTGTGCATAAGTGTGTCGTTTTTGAAAATCGAATGTTGTTTATGTTATGTTCATTTTACTTATAATATCATTGTTATCTAAGGAAACATTTTTTTTATATATATTTAGATACGCTAACACCGTATTTCGAGCACGTCAAAGAAGCTTGGGAAAAGAGACATCACCCGAACATGCTGTTCTTGTTCTACGAAGACTACTTGAAGGTACCGAATTAATTATTAGAAGTAACAATTCCTTTGCAACTATGTATAAGGTCGATCCATTTTTGTTTTAACTAAAAGATACGCAATTAGCTTCGTGGTAGATCCGCAAGTGAATACTTTTTGTGCTAAAGGTCGGTACACGTGCAGGCGTATCACCTGATGTTATGATAGGTATCACGAACCTCTTTCTGCCTTAGAGGAGGTTACACAACCCAAGTTAAACATCGGAACTTTTGCTCTTTAAAGTGCGATCGGATGCTCGGCGTGTCTCCTACGACGGCTAGGGTGTCAGAAGGATAGTTCCCCCACACATTTCGCATTCTTCTTTGTTTGGCAGATGGAAGAGACAGCATCCCAGGTGGTCCTCACTTTTGCTTCTCTTCCCTCCCTCTCTAGTCCTGGGATGCCACGATTCTTGAACAATTATTCATTTTATACCAGTGTCGGACCTTTACTCAAACAGCGATTATGGTTTAAAATAGAACTCGACCAAGGAGACCAGGGGTAGACTGTTAATGGTTGATGTGTGATGATACCTCTTATGAATACGATAATAATAGTAGGTATACAAAGTAATTAAATTATGTACAAAAATTCTGTTCTTAGGACCTACGAGGCTGCATTAAGCGCATTGCTGACTTCTTTGGCAAAAAGTTAAGCGAGGAACAAATTCAGGGCCTCTGCGAACACCTCAATTTCGAAAAGTTCAAAAATAACGGCGCTGTGAATATGGAGGACTTTAGGGAAATTGGAATACTCGCTGATGGGGAGTATTTTATCAGAAAAGGTAAGATAATATTTACTTAATACCACTAGAAATTAGAAAATCTTTATTATACTTAAAACTATATCTGCTTATTTTTAGTGTTATCGTAATATGTATGTATAAGGAAAATATAATTGAAAAAAGACTCTTACCAAATTTTGCAACATTACTTTTATAAAGTTTCTTTCAAAACACAATATCTAAGCACAGAATTTGGTTTAAGATTGGTTATTAATCGACCACTTATTACCTATTCTAAGATCGACCATTAAACGTAGGAACACGAGTACATGAACCTGTATATGTACTAAATTTTGACTAAAGTACCTACTTTAGTCAAAATTTAGTACATATTCGGGTGTTTTTATAAGTACCTAACATTTATATAATATTTTTTGATTTTAAAAAGCAATTGTAATTAATAAACAATTTATGTCAACTTTAACACTTCAGCTTGAGCTTGATAGTTTTCTTTGATTATTTATATTTCAGGTCAAGCCGGAGGCTGGAGAGACTACTTCGACGAGGAGATGACAAAACAAGCTGACGAATGGATCAAAGACAACTTAAAGAATAGTGACCTTCGGTTCCCACATATGGAATTATAATAAACTACCAATAAAATGTTAAAAACGTAATTATTGTATACATACATCAATGTGAAGTTATTTTTGGATTATGGGCTATTATTTATATTAAAATTAAATAAATTTTTCTTTAAAATAATATTATTTTCAGTTTTATTCTGCTTATTCAAAAATAATGACTTTTTAACCCCTACCTGAAGGTAATTTTCTTCGTTTTCTATTCATTTCTAGGCAAACTGAAAACAAATGAAAAAGAACCTGTGGTTATCATACCAACTTCGACGATCCCTTTCCTAGAATCTTTGGGACTTAGATTACAGAATAAAACATACTAGAGAGTATAAGTAAGTATTGGGAAAACTACATAATTATGCTAGGTACTATGTTAAAAAAGAGTTTTTACGTCATCAAATACCTATATTAGTTAAATAAATTTTAAATCAGTCTAAAATTATCTTGTCATATACTTACCTCACACAATCTTCAATGCTTATTATCTAAATAAAGATTGTCCGATTGTTGTTATATGTATTATGTACATAGCAAGAATTTACTGTTATGAAAAATGTTGCTATTATATTTTTTACATGTAGTTACATACAATTATTTCGTTTATAGTTTGTATATAATAACCAAAAATGGTTCCAATATTGAACCCTGTGGTATCCCATGTATCTCCTGAAATGTGTTAAAAGTTCCATACACTCATTAATTCTTATGGAAAGACAGTTGCTCTCAAATATATCGCTCGTTTGATTACGATCCTAGATAGCTGACCCATAATGCCTACGATAGGGCGATGCAGAGATGTGTAACAGTTAACTGTGGGTGTTATATCAATATAAATGGCGTTTCAACAACAATTACAACGTTATTGCCTTATAGCGGCATACATACATACCTACAGTCTATGGCATAACCGTAACCACACCTCATACCTATTACCAGATAACCATTACCGTACCTCCTTGAAGAACCAGATTACCTTTACCATACCTCCGTGATCAACCAACCAATACCAACGTTTTTGACTTTCTGTGATCAGAAACAGTGAAACAGGCCGCCTTGAAAAAGGCGTTGCAAACGTTTTAGACTTCTGCTGACAGAAACTCGTCTTGAAAAAGACGTTTTAAAACGTTTTTGACTTCTGCTCAGAAACGAGATATAATGAGCAAGCAAATAAGCAGGCAAGCAAGCAGAAGCGAAGCCCGAAGAACACGAAGACACGAAGTTGCGGTCCACGACACTGGACACGTCTGTAGTCGTCGGCGGCACCGGAGCGAAAGGACGCGTCTCGCGGCACGCACCCTAATATAGCCTCGCGACATCGCGACGAACGGCGACTGCGACGGCGCATGCGCGCAGCCGCTCTGTCGAGCCTTGCGACGAACGCGCGCTGCTATTGGTAGATGACATATACCTATGTGTGATAGCGTGTAAGATAGCCATAAGACATGTAAATATAAGTAGGGACATTTGGCCGATTAAAGCATTCCAAACCACGACAGCCTCGAGTTTACTAATAAGAAGAAACCCTGCTCTCACTCCAAAAGCCTATTAGGGATATTCAGGGTGATAATATACAATAATACAGGTGTAATCTAGGCGTGATGTGCATGCGTATATTGTTATTGCGTTCGCAGCCCACGAGACGAGAGAATCCTGGAGTGCGGCAAAAGTTTTTTAAAAGATAACATAATATGAGGCTCTTCAGGAGCATTTAATAAGTCCATTAATGTAGTAAATTATTATCAGCCAGCAGCCCGCCCCTGCATAGGATGGGTGTTTAATAACCTCGGTCACGACGATTGACGATTTTAAGACAAACTTAAGTCGCAAAAAATCGCAAAATAATCTTCCGAAAAATAACAAATACAACGAAACAGCAGGATTGTTTCAAATGTTGTTGAGTGACGCGCTTACCAACACATTTTGATATATAAGGAATAATATATATGTGTAGATAGGGGTTTCACTGTTACCTACTCACATACATCAACTTTAGGTAATTTTACACCTACTTATCAGGTACTTTTATTTCTTAATTTGTCCTTTTACTGACCTATGTGACCTTGACAAAATACGTAAATGCAGATGATAAATAAAGATAATATTTGTTTACTCAGGTAGGATTGCCTACTGGTGTCAATAAAAATAAGCAACAGAATTTTGGGATTCCTCGATCATGCTATAGAAATATTAAATTGGTTTTACAGATATAAAGACAAAATCAAAGTATTCGAAAACATGTTCGCAACTAAATTTGTTGATCATACTAGACTCATAAACAAATTAGATAAATATGGCATAAGGGGAATAGCTTTAGATTGGTTCAAATCATACCTAAATGGTAGAACACAAATAACAAGAATAACTAAATTTAATAGTAAAACCAATTTTCTTGAGAGCCATGATTCCAGTCCCAGATTCAATTACTTTGGAGTTCCCCAGGGGAGTATTCTAGGTCCCCTACTATTTCTAATTTATGTAAATGATTTTCCTCAAGTAGTCCACAATCATGAATGCGTCCTATTTGCTGATGATACATCTGTAATATTAAGTTGCAAAGATGAAAAAAATTATATAGCCGAGATACATCAAACACTAAAAGAAATTACTAAATGGCTTGATATCAATGCATTAAAAATAAATTTAGACAAAACAAAAATTATTAAATTCAGATCTTATAAAAGCAAATGTAAGCAACTAGACATTATCTGTAATAACACACCCATCGAACAAGTCCATAACGTTAAGTTTTTAGGTATTACAGTAGATGAACATCTTACATGGAAAGATCATATCGATACCGTATGCAACAAAATTAATAAATCTGTCTTTGCTATAAAAAGAATTAAAGACTCTTGTTCAAGACACACATCGTTAATGGTTTACCATGCCTATGTATGCTCCGTTATACGATATGGGATTGTGGTTTGGGGATATACATCAGATTTAGCACGGGTATTTATTGCGCAGAAGAAATGTGTTCGCGCAATTTTTAATGTCAAATGGTCGGACTCTTGTAGACCTATTTTCACATCAGAAAAAATATTAACTGTCCCTAACATTTATATTTATGAAGTGGCTAAATTTGTAAAGTCCAATATTAAATTATTTAAAAATAAAAACAATACAAACAAGCGCAAAGTCACTCATTCGTATTTAAAAATGCCTGCTCCGCGACTTGAGATGTGTAGACGAAGTTGTGTGTACATGGCGCCTTTAATTTATAACTCACTGCCTCAGAACATAGTCGATCTGCCCTATCAGAAGTTCTGCAAGACTCTAAAAAATTGGTTGATAGAAGAATGTTTTTATTCGGTTGATGAGTTCCTAAAAAAGTATTCTTCTCAGTCTTACCATTTTAGGAATGCATTGTAATTGTTATTTACCTACCTGTATTTTACTTTTGTGTTTCTGTATTTTACTGTAAGATGTCGAACGTTTTGTACCAATGTATTGTAATGATGTAAAACAATAATGTGCATTTTACTTGAACATTTGCATGCTGTTTTATAACTGCGGAATGTGTCTAGCTCTAAAACATATATTAAACCAACTCTTGTACCACATTTTATGCAAATAAATATATTATTATTATTATGTCTGTCTTTACCAATCACGGGACCACAGGGTCCCGGTCATTTGGAAGGCGTACGAGGGGCCGGAGCCAACTGCGCAGAGGCCCTTTAGACAAATTTAATGTAAATGAAATGGGACACAAACCGGCGACTATCCCTGTATGCACTATGGGAATGCACTCAAGGACAGTCCCCGGTTAGTGTAGGACTATTGCGGATAATGGAAAAAAAATACAAGGCTATGGGTGTGGGTTGCTATGGGCTAGTAGGATGGGAACTATGGAAGGACTATGGCACCTGCCGAAACAATGTTATTTATACACGTAAAAATGGCAGGCGGAGACTCGCCAACTCACCGACCGGGCCCCCGGCAATGGTTGCTAGTAATAGCAACAGAGGGACAACGGAAATGTAAGTGGCTGAAGGGTGAAGAAACTGCCACCAGCTTTCTACTCAGATCATCTGCATCTGCCTAAGCATCCTGCATCACTGGCCCACTCGCCGCTTACGAACAGCTTCCACCCTCCGAGCAGGATCACTACTCTCGCGACTCCACTCTGGACGGCCAATGAAGGCAAGCCAGAGGTGGGAGACCTGTTCCTCGTCATCGTTCACTCCGGCCAGCCAATGAAGGCAAACCGGAGATAAGGAACGGTGACTCCTCCCTGGAGCAATCGGGATGATGGTAGCCCGCGGGATCGCTAATTCCCGTCACCTCGCCTCAAGGTGCCCTGCGGGCTTTATTATTATTATTATTATAAATTATACAATTTCATCATTTATAATCATACTTTTGAAATGTCAAGATAGAATAATAGATAGTTAGTCAGCCTGGCTGTCTGTGATACTCAGCTACACAGCAAAACGCCGTATGACATAATGCTGAGAAAATATCTAAAATAGACAAGTCTTGTTATACCTATGAGATGTCTAATCTGTATAAACGCAAAATCAGCTGACCTTAATCTACCCGAAGCGTCTTTTTGTAGGAATCCCTTTTGCCCCTTGACTTGCTTGCTTGACCCTTATTGTCTGATGTTATTATCTAGAAAAACCGGCTTGTTATGTTACAATCATTACTTTGTACATTTGTGAAGCTAAATTAATTTAATTGTTTTTTCTCGGTAAGCGCTAAATTATTAATCGTGAACCAAATATGAACTTGGAAAATGGAGGTCTATGATTTGTCAAAATTAACTGCGTGTCGACCTGTTTTACAATTCCATGATTTATCATCTGGAAACCGCACTATAAACTAAAAATAGGGACGGAAAAATGTCGGTCCTCGTGGCACGCCCATTTAATATCGTTAACATCAACCTTTAGCTGGCTATCCTCTAAATAGGCATTTCAACAGATGGAACGCAGTGAGTCTTATTCCGTAATGATCTTATTTCTGCAAAAGTATCTCACGATCAACGCTATCAAATGCTTTTGTAAGGTCGCAAAATTAATCATCAACAACATGCTGTTCTTCTCCCAAGCACTAAATATTTCCTTTTTAACTATAATGACACCGGTGAAACTGGAATGTTTATTAAATGTTGAAGCATTTAACTTTCCAAACACCTTGCAAGAACAGATTCTGTACTATAGTTATTCGGTTCTTTGAAGTGACCAAGTTTGAATAGTGGAGATTTACTGTATTTCATTAGGTTTCGGAAGGCAGTTTCATGTATCCGGATACAAATCAACACATAAGATAAGTGTTCTGCATATTTTACCGATAATCGCCAAAATTCTCATTCTAAGGAGATTTGACCTTGATTTTTTATATAACATTCAGTACATTTAAAAGTCAAGCACAAAAACAATCATATCAACGATTGATAGATGATACCTACTTCGCTCGAGATGTCGCACTTAAGACAAACAAATACTTACGTACTATATGTATTTAATTATTATTGCTTTTATTGTTTCTATTTCTTTTACTGTAAACCTATGTTGTCTGACACGTTATTCGAATGGTCGAAATTGCGAATACCGAGCTTGTTTTCGGGTCTCGAGTTTATTTCGTCAGTGCTTGATCAGAATCTTTGGGTTTTCGGAAATGTTTGGTAGTAGCTCTTCGTCTTGTAGTTTCCGCAAATTGTGGCTATTAGCTGACCTTCTATTATCAGATTTTATCATCTCTCATTACATAACGGTTGAAAAGTGAGTTTGTATACGTATTTATTCATTCATAATTATGCCATTATATGCACTTCTCTCTAACCCTTGTCGCGATAATATGCGTGGCGATATAAAAAGACATAAGATACCTCTATTCTGTAGTTAACCTGTATTTACATGGTAAATATGTAAACGAATGTGTAGGTACTGCAGGCAAGTTTTTGCCCTACTTTCAGTTGTCACTGAGGAAGAGAGATCAGTTTCCACTTAGTATGTATACATTCGTCACGTCGCTATTTCCTCCATTGGGGTCACTAACATCATCAATAGCTTATGAAACTTCACTACTGAATTCCTCAAAAAATTTGCTGGAATATCTACTATTGGCAGAACAGCTGGACATCAGAAATACGGAAACTAACTGGCCTCTGTCAAATGTGTAGTCCCATATTCGGTTTTTTGTACACCAACGGCAAGAATAGGCGTGGCGACAATAATTTCAGAATGGTTAGAAATGAACCATAGGGGAACGCAGAGACAATGGATCCCAGATCCTAAGACAGGTACAGGGAGAAAGAAAGAAAATCACAATGACATTTATTCAACACCAGACACGATGCACTAAAATTAAGATGAAAAAAGAATATTACTTAAAATTAAATAGTACATAATATTCATATAACGATTAGGTACAGAAGATACAATAAGTACAAAAATAAAATAAAACTGTATAACAAGGATAATACCAAATACAATGTACCTCTTTCGCTTAATTTATTTTCACAAACTTTACTTCCATCGTTCGGATCATTTAAATTAGGAATTTCAAACATCGATAAATGTTTATCTAGAGCTTCTTCTACTGAATTATGCTTTGTACTGCAATTTCTACTATTCATTATTTTAATATGACCAAATTAGAAACCCTGATAAGTGTAGATACGTTAGTATATCATACATGTCTGGACTGGACACTGGTAAGCCAAGAGTTTCCAAACAATGTTGACCCAATTTGAAATTCCTGATCTTTTTTTCAGTTGGTCAGTTTCACAAAATTTGGAAATTAAGTAAGCCGTATTCCTTGTTAATTTTTCGTTATATTTTTAAAAGACTAAAGAGGAATAATGGAAAATAGTGTGTGGTGTTGGTGACTTGTTTGTTCAATAAATTCATATAATAATTTAATCAATATAGTCTATTGTTCTTCAAGGACTGAAATATGAATGTACTTAATCAATTGGAAAAATCCAGGGCCAGAATTCAAGGAAATAAATAGACAGGCAAACGCAGTTGCATTACAATCGAAAATCACGCGCGCATGCACCAATCTAGTACCTTGAGATAAATAATAAAATATAACACTACATAGGCATAACAATATACATATATAAACAAGAAAGAAAACTGTTCTCCAGGTTATTTCGACCTTAAGCGCTTGCCATTGATTTGAATCTCGCAGTACTGTGCCTACAGTCGCAGGCGCAGCTTGTGTGGGACACTCTCTCTTTATCGCGACTTCACAACAATTTGTTATTCGTAACAATACTTCAAGATCTTTGTAAATATTATTAAACATAGTAACTTTGATACAAGTGTAAAAATGGGTTCGGAAAATTTTCCTTTCGAAATTGAAGACTTGGAAGCGGGTCTAGCCAAAAAGTTGATGGAATGTTTTACTGGTAAGTGGGCTGATTTATATGTAAGAATTTCACTTTGGTTCTCCAATGGAACTATGGTATAAGTACCAAATGAAGACTGGTTTTATTTATACTTACACATACAAATTATACACTTATTATTGTAAATCTAGTTGTTGTAATATCTTCAGTACTAATATAGTTAAAACGGGAAAGTTTATAACAGTAGACCGATATATGTCTCATAAAAAAATATGAATGGATTTTGGTGATGAGAGACAGATTATAGTCTGGAATAACACAGGGGGTAACAACCGTGTAACGTGTGCGAACTCGATGGCAGATGCTAGTCAATAACCAACGTTTGATCCCCAAACATTAGATCGTAAACAAACACAATCTGTTAATATTTTATTTAATCAAAGTTTATTATCATAATTATTATTTTATTACCATGACGCACCTTTGCGTTGTTTTGCTGTGATTATTGTTACCTGCGAGTACCTAAATAAAATGAAAATGAGGACTAAGTAAGGTTGAAACTTAATTACCTACATTTTTGAAAATAATAAACATAAAGTAAAAAAGAAATAAAAAAAATTTTAGAATTAAAGGCCATAAATTTATGTAAAGTGACCAACCTACAACAAGTACATATGTGTAGTTCGGAAGTTTAAAAAGAAACAAATCAAAATACAAAATTACTTAAATATTTTAAGCCGCTTAATAAGCTGACAACGTAATAAATCAAATGAAAATGAGCGCCAAAAAGTTAAATAACACACACCACAATACAAAGCATCCGTACTTACGCTTTAGGCAATTTATATTATGAAAAAATTAAACTATTGATATAAATCATGTTTTTCGCGTAAGTATGTTACGATTACGATAACACAGTAACAGTGAACATGACATCAAATGAGTTTGTTATCAGGCCATTGACCTTTGTTTGTAGGTAACTCAATGCGTGTCACCAAATGCTGCGCTTAATATTCATTAGAAATAATTAAATTACTTGACAACGCTCTGGTACTACTGGTCAAAATAAATACCAGTAAACAATTAGCAGTTTTTACTATCATATTATTTGGCCTTTTTCCACCATAAGAAATGGGAAGAGAACCATACTTACAAATCTAGGATCAATGTATATGATTGAGTACTATTCACTTTTTGGACGGAATAAATATTTTGGGTAAATAAATAATCATGAAGATTAACTTAGAATTAAAAACTCTTTTACCTACGCACGTAAGGAGAAGTTCGGTATAAGAGGAACAATGTGTATAAATACTTATTACTGTATTTAAAACTGTTCCAATCTATTATCTAATTGATTGGTTTAGTAGTTAGTTCACACGGAAACTAAGTAGGTAGGTACTATAAGACTGCAAGGTCTAACATAACAGTTTCCCCGGACGTAATATTTTCGTTCTCAACGATTGCTTCAAGGTCTCAAAAACATATCAACGTAAATGATTGTAGGTACTTATTTATTTTATTCTTAAAATATATTGTGTATTATTAAATTTTAATTATTTTCAAGGTCACAGCAGTCATTGCATGTTAAAAGTTAATTGTTTTTTTTTTGTTTAAATTGCCTAGGTACTTTAATTAAACTGTAGTTATGACAAAAAGTTTTAATGCAGGTATAAAATAACATTTAACGATCGAATTAATAAAGTACCTAATAAATATTTAATTGCAACATATAAAATCATTGGTATGAATCAATTTTTACTGCCACTATAGATAGGTACTTGAAAATGAATGGAATGCCAGGGTGCAAGCGTAAGCGTCACAATATACCACGGCCAAGGTCCAGAGCAGGAAAAGAAGCTTTTCAGTCAGTAAGAGTCTGACTCGCCCTCACTCCTCTATTACGATCCATCCATAGTCTATGTTAGTAGTGCCTAATTTTAACATTTAACATGCAATAATGTAATATCGCTTTAGCCGTTGAGGTTGTCCCTTAGCTATCGTACTACTTTATCACAAGACTCTCTAATGCCAGTTGCACCCCAGATGAAGTTGTCATCGATACCAATTTATCAAGCCTAAAAAAAGAGCAGCTATTGTTAACCGTAGAGGAGTCGCGCCGATTAGTTTTTCGGTCCTATAATTAGGTCAAAACTATACCTTTATCAAATTATAGTGCTTTAAAATCTTCCTAATTACATAACAAACGAACTAGTCGCTCCATCACATTTGAAAAGATCCCCCCAATTTCCCAAGGATCCCATCATCAAGTCCAGAACTGGCGACAATGTACCTATAAGCTTTCGAATAAAAAATTAATAATCAAAATCATTAACGACGAAGTTCCACAAGCCAAAATAAAATCAGTATAAACACCTCCTCCTTTCAAGAAAGTTGAATAAAAATTGATCTTAATTCAAAGATTCTGATTTGATATGGGTTATTTATTTCTGCCATCTGCAATAGGGCGGTAGACGAGCAGACGGACCCCCTGATGTTAAGCAATCAGCACCGGCCATAGACGCAACACCAAAGACTTTAAAGGTGCGTTGTGTAGATGCGTTGCCGGTGGATTTGGAGCATTGGAAATGAGGAAAGAGCAGCAGAGATCAAAGCTAAGCTATACCTTTCAAACTGCTCTCTCTTGCCTGTCAAGCGTGGTTATTATGCCTCACCTTCTTCTTCAATGGAAACCTTTTCGATTTTTAGCTAAGCAATGTACTTATTGTGTTTCTAGGTGAGATGACCGGCTACGTACGTGTGGGTCCAAAGAAATACTTTTTCCCCCAGAAGTACAAGGAAGAAGCTGCAAAAATTTATAACATGCCGATAAAACCTGATGATGTCTTCGTCACTAGCTATCCAAGATCAGGTAAAAGATTAATTGCTAATAGTATTGGTAGACTTAACTTTATCCTTGAGTGTTAAGGGGTTCCTTTCCCGAACGTTCCATTCCTTTACCATTTTGTATACTTACAAAGAAAGCCACGTTTTATATTAAAAGAAACATTTTTATGTACGTATCTATGGGTAAGCCTACAATGCTTATAAAAAAGCTGAAAAGTGAAGATGCTTTTTATGCAACAAACGAGCTGACGGACCACCTGATGGTAAGCAGAATGCCTTTAGGCATTAAGTCCGTCGTTCTATGTAATACTAGCTTTTCTCGCGCGCTGCTCGGCTCCATTTGATCGTAGCGTGATGTTTTTTGCATATTATAGCACTCAGGAACACTGTAGCTATCTATCAGTGAAATAATTTTACATAAAAACTTAAAATTTTTTCCTCTTTATAATATTAGTATAGTTGTCTATAGGTAAATATTTTAAGAGAGGGAAGGAAGGAAGGAGAGTAGTGTTAAATAAATAAAATTTTAAAGTGAAAAATGTTAAGTAGGTCATGTAGACCTCTTCCTTCCAGAACTACTCTAACAACATGTGCTTACACTGTTTCAGGGACAACCTGGACCCAAGAGTTGGTATGGATGGTCGCTAACGATCTAGATTACGAAAAGTCTTATGCTACACCGCTCACTGCACGCTACCCGTTTTTAGAGTAAGTCTACATTTAATAAAAAAATTATACAAAAAGTTTATAGTAATTAGTATTGTTTTAATCAATACAATTAACAATGTGTTATTGACCTCTATAACAGACGATTCATTCAAATATTTATAAGTAGGTAACTTCTGTGGAAGCGGGGTCAATGACTTGTTAGAACTGGATTTAACTAGCGAGGAATAATAATATTGCGTCACCTATTCAATTTATAAATAAACGTGCCAGCTTTGCTAATTATCTGGTTTTGTCAGATTCAGAGGTACTGATAACTAGGTAGGTTACATCGCGCTATTCGCTTATATCTATTGGAAATGGATCCTAATTTACAAATCTCGGAAGATATATCTACCACTACCTACATCGCTACCTTTTTCTGTATTTTATAGTTATTAACGTTTATTTTTTTAATGACGAATGTACATTTCTAGTATTCCCCCACCCTGTGTGGGGTGTGATGCAGTGTCAGACTTTTTCACTTTTAAAAAGCCTCCCCGTTCTTCTCTTTACTAATTAATTACTATGCTCCTAGTATTTAGGGAAGTTTCTACCTACCACTAAATATTATTAATATGAAAGCTTCCCTTCGCAACCGAATGCTTCCCAACGCAAACTGAAATGGTTAGGTAATAAATGGTGCCCACCCATACCTAAATACTCAAAGCACGTATTCCTATAGGTAATTAACTAGCAAACGACGCGACTGTAACATTTAAAAGTGATTAAGACAAGATAAGTTATGTTTTAGGGACAATTCAAAAAAAAATTTCATGTCTTGGGCGTGGATTTATATCTTTTTTTTCAAAACACATCTTATAGATATTTATTTGAGGAACAACGTATCTAAAAAAGAAGTCGAGCATTTGGCATTTTAATACAAATGTAGATAAACATTCCCGCCCGTCCCGAACTCGCTCACCCGCAGCCATTTTTACCCATTCATGATTCATTGCTAATTTATTTTCTTAAAAAAAGTAAGTACGTCTTCAAAATCCTGGACAATAAGCGCTAATTACTGGACACGGAACAAGAGACAAAATTTCGGGGCAATCCCGGACTTGCCGGCGGTCTGGCAACCCTAGTTAGGGTGTTACTACCTAAATTCTACCTACAGCCACAGAGATGTGCTTTTTCAACATTTCTGTGATCGCTATTTATCACCAGTTTTAATGATCAATTATGGTTATGGCTTACAATTAGTATTTGAGAGATAAACTAGTATTGTCGAGGTCTTATTAATCTAGTCTCTCACCATTGAGTAACTAGCCGAGGTAGGACAGTTAAGATTCATAAATTATCTATAAAACATTATGAATAAACATAATAATTGTAGGTACTTGTCATTTATATCTGTCGATAGGACAAGGTTACTTATTTTATTTAACGAATTTATAACTAACAACACGAAAACCTTTCAGATTCTCCATTTGTGTGCACCCAGAAAACAAAAAGAAGTTTATAGAAGAAAACAGTCACAGTCAGAAGAATCTAGAACTGCTGGAGGCAGTCACTCAGCCGGGCACTGACCAGCTGGCAAAGACCCCATCCCCGAGGTTCATCAAGTCTCACATGCCTCTATCACTGTTGCCCCCCTCACTTCTTGACAAAGCGAAAATGGTGTATGTAGCCCGTGATCCCAGAGATGTTGCTGTGTCCTTCTACCATCTGAACAAAGTAATGAGGACTCAGGGATACACAGGGGACTTCAAAACTTATTGGAACTACTTCATTCAAGATTTACGTGAGTATATAGAATTTATCTATGTTTAAATAATTAATACCTACTAGCTCGGAGTCAACTGAACCTTTTTTTTATGTAATAGATCGGCAAACGAGCAGACGGATTACCTGATGGTAAGCAATCAGCGCCGCCCATGGACACCTGCAACAGAGGAGTTACGAGTGCGTTACCGAACTCTTAGGGCTTAGGGTTTTGGAGATTAAGGGATTGGGGAGGTATCGGGGGAGGAGAAGGATTGGGTCTCCTAGAACCTAACTAAGTACCTACAGTTTCGCGTATAATTAGTAAGATAAGTCGGATATATGAATTGTGCACCTCTTTCAATCCGAATTGCTGTTAATAGTATAAATGTTATACCTAGGCACGGCTATTACAAAATCTTTGTTTATAGATCACTGGGCGCCATACTTCGATCACCTTAAAGAAGCATGGGAGAAGAGAGACCACCCTAACATGCTGTTCTTATTCTACGAGGAACTTTCGAAGGTATACTAATACCACAATTTATAATTGCCACATTTTTTTTGAGTTAGTTTACCAACTTCTTCCAACTTCACCTTTCTCTTGTATTGCACAATATCTAAGAGGCTTATTAAATTTCAAGTTAGAAAATTGCCGTAGTCTGTTTTGGCGTATTAAACTCGTCTTTAAAGCCCCAAAAGGGTAGTAGGAAGGCAGCATTCTTACCTTAGCCTTTCATTGATAAGCCATGATGTACAAACGCATCACGGTACAACGTTAAAAAAATCAACTACTGACTTCGAAAACTTGTTCGCCTCCAAGCTGCTCTGTCATCGTTACGTGAACGTGTTGTCTAGTATCAAATGTTTGGATGGACAAGTAAAATAAAATAAGGTTCTCGTAAAAATAACTATCTTAACTTTGTATTATTTACGCGGATATTAAAGCGGTAAATTATTATTTGAATACCTTGGTAGGCTTGACGTTTCGACCCGGTTGCACAGGTCGTGATCACAAGCAGACTGGCTGAAGCCTACCAAGGTATTATTAAATATATGTAGTTAAAATAACTATCTACATAATATTTCAGGACCTGCCAGCGTCTGTGCGTCGTGTCGCGAAGTTCTTCGGCAAAGAATACTCAGATGAACAGATCGAACGCTTATGTGACCACCTGAGCATCGAAAGTTTTAAGAACAACAAGTCGGTCAACTACGATGTCATGAAGATCCTTGGTATAATGATACCTAGCGACCAGGCTTTTATTAGGAAAGGTAAATATCGAAACTTGACCTTTATCCGAATGGTTCGGTAAAAAGTTATCCTTTTTTTTTATTCAATTTTTATATGTAGTATTTCTGACTTCAACACAGTTCAGCTTCATCTACAACATGAAATTCAAGTTTTTAATGACAATGTTTGTACAGGTAAGGCAGGCGGTTGGCGCGACTACTTCGACGAAGAGATGTCACAACAAGCTGAGAAATGGATCGAGGACAACCTGAAAGACACTGACCTGCGCTTCCCACATTTAAATCATTAGTTACATAATATAAATAGCTTAGAAAGAAAAGAACATAAAGGGTGATAAACATTTATTTAAGTAACATACTATGTTCCAGTTTTCTTTGTAACACCATATTTTAAGTATACATTGACTTTAAAATTTCAAAGAAAGCACTAGTAATAAGTAAACAATGTTAATTCCAATTGCGTCTCAACATCATCCACTGTGTCCTGTGTAATAAAATTTATTTACTCATAAATAAAACAATGTCTCAGTCCTTCCTCACATTTTATTTAAATATAATACGGTTATACAAAGAAAATAAATTAAAAGCCAGATTTAATCAATCATTCGTTGGTAATATAAAATTCTAAAACAGACTTATAATCATTATAATGGATAATAACCGTTTAAAGCCGGAACGGGGCGAGTGGCCGCGGTACCGTGGGCGCTCGCCCCGCTCCGCGTACAACGAATCGGCAACGTACACGTCTATAAAAGCGACTCTATAATATAAAAGTGGGAGCAAACTCCCGCACCTAACGACTCGCCGCCACGAACGACGTTAAAACTATCATACACTTATAGAAAATCACAAAATTCAAGCGGAAATAATAGGAATCGTTTGTTGTATCGCGCCTACGCGATGACGTCAGGCAACAGCGCGTTGTCGGCGGCGGGCGGGCTCGGCGGCGGCTTGCTCAGCGCCGCGTCGCCGTTGGCCAGCCCGTTCGGTACCACCTCCTTCTTCGCTGCATCTGTTGTTCTCTTCGTAACGGCCTTCTTTTGCCCAGTTGTTGTCTGAAATTAACAAAATATATATGAAATGCAATTGATTTTAAGCAATTCAATTGCTAGGAAAAGATTGTTTGTTATATCTAAAAAAAACCTAAACAATGCTTTAAATTTCCTAGCTATGATCACTTGATCCAATACCCAATAAGAAGGTTTATCACAGTCAACATAAAAATGACGATGATGGTATCCTGTTATAAAAGTATGTATTCATCAATAATATTAAAAAAACACGAAGAAAATATTTAAAACTCACCTTAGGAGGAGCAGTCCTAGGTGGTGCAGCCTTGGCTGTGATGCGTTTGTTAGCGAGGTCTTTGCTCTGCTTGTCCAGGGGAGCGCGTGGCGCCGGTTTAGGGGCACTCGGCCTGTACAGGTAAAAACTACAATATAGTACACATAGATACTTAAACTAAGATAATGGTCACCAATATGATGAGAATAAACTTTATTAATAATACTTCTAATTGTATAGTTTTACAAACTTGTATACTGCAAATTAAATAAATGTTCGTAGATTAATAAAACTATAATTGAATGAAATAATTACAAGGCTTTTACTAAACAGTAGCCTCTTACCTAGTAGTGGGTGCGGCCGGGGCGGCGGCGGCGCGGGGCGTGGGTCGCGGCGCGGGGCGCGCGGCGGGCGCGGGCCGGGCGGCCGGCCGGCTGGCGGGCTTGGCGTCTTTGACGTCACCGTTCGGTATCGGCTTCTTGTCAGCCGGCTTGGGCTGTGGCCTGGGGGCCGACAACGCGGGGCGCGGGGCCGCAGTCCTGGGAGCTGCGGGCTTTGCGGCCGCGTCTGTCTTTAGCGCCGTTGGTCGCGCAGCGCCTGTCGCAGGCTTGGGGGCAGGGCGCGCAGCGGGGGCCGCGCGGCTGGGGGCACTGGCAGGGCGCGCCGCCGCGGGGGCGGGTTTGGCTGCAGGCGCCGCGGGCTTGCTGAGCGACGTGCGAGCGGCCGGCGCGGCCTTGGCGGGAGTGGGCGCCTTGCTGGCCGGCGTGGCCGTGCGAGCGCTGGGGGTCGCGGCCTTGCTGGCCGGGGTGGCCGGCTTGGCCGCAGTTGTCGTCTTGGCCGCAGTTGTCGTCTTGGCCGCAGAAGGAGCCTTGGTCGCGGGCGTGGGCGCCTTGCTGGTAGGCGTACGCGCAGTAGTAGTAGCAGTGCTGGGCCTCTTTATAGGTGCAGGAGTAGTAGCCGTAGGAGTACGTGCCGGCGTAGCTGACTTGGGTGCGGCCCTCGGTGTCTTGGCTGTGGGGGTCGTGGGTGACTTCTTCGCGGCTGAAGGTTTAGCTTTGGCGGCAGCAACACCAGCGACGGCGGCAGCGCCCACAGCGGTGGCGGCGGCGGCGACCGCTAGGCCTGCGCCGGGCGCGGTGGTGTCGGCCGCTATGGGAGTGTCACTGAGCGGCGCGGCGGGCTCCACGGCCGGCGTGGGGGGCGGCGTGGCGGCGGAGGGAGGTTGCACTGCTTCTTCCAGCTGAATCTCACTAGTGACTGGCACACAAATTTCTTGTGCCCTCGATTCAGGAATACCGATATCAACGTCAGTAACGAGCTCGAGGCGCGAATGCGGCGCGGGCTCCTCGGGCAGTAGGTCGGGCGCGGGCGCTGCAGGCGCTACGGGCGAGGCGGCGCGCTGCGGGGACTCCGCGCGTAGCTCTGCCGGGGCGGGCGACACTGGTACTGGCTCCACTGTAGCTGGACACTCGGGCTCTACAGGAGCGGGGGACTGCGCAGGCAGCGGGGATTCTCGCGGCAGGGGCACGTCGGCCGGCAGGGGAGACGCTGCAGGCATCGGGGACTGCGCGACCGCTGGGGACACTGCGTCGGCGACAGTTTCGATAACTTCGGTTTCAATTGGTTGACTAAGCTCCTCTATAACCTGAGGCTCACTGGGCATTGGTGACTCACTCGGTAGAGGTGATTCTGTCGGCATTGGTGACTCACTAGGCCGCAAAGACTCGCTCGGGGCTAGGGACTCACTAAGTAACACTGGTTCGCTGGGCAGTGGTGATTTACTCGGCATTGGAGATTCTCGCAATACCTCAGACTCTGTAGGTAATGGCGAGTGTGCAGGCAGCGGAGACTCAGTGGGCTGCAAGGATTCTACTAGCGCAGGAGATTCTCTAGGCGCTTCAGATTCGATTGGTAGTGGAGACTCTTTTGGTGGAATAACTTCACTTGGTAATGGAGATGGGGAATCTCCTGGCATTGGGGATTCGCTAACTTGTACAGTTTCTGCTTGCAGCAATGTATCCTCTGGAAGGGGCGATTCCGATGGCAGGGCCAACTCTGCTGGTAAAGGACTATCTCGAAGTATTGTTTCTTCAACTGGTAGGTGCGATTCGTTCGGAATCGGAGACTCACTGGGTAGAGGGGACTCCGTCGGCAATGGAGACTCGCTAGGGAGAAGACTCTCAGCTGGAAGTGGTGACTTGGATGGCAAAGGAGACTCTGCTGTTATGTCATCTTCAATAGCATGGGAAACTTCAGATGATAGGTGATCAGTATCAAGTTTAATTTCAGGTGCGTCAAGAGCAGTCTCTGTTTCAGTTCTTTCACAGCCCTGATCAACATTGACATTGGTTTGTTCTTCGGTGTTAACTTGTTCACTAGATTTTTCCTCAAGTTTAGGTTGTTCAGCCTGTTCCACCTCAACAACTTCATCAATATCTGTAACTGGGACTGGTGATATTGCTTCTTCAGGTTTTGAATCCTCAATAGGTGCCGGAGATACTGGAAGCTGCTCAGTAGGCTGTGCTTGTTGAAAATCTGTAGGTACAGGAGAAGCCACTTGCTCTGTTTCAAGCAAGTGGTGAGATTCTACTTGATCATCATCTTTCATGTCATCATTATGCAACTGTGGTTCAGTTTCAACACAAGGTGAATCTTCAAGTTTGCTTTCCATTTCAATGTCTTGTGATGTCTCATCTTGAGGTGTGAAAGGTCGGATATCTTTCTCACTCTCTGAAGGGTCTTGTGTCTCATCATTTGTAAAGCCTAATTCTGAACTCTTGCCATCAGGTATTTCAGGGATTTGTTCAAAGAGCAACTTGTGAGATTCAGGGGTGTCTGTTTGCATGACAGTTTCTTGATTGATATTACTTGATTCAAATTCAATATTTGAAAAGCCTTCAATATTGTTGGAGCTAACATTGTAATCTGCAAAATTACTTCCTTGATCAAAGTTACCAATGTTTTGTGGGGGACCAGGTCGGTCATCAAACCTAATAATGTCATTGTTTGGTTCTAGGAGGTCTCTCTCAAGTTCGGATAAGTTAGTGTGCTGCTCCGGGCTGATATTTTCTTTATCGTTTTCGTAGACACCATTTTGTTGGAAATCTTCATCATCACTGTCAGGTAAGGGCTGTACAGCATTTAGATCAACATGTGATTCCTTGGCAAGTCTCTCACAAGTGTCATCATCTTTTTCTTGGTAGAAGCTCATACTCATAGGATCCCTTTCTTTATTTTTCAGCCTTTCAAATAGTTCATCATTGCCCTCGACTTCAGCAGCAAAGGGATTGGTTTCTGTGTGTGTTTGAAATACCTGGAAGGGAAACAATGTTATGTTAATTGCCAATAAATGTTAAAGCTATTCATTGATAATTATCTGTTCTATTCAATAAACCATATTACTACAATGTTAACTATTCTGTACTGCAGTAATAAGTGGTAATAAATAAACAAATACTAACTGTTACTGGATAATTGTGATACTAACCTGGATATTACAAAAGTCAGTAGTGTCTTTTTGTATTCGCTCAAAGTCCTGTATGAGACCACTATCCTTGACTTTATCAGGTTCAATGCCAACATTGAATCCAAAGCCCAAACTGTCCATGTTACACTTATCATTTCCATTCAAGTGTTCTTTAACAGATTCGTCTAGTGATACATTCTGTAAAATAAAATAAAAATCTATAAGTTTAACTTATATGCACACATAATTCTTAATACACCACTACAAGATATCAAGAAAATTCTTTAAGATGATGTAATAATTAAACTAATTGTAAAAAAATGTATTACCAATAAAAACCTTACTTTTATCACCATTTACATGTTTCTAGTTAGATTTTCTTTAATATACTAAAATTACTTTTTAATTAAATAAAAGAGGAAAAATTGCATACTACTTCCAGCTTAGTACATTAGTAACTACATTATAATTAGTAATACTTATTGGAACACTAAACTGACAATATTAAGGAAAAACTCACATAGCACATTATTAATAACCAACTTCCTTCATTTATTTAACTATGGCTTTGTACCCAGGGATTGATGTAAACAAATAACATGCATTCTCAGAAAATATTTGTTGGCTATATCACAATGGTTAGTATAATCTTTATTATTTGAATGACTATTATCTTTGAATAACATTTCTTTGATAAGAAAATGTATTCCACAAAAGGTTATTACACCCCTGCCAAATAATTTATTATTAGTAACAACTCACAAAACGCTAAAATGTGATAATAAAAAGCTACATACATGAAAAAGAAATGTAGTTTTACAATAAACAGGTAATGGATACAGTAAAATACCTCTATTCTGATTTTAATTGTTAACTCAATCCCATTGGCATTTCCATAAAACAATTAAACAATGCACTGTGTAAATTCTTACATTTCTTATATTCTTGTTAAATAATTAAAACAATCAGTGTAAGCATGACCTAAGCCTGCAAGAACAATAATCCAATAGGAAAATAAAGACATAAACAATACACAATAAATACTCACATGATGGCCATTAAGCTGATCACAGTTATCCAAGTCTAATAATTCTGCTGGTCTCACTACAGCTCCTGTGTCAAACTGTGCCTCGTCTGGGAGCTCTATGTCATCCATCGGCAATGGTTTCCGAGGTGACTCTGCGAGCAAGACGTCAGCACCAGCCACGCTCCCTGGTATGAACACAGGGGCGTCAGGATTCAGTGGAGAGCTGTTCATGTCTACTGAGCTGCTTTCCCAAGCCGACTGAAATATATTAAGAACATAATTAGTTGTATGTACTCTACATAACCTCCAATAATGTAGTCTACTGGCTAATTTAGTCACACTTTGTAATAGATTGAATCATGTTTGTGAAGGTCAACATGAATAATCTATCATTTCACCAATTTAGTCTGAAGAATAACAGAATTCATATCTCTGCAGAAAGAAGTTAATGGAACTTATTACACAACTGTTTATGTATCGCAACTTTTGGAATGCCGTTGTTTTGCCTGTCACAACATCAATGAAAACAATAATTGATGGGATAGTTTCTGTTTATAGTAAGTATTCAAAAAGTAACAACTCACATTATCCTGGCAGGGTGTCTCGGAATGTGGCACCTCGTCGGGTTCTTCGCTAGGATGTTCCTCGCGTTCACCCTCGCCTTTAAAGTAATTCCACTCGTCTTCGGAGTCCTCGCCACTCTCAGCTACATTATCCGCTACAGAACCGTCAACGTGGCCCTCCTCCACTGCACACAACACACAAAAATACACTTATTTGATGGTTTATGAGTATAAACACTAATATAAGTTTCGGCTTTAACACCTGGCTAATACCGAACACGCAACATTCACCCCCCCTCTCACAATATCAACAGGTGACACACCCTTCACAAAAAAATCATTGGTTCGATTGAAGGCGAAGCATCAGCTTCTAAGGTAGTTGTAATAAATCATGAACGCCGGTGTTGTTTACGAGCAGCGTGCTAGCAACGATATTTTACCGGTCGCGATTTCAAACTCGCGAGACATTCGCGGACGCCATTTCGAGAACGGCCAGCGGAGCCGGAGACACGCCCGAGTTCGAACTTGGACAGTATTGAGAACATGTGAGTGAACCTCTGGGAATCCTGCGCTCTCTGACGTCTGGGGGATGCGCCTTCGGGCGAACCGATCTATTTCCAGAACACCGCTCCGCATGAATCAACACAGAAATAACCTTTCACAAACTGTTCGGTATGTGAAAATAATCAACAACATTCGCTAAAAACCACATACCGTGAACGGTAATTTCACTGCACAGATATTATCTTCACTAGCGGTGTAAAATTCGAGCCGTAAAAATATAGACAAAGGCCCGAATACAATAGCAGCGACTTTCGAGAGTAGCACAGATCCGTCGGACGTTCAATGAGCGACTGCGAGAGGGACGAGGCGAGCGAGCGGGACGACGGCGGCGTGTTGAGGGCGCAGGGGCTGAGGTGCGCGGGGCGCCCGCGTGCACCCGATAGGGATGCCGTGTCATTTTGTAATAATTCCTATTTTATTTTAGTAAGGTATTATTTATCCTTGACTGGCCTGTTTTCAGTATTAAAACACGGTTTAATTAAATCATAACATGTAGGTATCTACTTACCTACTTAATTATGATTATTTAAGGTCGAAATGTTACATAAACTGTTATAAACACAATCCTTTCGCTATCCTTATAAGATTGAAGGTAGAATAATAAAGAAATATTTGTATGTACCTACCTACCCACCAACTTTATTGGAAAGACAACTCTGAAAATATTAAGCAGTTTGGTGTACCGGTTTAAACATATTTTCAAAAACAAAAACGAGATACATAATAGGTATCCAGTTACGTAACTATAAAGTAGGTACCTTTGAAAACAATGGTTTTTGTAATTGCTTCATCTAATTTGACACTTTAAAAAACAATTTTCTTTTTCGGTACCGTTTCGTTACATTTGTCTTTGTCCCACTTATTGAACCAAAAATAATATTGCTGGATAGGTACTGACAGTTTATAAACAATTAACTTTGTCATAAGTAAACTATTTTTTTTTTGTAATTACTTACGAATAATGTACAGAATATTTTTATTTTATAAGACTATTTAAGTGCGCAAGGTGAAAGCACTTAAGTTCTCAAAAATCTAATCCGACTCGGAGATCGATTCATATACATACAATCGCATCTAGAAAATGTCTGGGTACGCAGTGGCGGGGACGTGGTGCTCGCATGGATGTGGGTGAACGTGTCTTACATTAAACAATCAATAAAGGGTGTTGCTTAAAATTCTCACTTTTTCTTAAAATAAAGACGTTACTGGTATTATTTAAAGTTGAATCTTAAAATGAGAATATGGCAATTTTATATAGATACTAACGTGTGTAAATCTTTAGGTACCTATTATTTTTGAACAGGATAAAGCTTATTATACCCATAACATAATCATTCCACATAGTACATACAATATAGTTTTGTTGCTATTTAATTTTTAATTTTAGAACGCAGGACAAAACGTCCCTACTACTTGTAAAAGCGGTGACAACTTGACAACACTGTCGTCATCCCGTACAATCTCGCGTAGTACCTATGAGTCACGCGAGTCATGCATGAGGAAGTTGGTTATTTAATGAAACTTGGACTATCCGAGGATCTACCTGTCACTTATACCTACACAGTTACCACATCATAATATGATCTCTAACCCGACACGTCCCGTGAAATGGAAATAATGCTCGAAATAATATCTCCATCCCAACAAGGAAAACGATTCGGCGAAACGGTGATGCTAGAAGGAAGGTCGAAATCCCGCCCGTGACCGATTTGAAATTAGGTCAAATGTAACAGGGGACGAGGTTATTCCAGAGCGATTCTGCGTTTACTTTATGGCTTATTTCAGGACGAAAATTTATCCGTCATAATCGTGGGATCATATTATAGTATATTTGTTACTTATGAGATATATATATATGAGATTAGCGGTTAACATTAATAAAGGGTGTATCCTTAAGTAGCGTGCTGGTGGAGAAGTAATAAGAAGATCCAGATCCATCAGATAACGGTTATAATAACGCAGACCAGGTGTTACCGACATGAGATAATTGAAAATAACTAATACTTACTAATAGCGAAGTGATTTGGCACTTCCAATGTACCTATATAAAGCATTTTTTTTATCCTTGAAGGGTCACTTATTTTTTTATAATAGAAAATATTAAAACTAACCAGCGTGTGCAGGTGGTGTGGGTGCTTGTGGTTCCTGGTTTCTTGCATCTGCATCAACATCATCTGCATCAATATCTACGGCGGTCTCGGGGCCGAGATCCTCGCTGTCACTGTCAGAATTGTCTACTCCATTGTCTCCGGCTATGGCCTCAGCCTCGGCCTCGGCGCACTCTTCGGCCTCGGCTTCTGCGGCAGCCGCTGCGGCGTCCACTTGGCGCCGGCATGCCTCCGTCTCGATGGTGAACGGCGGAGCGTTCATCATCGCGTTGTCCAGCCTACATTTTAAAAAGTTTAGCTTTAACATGTGCTACTTTTTTATTAGATTGATTCATTTCTTTTTATTAAACAGATGGTAAATATCATAATTATTGTTTTACAATCAATGTATTACGATTACAATTCACGAAATATTTAATATTCATACTTTTTACTTGGAATAAATACTGCAATTAAAGACCTGATTATAAAGCCTGATCTCACTAATCCTTTGCAAAACAATAAAGGAGGTACTGTTTACGTAGGTACTTAGTATATCGATAATAATCAACGGCAATATATTCGATTACCCGACGAAAGTGACATTGGTACTCATTATGTATATTATATTAAACTTTCCTTTTCAAGGCTTGTGTTAGGAGATAAGCTAGCGCCTCCCAAGGTCGTCTGGTTCAATATAATGTCATTCGTACGTCTACATTTTTATACGAGCTCCATATGTATGAATTACCAGTAACCGGTTAACGGTTGGGCATCCGCATACATTTTGTTGGATTATAAAACATAGGTCAGAAGAGGCATTGTAGACGTTATTTTGCTAATCTGTTTACCTATTCGATTTCTGCGCCCATTAAAATGACATCATAATTAATGATGATAGGGTGTACTAAAAATAGGGATTATTAATACCCGCCCATGACGTATGGAACTGTATAGGTATACATTTTTCATTCAATTGGGGACTCCAATTAGCTTAATTCGCGTTCTTAATTGTTAAGAATTCAAATGTTTAGGATTTACATAGAACCGCAAAGTTCCTGAATGAATAATTTCGGCGGTTTGACGTTCTATTATTAAAGCAAAACATGACCCTGACGGAATTCCTTCCGAGTCATTGCTTGCAAAATTCCTACCGCGCCCATTTAAAAAGAAAAGTAAATAAAAAAAAATTAAACATGTCTCATAGTATCGTTATGAATGCTAGCTATGAAAAATTAAATGAATCGTGAGTAAATACAATTGATTACTTATGCACTGACGAGAATTACATATTATGTAGATTAGAACATAAGAGACTCACCCAAGATCCATGGGCGGCTGGTTGTCTGCGGCTATGTCACGCGGGTCCTTCAAGAACACCACGATAATAGAGATATTGTCGGCGGAGCCCTGCCGCTTGGCCTGCACGATCAGACGCTTCGTCACCGCCTTCAAGTCATCTGCACAAAACAAAACATATCATAAGCAAAAATACAAGGAACAATTAAAATGTTATTAGGCATAGTTTCCACCGCAAAGAACGCATTAACAACCGACACAATTTCTTAACGGTGTTATTATCCTTAAAATATCTATGTGTCATCTAGCACAAAACTTAAAGTGTTGCGAAGTCTATTATGTCTGCAATTTGTTGCGGCACAATGGTGAATAGACCGACGGATATGGAGTAACCATGTTTATGTTTCGATTTGCCACAGCGCTGGCTGTATGTGAGGATGTCCTTGTTCTGTCTCAAGTCTGTTGGCGTGACTCACTGGCCAGTGCACCGCTATTGTGCCCCATAATACCACTACGTGATAGGCCTTCGTTGATATGAAAGCCGCCGCCGAGCCATTCCTTTTATTTTGTATTGAAACTTATCAATTCTGTAATAATTAGGTTGACCTTGTTTTGTAATGGGTGGTACTTTACGTGAAACTCGATTCAGTTCATGAATACCTATATGACAAATGAAACTTAAATCCCCAGAGAACCAGTCGCCGGTTTTTTTTTTTAATATTTTTTTAACAATAACAACTTGTGGGTATTTTTTAGACATTGCGCTACGAATTCGTATGTTTACATGCCATCAATTTCGATATATTTAGGTAGCGGTTATTTAGGCGTAGTCGGTTTTCATGACAGGCACACATAATTTAATTAGTTTACATTGGTTGTCTTTTTTTCTGTGAACGGTAACTCGACCAGCAGGCGCGCCTTTCCCAGGGCGTGTCTAACTGGAATTTAAAAGTATGTGCGAGTATTTCGTGTAATGATGTGCTTCAACCGCCAGTTAGTTCGTCGTCTAAGCGCACGCCTTGACTTTGCTCGCTATTTCGGGGCGCGGTCGTCGCCGCCGCCCTTGCTTTTTACCCTGTTTGGCCTGGCTCGAAGCCAACCGCGCCCCGTCTGCTCTTATTTCTATGTAAGTCCATAGAAAGTTGTTAATTTGATTTATATATCACACTCGACATTACATTTGATCTATAAAATCCTTGTTTAAAACTTCCTTAGTAAACACATAGTTTGTTTGAAGAATGAGTTTTTTGTAGGTATGCGCGGAAGCGGTAAATGTTTATTAGTTAGGTGTATCATGTCGATCGTGGCGCAAGTAGCTCGCAGCGGTCGAGGTGATCATTGCGGCGATTACTGCCGCCGGCTAACGGTGGTGTGGATGGAATGCACGTCGTCGGCCATTGTTCCCTACACTATAACTCGAAGCAAAAACCGATCACGGCCCATCGGCGCATATTAAGCCCCGCGATCGCCAGCCACCTGCCGCCGGCCCGGCTGACGTTATTGAGAAATTCCTATAATTACTGTAGCTACTATTGATAATGTCCAACTAGGGTTCATAGATTTAGATAATCCAAAAGAAACCGAAGAAAAATTCAACGTCGAACATACGAGCGTGTTACAAATTAAAGTAGATACATAAATAAAAATAAAGATTCAAATAAATTAATAATTAAAAAACATTAAAACATTGTTTATGTGACAATCTGAGTAGCAGAAGTAAATTTGGTTACCCATTATCTTATTAGGTACCATAGAAACGGCCACAATGCAGTGTATACAATCAGCTAGAATACTAATGAAGTCTAGATATAGACAGAAGATTGTCGTAGGTCGGAAATCAAATGTAGAGAGTAGAGAGAGCAGACGGGCAGTGGGTGGGTAGGGGGGAGGGATCAAGTGCAATTTTCCAGCAAGGCTCGACGCAGCGTGCAAAGCCGACCGGCAGACGGTAGACGGCAAAGATTATTTCCATGTCCGCTGGGTACACAATAAACGTAGCCTCTATTATGATTACGACCCAGTTAAAAGCAGTTATTACAGATACTCATTGAAAACTAAATTACTATTGTAAATCCTGGATTACGTATCTAATACCATAACAATAACGGTATGTTCAGCGAGTTCTTCGAAGCCAGCTACACGGCTGGTAGTTTTAGCTTCTTCAAAATGAATAAAATAGTAATATGTTACTACTGAATTCATTTTACGACAGGGCAAATGGAGCCTTCTGGCATTCCAATAGAGATATTTATTTGTAAGCACGTATTCAAATGCTGGTAACAACGCTCACCCACGCGGGTATGCCAACATTCATTCAGCTTTCAAACGTGTACCCAAAAGTTTTTATCACACCGAATAAAAAATTCAGCTGAACATTTTATATTCTGTGTTGCACTAAAAAGCAAAACCTCGCCCACATTTTAATATAGCGGCTGAACTATACAGGTTACAGGCAAACTTCGACAAAAAAAGGAGCCGTATTCCCCCCGTGGGGTGGTAGACAGCCCACAAAATGAAATCTATTCCAGCTTTCAATTTTATCCAGCTTTTTACGAGGCTTTTGAAAATATAATCCGCTGCCAACTATACGTTCATAATAAGGTCTGTCAGGTTTACAAGAATGAGTTTAATTACTCTATTAAGCAGATTCTTTATCAGAAAGTCGTATAGAAAGCGATTCACCACAACAATGATATCTACAGTTGATTAAAATCGACCAATGTTTTAAAGTTGAAATAAAAACATAATAACAATAAATTAATAATCATTCATTATTCTGAGAAAGTTATCGATTTGAAGAATGATACGAATGGACACAAGACGCATTGACTTCTTATCAACGAGGTAACAAGAACAAATAAAAATCGTTTAAATCGCGATCATTCTTCCATTCTGTATGTTATGGACCGTGCTAGTGTGCGTTGTGCAGTATAGGAATACTACGGGTCCAACTGACTATACACTTGTATGTACATTGATATCATGCGTATAACAAAATACGTATATCACTGACTAGCTTCCGCTAGCGGCTTCACACGCGGATAAAAGTAATCTATCCCGGGATTTTAAAGCGAAACCTCAAATAAAATACGCAAATCAAGTATAATTTCTAGCCTCTAGCACTCAGAAACATTGTAGCTATCATCAGTGAAAGAATTTGGAAATTCAACCAGCGGTTCCAGAGATCACCTCCTACATAGAAACTTACAAATTTACTACATAGTATAGATGCACAAGAGCAGTAATATATTTCAAACCACTTTTGCCAATTCTTGCTAAGATTTCAGCAGCTGTGGTGCTTATCGCCTGCTTATGCTTAGTAGGTACGCAACGGTGAACTCACTCCCGCTGAAGTGTTAATTAAATGTATACGTAAATAAAGTTTTGGAGTGTAAAACCGAGGGGAGAACTGTGAATGTTATTTACATAGCCATCATGGTAAGAAAACAGAGTTGACAGCACTACTTAGAGACGAACGACTTAAAGATGTAGGTACATTACAATATATTATTTCAATCAGCTTCGATCCCGGGACGGCGCGACATACGGCTAACGTCAGACGTCTATCAACGCTAAAAGCTTTTACACGCCATCGACACAATAAAAGATTATAAGAACCAGCCCTTTTTACAAAACAGCCCATCTTTCATGAATATCTACTTCAATAATCTTAAATTCCAAGTTATAATCAATATGCAGTGAATAATTTATGAATATACTTATAAAATCACCTTTTTGCTAATCAATGAATTAATCGCAATTATAGAAACCTCTCTAATTGTTAGTGCGCACACTCAAGCGTAATGAAATTGAGTGGGAACTTTCGTGCACGCTCTACGTTCATCAGTTGGCCGGTAATTGGTTTAGTGAGCATGCTTCGGAAAGAGTTATACAGAGTTGTATGTGGCCGTGGCACCGGGATCCTTCTAATTAACGCTCCCAGCACCCGATTCGAATGCCCTCGTAATTGGAAAGCTGCTGGGCTGGCCGTGTCGTGTCGCTACCCGCTCGCCACCTCTATAACCTCCCGTCGCGTTTGCCACTTAAATGATTTTTTTACTTTTTAGAACTAAATCGAATTAAAATCAGATTCTTATTTGAATAAGCCAAGTTGAAAACTTCACTGTAATCTCTATCTAACGATCTTTCAAAAGTTTCCTGCGTGATATGAATGCGATTACGAATTTCTTTTAAAATAAAATGGAAGAAGATTGAATATCTCCTTAAATTAATGTTTGTCATTTAACGTGTTTTTCTCGGATTAAAAGTATAAGACAAATGTTAATTTAAATTGTCAGATATATTGTTTATTCGACATTAACCATCATCTGGAATCTGCTAAATCTGATACGATTCAATGAAGGATTTATTAAGGACACACAAGAAGACAATTTTAAGCCCGTAGCAAGGATGCAACACTTGCAAGCACTTCCAGGCATCCTGTGCACATGTGGCGTAATTTCACTAATCGCACGGAAGAAATGTGGATCAGCGGGCTGCATTCAAACACAAAGCGACCTCAATTTCAATATGTAACGTGAAAGATGAGAACTGTGTCAATTACTGAATGTAATGTTTCAGGAAGCTGTTACATTGTTTGGAAATACTGCAGCTTTAATCAATTCTACGGAACAAAGACCTTGCATGTATGAAACAAAATTATCGATCAACTATTATTCCAGAACAACTGGAACTGGTTGTTTTGAGAGTTATTACATCGCTTAGCATTAAGCAAAGGGTATGCAGGCGACTGGTCTGAGCTGTGGGGCGACAAATCACGCCTGCATATTACATTTATATGCAAAAGTTTCGATCCCACGCAACAAGTACCACTTGTCGCCCTCGATATCGCTGATGCAGTCCTATTACAACGCCTGCTTATTTAATTAGTCACTGTAAGTTATTATATGTAGATTATCTAATAGAATCTATTTCAGGAAATGAGGTTAATCAAAACATAATAGTGGTAAACAGGTAAAACACTTCAGAGAACTTCAAGGGAAATTGCTCATGTAATCAGTTGTTGAATCATGCTGGTTTAATAGTTATTATTAGATGCGAATCTAAATACATATTTTTGTTTTGTATTAACAGATGTTTGGTTTGCACACAGTGAGGCGATGTGAATGCGGAGATAAGTGTAATTAGTTTTATATAATAA